ACTACAGCAGTGTTTTGTTAGCAAATGACAACAGAACTGGTGTCATTTCTGAAGCATGTAAGTTTATCCATGATGCAGATACATTTATGAAGAACATAGATTCCATCAAAGGTTGCAGAATAGATGAAAACCACTTCGACTTAGAAAAATATAGCACGTTTTACTGCAAACAAGATGTAAGAATTTTAAGAGAAGGTTTTGTAAAGTTCCGCAATGACTTATTGAAAGAGTTTGATTTAAACGTTTATGACTACGTTAGTATTTGTTCTATTGCTAACAAATTGTTTGAGAACAGAGTATACTTCCCGAATGGAAATCTTTATGACCTCTCAAATAAACCAAGAGAATTTATTTCGAGATGCATTCAAGGTGGAAGATGTATGTTGTCAGATAACATGAAACAAAAGAGCAAAAAGAAACTCATTGCTGACTTCGACACTGTTTCATTATATCCTTCAGCTATAGCAAGACTTTATACTTTAGAAGGTATTCCAAAAGTATTGAAGGAAGAAATGTTAAGCACAGAGTATCTCATGAGACATTTATTCGATGACGACCAAAAGGAACCCATTGGTGAAAAGTTTATGTCTGGCTTCTTTGTTCTCATTAAGATAACAGAGATTGGTATACCCAGACACTTTCATTTAATAGTTTGCGACCCTGAACTAAATCCAGAACTTAACGTTCCAAGAAGTTCAAACACTTGCTGTCTCATGTATGTTGACCATATAACATTACAAGACCTCATAAAATATCAAGGTGTCAAATGTGAAGTGTTGCAAGGATACTATTACGATGGAAACAGAGATATGAGAATAAGAGATGAAGTAAAGAAGTTGTTTGAGTTAAGGTTAAAGTATAAGAAAGAAGAAAACCCCTTACAAGAAATTATAAAACTCATTCTGAACAGCATTTATGGCAAAACTATTCTATCTCCTATTGAGTCAAAAATAACCATAGTAGATGACAAAGATGCTATAAGATATGCTATAAGAAATTACAACCATATAGTGAAGTTCGAAGGTTTGGATGGTTCAGATAAAACTATTTTCAAGCTAACGAAAAGCATTTGCAGACACTTTAACTTCTGTCCACTTGGTGTTAATATTCTGTCTATGTCAAAACGTATTATGAATGAAGTATTCTGTACTGCAGAGGACATGGGACTTCAAATCTTTTACCAGGATACCGACAGTATGCACTTATATAATGAAGACATCCCAAAGCTTGCAGCAGAGTTTAAGAAGAGATATGGTCGCGAACTTATAGGAAAGAACCTTGGTCAATTTCATAGCGACTTTGCAGAAATAACACCTGGAAAACAAAGTTTAGCTTATAAAAGTATTTTCTGTGGAAAGAAGACCTACATAGACTTACTCACTAACGATTTAAATGAAGTTGCATTTCACTGCAGAATGAAAGGCGTGAAGCAAGATGTTATTGCTTTAACCGCTAATGAAATGTTTCCTGAAGCTATACAATGCTATTACAATGAAGATAAGAACATTCACATACCTGTTGGAACATATGACAAAGACTCTGAGTTCAGTTTAATGAAACTTTACAAAGCACTTCATGATGGTCAAGAGATTGCATTCGACTTATGTAAGTCATGTCAACCTTGCTTTGCTGAAAAGTTCAACTTTTCAATAACGACTAAAACAAGCTTTATTCGTAAGTTGAAGTTCTGAGGTCATTTATTTTTGTCAGCAATGAGGTCATTCGTGATAAAAATAAAGCTAGCGTAGATTTTACAATACTGCGATGGTAGAGTTTAAGAGTTGTGCTTCAATGTAGAGACAGTCCTTCCCATCTGGAGGCAAGAACACTGGACATTTATGGTCATGAGTGGAGTACATGTCTATCCAAAACTCACGATTGAAGCCAGTTAATTTATAGTATTTAGGGTTAGGAAGTGGTGAAGTTCTTGTATGACCAATGAACTCATTTTCAACGCCTTTGGCTATATTAGAGTAAAGTATTGCTTGCTTTCTATCCCAAATGCCAGGTGTTACAATCTTTGAAAATTCATTTTTCCTCGGAAGCATTGCATCATAATTGAAAACATTCTTAAAATCATCACTTGGTTCGGAGATTTGAAATCTTATACGTAATGGATTTTCTTTCTTTTTAGCGACTTCATTGAATGGTGAGAATACAATGAATTGACAGTCATGAGTTCCATCTTCATTTTCATTAAATTCATAATGAAAGTCTATAAGTTGTGGCTGACTACCTTCTTCTTTCAGTTGTGCAAGAAACTCACGTAAAGGCTGTAAAGTTTGTACTTCAATGTTGAACTTTTTCTCGAACATCTCATTAAATGAAATCATACATTGTTGCAATGTTGTATCGTCTTTAAAGTATTTGTATATGTGAATGTTTTGGGCGCTTAAAGACTGTTCGTCATTTTCTATCTCGACTTGAAGTATAAAGTCAACCTTTCTGAAAGCACGTGTTATATACATAGATGTTATGCCAATGTACTTCTCTTCATTTATGTTCACAATCCAGTCTGTTGGAAACTTAAACGTTACTCTGTTCCCCTTTATTTTGACGTCAGGGTTTTCACTACTGAACGCAACAGTTAAAGGTATTTGTCTATACATTTAATTCGGATAAAAATAAACCATTTACTCTTTCTTTGCTTCAGCTTCTTTAGCTTTTGCTTCTTCTCTAGCTTTTTTCGCCAGCAAACGTGGGTTCTTCTGTCTTCCAGCAGCTAATGCAGCTAGTTGTTTTTCACTAAGTTTTCTCTTTGGTCTCTCTGGCTTTTGTTCTTGTTTTTGTTCCTTCAGTTCGGATAAAATTTGCTCGCGAATTTCTTTCTTCAATGCTTCAACATCTATGACACCTTGGGTCTTGTCCGTAGGGCTTGTCTGAGTCATTTGACTGCAGATAAAAAACTAAATTAAAACTTTAACCGATGTAAAATGAGCTTGTCAAAATCAGAGCGAGAGTCTATTATATTAAATGACGCAAGAGGAATACAACATCCTTTCTATTACGTAAGTCAGAGTAAAGATGGTAAAATATACGTAAGAAAAAGAAAGGTACCATTAGCGAATGCAGAGAGCGACAACATTAAGGTGCATGGCAAGGGTGAAGTCCACGAAGCCCATATAAAACCTTCTGTTCAAACTGAAAAGTCAATAGAACCAGAAGAAAAGAAGCCAGATGTACTTTCAATAACGAACCAAGAGCTTATTGCAAAGTTCGTGAATTTCATTGAAAAACAAACCGAGTCAAAGAACCCTGACCCGCCAGTGAAAGAAGTTGAGACAAAAGAGAATGTACAGTTCATTGAAAATGTCAAGAAACAACTTCCACCACGAATACCAAGAAGAAGAGTGAGAATAATGAAGTAAATAGATATTTTTATCTGAAGTAAATACATGCAGAACGAACAGCTAAACGAATTTACTCCAGCAGAGCATATTCATCAGATTCGCTCATATTTCGATATCATAGACAATGCAGTTCAAATTGGTGACACTAATAGAAAATATTCTGACGCAAAGATTCCATCACAACCTGGAACTGCTAAAGATAACACATGGGTAACATTCAATCTCTCACCTCCTGGTGAAAATATGTTGGACCTTTACAATACATTCATTACGTATAAAATGGAAGGTCAATTTATTGCAGATAAAGAAATTGGTTCAGGTTCCAATAAAACAAACCCACCAGGATTTTGGATTGGTTTCGATGACGCTTTCTATGCAGTTGCTGGATATCAAATCCTTGCAAATGGTCGTATCGTATATTCTCAAGACAACGCAAGAGAAGAAGCATATATAACTTCAAACTCACAAACTACCGAACAAATAAAGAAAGTAGATGTTTTCTCAAAGACTCGACATGAAGATGTATGGAGTCATTCGGGAACATGCAGAACAGGACAAATTGTTAGTGGTCCAATTACAGCAGGAAAATCATTTGATTTTAAGCTTCGTTTAAGAATTCCTGTTAGAAGATTCCTTCCATTAGAAGCTATTCGATTTATTCCAGCTTTTGCAGGAAACATTCAGCTTAAAGTAAAGTTCAGTAGCGACGCCTTACAATGCACATCTATATCTGTAAATGATATCATTGCTTTCAATCCAACTCTTAAAGTTGCATTTGCTTCAGATTCAAATCCACCGACAAATAAATTTGTTCCATGGAATGAACCATTCACTATGATAACGAAGGCAATAGAAGCTAGTGGAACAGTTACTATTACAACTGTAACCCAGCAACTATTTCGAACAAAGATGGATTTTAATGAATGTTTCATTCATCCAAAGTCATTCTCTTTAGACCCTAACATTTATACAGAACTTGTAGAACATTATACAAACGAGGCTTTATGTTTTCCTGTTAAAGTTATGGATTGGATTCCTATGGACGGTTCATTCTCAAAGAATACAGATAGTTCAAGTGCAACATTTACAGCAGCTTATACGCCTATTAATGTTAAAAGTATTTGGGCACTATTTAGAAAGAAAGACAACTATTATGTTAATTTTGAGAACCCTAAGTTTAAATATCTTCAGCTTTCCATGGGAGCTTATGGAAATATGCCTGCAGAACCTGAAAAATCATATGGACCTGTATTTTATGAAATGGTTGCGAACGCTTGCAATACAAACAATGATATGATAGGATTTAATGAAGATGTTATGAGGTCATTGGTGGATGATGGTAGTGTGGAACATAAATGGGATAGCTATGACAACACACATTTCTTATGTGGTTTTCCAACAGAAGTGGACTTTTGCTTCCAGCAAGGTCAAACATCTACTGCTCCAATAACATACAAATTGTCTGTTAAAGGACCTATTGAACTAGCAACTGAAAATGTACCAAAGCCACTTATTGGATTTATGAGGGATTGTTGCTTTGCAATACAGGTGCGTGCTAATGGAATCCCAATAATAAGATTAGATGACTATAACTTAGCTACGGACGATAGTGAGGAATAAAGGATGAACGTTTATTTTTAAAGCTTATAAATGAGTTCTTCATCAAGCTCTCGTGAACCTTCACCATCTATGAAACAAACTTTACCAAACGATTATGGAGCACCTATTGAATATTTCTTACGAGCTGCACAATGGCAAAGAGCAGTTTCACCAAGGTTAGGTGTTCCACCAGCTCCTGTCAAAAATAGCATTTGGTCAAGTCCTTATATAAGATATGGTCTCCCACTAGGTTTGCTAGCTACAGCAGGAGCAGTTATGATGTTGAAAAGAAATAAAGCAAATGTTGTAAATAATACTGAAGTAGCTGAAGTTAAACAAACTCCAACACCTTCAATGACTCCTGAACCTATGGAAGTACAAACTCCTGTTCAAAAGTCAACTCCTAAACCGACTCCAACATTTAAACCAGAACCTACTCCTCAAATAAATCGTAAAACTCCTGCGTTTCCTTACTGAAAAATAACGTTATTTTTATTTTATTTGAACATTTTTATTTGATTGAAATGACGACTAAAGTCACTGAAGCAATGAAACAAAAGTTTTTGGTAGAATACATTAAATCAGGAATTATTCCAGAAGGTTTTTACGTTCATACTATGAAGGATGGTAGAGTTCAGTTTAGAAAGATAAAGCAACCATTAGATAAAGAAGGAATTTTGAGAAAGATTAAACTTCATGAGGACAACATTGCTAAACTTAGGAAGAAGTTAGAAGAGTTGGAGAAAAGAAGAGAGTTATAAAGCAATGAATTCAACAGGTTAGAAATGAGGTTAGAAAACGTGTTAGATCTAACATTCTAACATAAACATTATTTTTGTGCTATGTTTTCATACGTGTGAGGGTGGTGATATCATTAATTTTAAGTTTATTTTTTATTTTTACTGAAAATTTTTATTTGGATGTAAATGACAGAACAAAAATATAACATTTCTACTCAGCAGGAATGAGACCCTTACTGACTATGTATTCGTTTAATGCTTGATGAAAACAATGGTACATATTATCGTATGGGTATACACAACGTCTGTTTCCATCGTCGTCGTATATGTAGAGCTCAAATCCAGTCCAACCTTCTTTTGTACAATATGTAGCTTTATTTAAGTATGCATTTATGTAGATAAGGCAATTTTCTTCATCGCTCCAGAAATAATTTTTGTTCTTTGTTGAAATAGTTTTCGTTCCTCTGCGACCATAAGGAATGTATGCAATGAACTTTGCGTCATAAGGGATTGTAATATATTCAGGGTTTCTTTCATCGTCAATGGGTCTGTCTTTGTTAAAATGCATGTTTCTCAATTTTACTTGAGTTTTGAATAGTTCACGGAAACGTTCTGGGAAAGAGTCATAGTAAATGTAGTCGGACATGTCTTTGTAATGAAATAAAAAAATTAAAAAAAATAAAAATAAGGTTATTTTTATTTAGTGAGGACGGTAGTGAAGTCGTTAGTGAAGTCATTTATGTGTCAGATGGTTTTGTAAATATTTAAGGTTAAGTTGGTGTTATGGTTGTGTTGTAAAATATACGTTACCAGTTTCGTAAAGTGTCAAAACCGCTAAGTGGTGTACGGAGGCGCGCAGTGCCACAGTACCCAACTTAGGGATACTAACTAATATCGATAATAAAAAATCGATGAAATATTAAAATGAGAATAAATTAATAATGAGATTATAAATTAGAATTATTTCTCTTTTATTTAAAATAAAAACTTAGTTCTATTTAAATTCGATAAAGAAGTACGAAAAAGTTGTATTATACGTATGATGTTGCCCGATGTTTGGTAACACTATTGTAGAATATAAGCATATATGATAGAAAAGCAATATGCTTAATATCGAGTAATTCTAATTTTTTACGAAATTATTCAAATACATTATTTTTTAAAATGAAAAGATAAGCATACCATTATGCAGTAGTTTGCGCACATATACTATGCTGATGAAAGTTGGTCTCTAATTCGAAACTTGAGTCTGTCAAATTGACGTTCCATCTTATTTTAATCGATATTCAATACAAATGAATTCATATTATAATAGTATCTAGTATAACTAGGTATTCTATCACAGTATTTCTTCAATTTATTATAATATTTCAGCATTTTTTAGTTTCAATGCTGATTTGTTCCTTAGCTTGTAAACTATAGTTACTTTATATCTTCGGCTATTATCCTATTCAACTTAGACGTAAAAAAATTAAATAACGTATAAATATAATTTTAATGGTAAAAGATTAAATGTTTATTCCGTATGTAATGTGATTTGATTTGGATGGTAAGATAAGTTTCAGTATAGTTTTTGTTAATTGATTAAGAATTGTTGAATAAAATTCTGGAACTTCGTCAATTTCTTTGATTCCTTCTTGAAGCGTTGAAATTTCTTATTGACTCTCTTTTTATAACTTTTGAAAGAAACCGTAAAAATTGTGAAACATGCTTTTTAATAAAAAACAATTTTGATGAAAACCATAAATTAATTTAAAATTGAAATAAATTTTTGAAATCTATGATATTGAATAAAAAAATTTATAGTGTAGATATTGATATAGATATAGATGTTAATTTTAATATGATATTTGATAAAATTGTTTTTATCAAAACATACTGATAATAGGTTGACATGTAATATGATATTTTGCCTTGTAAATATATTTGGTCGGCAAAATAACCTAATTACTCTTATTTTGAGTTCACTTCCACCATTTCGTCTTATGATATAGCAATGGACTTTTTGACATTACGTGCAGATGCAACGAATGCAGAAAAGCTGGCTGAAGAGTCTGATGAAACATATGAGTTCTTGACAACAATGTTAGAAGAAGAAGAACCGCGCGCTTTGAAGTATTTCGATAAACAATGGAGAAGAACCAAAGAACATTGGATGATGTTATATCGTGGAGAAGGTGATTCCACGAATAACATTGCGGAATCACACTTTCATCAATTAAAGCAAACATTTTTCTTGGGTAAGAAAAATGAGCGCATTGATGACATCGTCATAACTCTCATCACTGTTGTGATTCCAAATGCGATTATTAAGGTTCAAGTCGCTAATGTTTTGAATGAAGAAAGAGCAGTAAGAATTCTTACAAGGGCAGGTAATCAGATTGTTGAGCAAAGAGCTTCAAAACACGATGAATGTTTGAAATTAATTCAACACATTTTGGAAATTGTCGAAAGCCGAAGGATTGAACCTAATGTCCTTATTCCATCTTTGAAGGCAATATTAAATTTGGCACAAAGAAGTTTAAAGGAAGAGTAAGCAAGATTAGATAATTTGGACTTTTTTTAAAATTAATGAATAAACAGTATATTTTTGAAGTGTAAGCTTATTTACCTGAAGCTATATTACTTAATATAACATTCAAAGTATTATTGCTATTTATTGGAGAACAAATTTATGTAATTTTCACATGAAAATTGATAAATTTGTATTTCCTTATGATAATCAATTTTTGTATTTGTAGAGAGTCTCCCTGCATGATATCAAGACTTGGCTATAAGTCTTTATCCATTTTTGAAAATTGTATTGTAAATTGTAAGAATTTCTGAATACTACTACTATAAAATATAATTGCTTATCTATGTATATTCTCCCTGCATGATATCAAGACTTGGCTATAAGTCTTTATCCATTTTTGAAAATTGTATTGTAAATTGTAAGAATTTCTGAATACTACTACTATAAAATATAATTGCTTATCAATGTATATTCTCCCTGCATGATATCAAGACTTGGCTATTAGTCTTTATCCATTTTTGAAAATTGTATTGTAAATTGTAAGAATTTCTGAATACTACTACTATAAAATATAATTGCTTATCAATGTATATTCTCCCTGCATGATATCAAGACTTGGCTATTAGTCTTTATCCATTTTTGAAAATTGTATTGTAAATTGTAAGAATTTCTGAATACTACTACTATAAAATATAATTGCTTATCAATGTATATTCTCCCTGCATGATATCAAGACTTGGCTATAAGTCTCTATTCATTATGAGTATGACCCCATTTTTTTTACAAAAAGTGCCGAATTGCAACTTTGTCCCAATCTCCTTTTTAACATGCAATTCTTACTGTTATAGCGAAACTTGTCCGATTGTAAGCCTAAATGATAAAATTGAGATATCTGTTGTGTATTGTTATAAAGTAGTATGGTTTAATGGAGTTTGATTAAGATTTATGTTCAAAATTTCATATGACGTTAATATCATTCATTTGCTTTATACTACGTATCCTTTATATAGCACATGAAAAATCATCATCAATTTTGACTTTAGGACTAAAATGCAATTTATTTGAGTTTGCTGATAAACTTAGATAATATGATAAGATAATCTAAGATATTATGATCGGTGTCTAATTAAATAATGTAATGAAACTTATTATATAAGGTTTAATCTTTGATGATTCCAAGAATTAATAGCAATTGTATACAATCAATTTCAGAACGATGTGTACATACATCATTTTCGATGTTGGGATAGTGAACATTTTTATTATACTCTTTATAGATACAAGGTGATGTGATTTTTGCATCCCTGGGATGGACGATACACCCAAAATGTCACCTTTTTGGGATAACAAAATTTTATGTGTTATTAGAGTTCTGCAAACCATATGCACAATATCTATTCAGCCTGACTTCTTGTATATAGGAGTCTGGCTGAATAGATATTGTGCATGTGGCAATATAAGTAATTCCGAGATTACCATCGTGAGCTATAGTACACTACTTCTCCTTGGTCCTAGCTCAGTTCCAAGGATATCAGTGTTCAAGGATTTGGCAAGGTCCTTCTGAAGTCTCTCATTCGATGAGAGATTTCGGAAGAACCTTGCCTTAAAGTATTCCAACTCTTGTTCTCTTGTTCCTGAATAGTCAGAAAAGTTATTTGACTACTTAAGGCAGAGATTATCCGAGGTCCCTCATTTGATGAGAGGCCTCGGATAATCTCTGCCTTAAAGTTGTACACTTGTAGTCAATTAGAATGTAAGCATACACGGATAGGACAGCTTTCTTCTGAAGTCTTAGATTTGATGAGAAGCCTCAGAAGAAAACTGTCCTATCTGATAATAAAAGGAGTTTCAGAAGCTCCAGAGCTCCCTTTCGTAAGGAATGGGAGCTTTGAAGCTCCTGGTTCGAAGATGTGCTTCGCATCTTTCATCAGCATAGGACATTTACCATCTGGGACTCTGTTGATGAAGACTCAGGAGCTCCAAAGCTCCCTTTCGTAAGGATTAGGAGCTTTGGAGCTCCTGGTTCGTAGAAGAGCTTCGCATCTTTCATCAGAAGAGGCCCAAATGGTAAATAGCCTCTGCTGATGAGCTTCAGGAGCTCCAAGGCTCCCTCTCGTAACGATTAGGAGCTTTGTAGCTCCTGAAGGTAAGGTAGGATTGCTCTGATCTCTAATCAGTAGATGCCATGCCTCATTATGGACTCTACTGACAAGAGATCAAGAGCTCCAAGGACTCCCTTTTTATCTAGTGGCATTCTTACCATTTAGTAGGATCGCTGATCCTACTAATGAAGTGATCACTTAATGTACGTTTTGAATAAATTGAATTTTTTTACAAAAATTTAGTATTTTTTATAAACATCACATATATATTATAAATACGTAAATATATTCTTTAATTCAAAAAATTCAATTCGTTTTCGGGCTGGGTATCCCAGCCCCAAGTATTCAATTTTATTCAATTTTTTAAGAATTTTTGGTTGGGATGCCCAGACCAAAACAAACTTTATATTTTGATGTGTAGATACGTATGTGTACATCATTATTGCGTTATATATTATATTTTTAATGAAAAAAATCTGATTCAAAAAAATTATCACTAATTAGTTGATAATACAAAGAAAAAATATATAAATTGTATGTTTTGAGAGTATTTATCCACATTCACTCATATGAATTTCATTAAATAGTGTCTTTTTACTCCCAAATTTATTTTGTATTATTGAAATCAAAGAAAAAAAACTTAAAAAATTTCTCGAAATTTTTATTTTTTAAAAAATTTTGGATTTTATATTAAAAACTGACACTGGGAGGACGATAGGGCTGGGATTAGAGATACCCCGCTCACTTGGGAAAAATACGGATCTATATACTCTTCATCACAAGTAATAAAAATTAGGGAAAAGAAAAGCAATGTCTTTTGGATCATTTTTAAAGTAAATGATTTTAAATTGATACATATATTGATGAGAAAGATATGTGAATTAAATTGCATGTGTTCAAGAGGTTAATTTACCATCAGGTCAAAAAAAAGAGATACAATTGCAAAACATGATGAATGACATGACACGGCACGATATAATGGCAAATGGTACTATTACGATACAAATTTCCTTAATTATATTTAACATCCATAGTTATATTGTTGCAACATGTGTTTAACATCATGTTGATAGGTTTTATACGTTAAAACTTCTCGAAATAACTTGATCCAGATATACTAATTTAATTATTTTGATTCAATATCAATATCAAACAAAAATTATTTTTTTAGATCAATATAAAAACCAATAACTTAGGCCAAGTGCTTGTACATGGATTGGAATAGCAATTGGCTTTGCATGATGGAATCACAATATTGTTAGGATATAGAGCTCCAAAGAATTCAAGATCTCTTAATTTAAATGGACTTGCGGATACAAATCTTTATCTTTCACAACATATTCTTGTGATTCGAAGTATTTGGTGAAACTAAATCCATTCAAAACATCAGAATCTTCATTTGAATTCAAGGTATTCCATTGGATTCCATCATTGGAACCGACCAAGTTTGTTTCGATTCAGCACATTATCATTTAAATGAGAACCTAATCTTGTTATTGCTTTTAATGAAATTATATTTTTTGGAATTTTTTTTCAAAAAGAAGAAAATATGATATTAGAATGAATAATAAATTACTCATATATCAAGTAAAGGAATAAAGGGAAACATAACATATTTGAAGCCAATTTTACAAAATGAAATAAAGAGAATATTGATATAAATGGTATTTTTATTTAATATAACATAACATAACATAATATAGTATATTTAGTAGTATTGTTTGTAATAATCTTCTTTTGTTTCTGGTGCTACAGATTGTTGTGGAGGAGCGCCATAAACAGATGATTGTGGTTGTTGTGGAGGAACGTTGTATGATGGAGGTATGTAATTTATTTGTGGTGTTGCTTGTTGTTGCTGTTGTGGCTGTGGTTGTTGTTGTGATGGTGGAGGAGAATAGTATGATGCTGGAGCGGTGTTGGTTTGAACTGGTTTTGGTCGATCTTGTTGAACTGCTTCAACATGATGTTCTTCGTGATAGTTGTTTGATGATGATGAAGATTTACGACAGCAGAAGAAGCAAATTGCGCATATGATGCCAATCACAATAATGACAACGATAATAATAACAACAATTGCCCATGTTGGAAGCTGACCCTTAACCAATGCGCTTCCAACAGAATCGCCTGAATTCATCTGACTGTAAGAAGAAGAATAGGAAATCTGGTAAAAATTGTATTTTGAATTCTTTCCATCAATGGCATAATTGTCATCATCTGATGATCCACTTAATTTAAATTTGATCTTGCCTGTATATTTATTACTAGAATTGTCGTTATATGTAACGGTTATAATAGGACTAGTTTTGGACAAGTCTGAAGTTGTCGGATCGTATTCTGAAGAACCATTTACATCATAAGATGTATGATAAAGATCATCCGTATCAATATTAACTTCTCCACTTGTGAAAGCAGAAACAACGCAATATTTATAATTGTCTTTTGGATCCAATTTGTATGTAACTGTACCAGAAAGTATTGTTACATAATCACAGTATGAGGAAAATCTTGAATAGTTGTAGACAATAAAATTACAATCTGGTGATCGATACGATCGTGATAATTCAAGAGTGCAAGGTGATGAAAATCAGATAGCTCTGATATCAGATAAACCAAGAATATTAACATAATCTGATCCTGCTTTTGCAAAAGCATTAATATCTTTAGTTTTAGTGAAAACTATTAATGTATTTTTAGGGATGAAGAATTCAATTCTGTCATGAATGTAACGTATATTATATCCATATGAAAAAGTCTCATAGGAAGAATCATCTGTTAGCTTATCAATGGTAGTTCCATATTTGTAGTAATATCTATAGTTAAAGTCAGTGTTAGAAGAACGTGCTGTCACATTATAAGTTGTGTCCACTGGATTTCCCCTAGTTTGATAAAGTAATGTAATTGTCTTACCGGAAATAAGTGCTGTAGTAGAGATTTGGTTAGTGGGTATGTCACCAGTAGATGAATAAAAAACATTGTTCATATCAGATTTTTGGACAGATACAGAAAAATCATCAGAATCGAAAATAATTAAATAATACTTTTGACCGGGAAACATAAAGTCATCATCAATTATATATAATTTCGAAGCCGGTTGAATCCAGAATAAAAGAGATGTATATGTATTTGGGATAAGGAAAATTCAAAAATGAAGAGTTAATGAATTTAAACCTGATATTTCATACGCTGAAGATAGGTAAGTGATCTTGTAGATTTTGCCGAATTTTTGGTCATCGATACGCATAGTTTCTGGATGATCAGAAAATACGATGTAATAATCGGCGTCGGATTTTGGTGTAAGATCGAATTCAAGGTAAATGCTTGTGCTTGATAGGTTCATAGAATGGTAGCCTGTGGAACTTACTGTATACGAATAAGCAATGGTGGTTAAAAGATTTAACATTCAAAAATGAGTAAAACGTACTCGATTTTTTAACGATAGGTTTTATTTTTTTGAAGATAAAATTTTGAACAAAATAATATATCATTCGAATTGTGTTATTTTCTCAAATAAATTAATTTTCCGATAAATAATGGCAGAACCAATTTAATGTATGTATATTACATTGGTATAGAGGTGCAATTAAATTACCATTTGTTGCCGATTCGAAATTCAATTTTCTGAAATTCAAAAAATTAGAACATTTAGAAAAGTCTATATCACTTGGAAAAAACATATTAATTTGACATTTGTTTGGGATCCAACCTTGTTATTGCTTTTAATGAAATTATATTTTTTGGTTTTTTTTCGAAAAGAAGAAAATGTGACATTCAAATAAATTATATTTGACTCATCGATCAAGTGAAGGAAAAAAAGGAAACTGAACATATTTGAAGTCAATATTTATACAAAATGAAAAGATCTCTTTCAAATATTAACCAAAAATTCAACTATTCTAAATAATCTCTTCAATAAGTTTTCAAGTATTTATTTAAAGATACTAGTTTCAATTTAAATTATTGCAAGAAAACCAATAAGCAAGAATATGAAAAAGAACTAACAGCAAACAGAAGGAGATTCATCCATTATCATGTCTTTTGAAATTAATAAAAAAAAAGAATAATCGATAATATTTTGATTTCAAAATCAAACTCGGTGAAACGAAATGCAAGTAAATTTAATCCAAATTAAGTGATGGAAATTTTATAAATCGACCTAAATCACAAATAGAGGTAAAAAATTAACCTTATTTCAGTCAAAAATTTAAAAAATTCCAAAATGGCAAAAATAATCTGAGCATAAAATATATTCAAATTACTCATGCATTTTCCTCAAAATTGGCTGAAAGTTTTTCTTGAATGTTCAAACAAACATTGCTCACAAGCATGCATAGAAGTTATATTCAAAATTTGGGGGCATTTGGCCTGTATCAAGGTAGTCAGCATACCTCTTCACAAATGAAGTCTACATTTTTCCGACTTTTTGCCACCGCAAAAATTTTTTACCACCTCATTTCGTTGACTTGTTGAAATATCTTTTGTGTTATGGTGCATTCATCTAGATAATTGTTGGAAATTTTGTGGTAGACAAAAATTTGAAAAGTGGTGGGAAAAATTTACCTGTCTTATTTTTTCAAAATGACTGGTGTAGGTATTGATCTTGGTACTACATTTTCAAGTATTGCATTCTTCCTCGAAAACAAAAACCAACCAGATGTTGTTGTAATTGACGGCCAACGCTCAATTCCTTCTGTTGTTGGTTTTGTAAATGGAGAAACAATTATTGGTCAACTAGCTAAAACTCATAAAGCAGAATATGAAAACCAAGTTATTTATGATACAAAGAGAGCCTTAGGCAAAATGTACAATGATCCTGTGATCCAAGATGATAAAAAGTCATGGCCGTTTCAAATTTCAGCAGATGAGAATGGGTACGTTCAGTATGACATTTCTGATGATGGTAAGACCATTCATAAGACTCCAGAATCAATTGCCGCCTTACTTTTGAAATTTTTAATGGGAAAATTGAACATGACTCAAACACAAAAGGTACAACATGCTGTCATTACTGTTCCTACCAGCTTTTCACGCATCCAGAAAGAGAAAATCCAAATTGCAGCCAAAGCCGCAGGAATTCAAGTTGTTTCCTTCCTTCCTGAATCATCTGCCGCCGCCATTGCATATGGACTTCTTAACAACACCGAGCAGAAGCTTCTCATCTTCGATTTCGGTGGCGGTACACTTGATGTCTCTGTAATCGAAATCAACAAGAATAACGAAGTCAAAGAGCTCGCTACAGCCGGCGACTCCCATCTCGGTGGTCGTAACATCGACAACAAATTGGCTGAGTACATTTTCGGGAAATTAGCGGAAAGTGGCAAGGATTACAGGAATAACAAGAAGGTATTATCTATTGTTCAAGATGCCTGTGAAAGAGCGAAGATTGCTCTATCAAACAAAGGTACAATTCGTGCAGATATTTCTTTCAATTTTAATCAAGAGAGCTACTCATATACAATCACTCGAAAGAACTTTGAGAAGATCAACGACGACATTTTCGACAAAATTCTACCTCCAGTTGAAGAAGCCCTTCGAAAGGCAAATTTGACTAAAGATCAAATCACAGATATCCTTGCCGTCGGTGGTTCCTCTCATATCCCAATCGTTAGAGAAACTCTTTCCGACTTCTTCGACAAAGATCCACTAGATTCGGGAATAGTCACCGACGAAGCCATTGCTATTGGCGCTGCCATCTACTGCAAGACAAAGCTCAAGGAAGGAGATGCACCTCTCGATTCCGATTCAGAATTTCTCACAAAACTCTCTGAATCTAGTTCGGACGACGAAAATGACTTACCACCACCAAGACCAGCTCCGAACCCCGTCAACACTACTCCTGCCTTCGCAAAGCCTCCTCCTGCAAGACTTGGAGGACAAATCGCACTGAAAGTCGTCAACAAAGTTCCTCATACTATATATACAAGGGATGTTGATGGATACTACGATGTTATATTTAAGAAAGGCAGCGATATGCCTGCTACAAAGAATTTGAGCTATGGAATGGCATTTACAGATAATGGAGAAAGTTTCCATGTTTTGGAAGCAGTTACAATCGAAATATTCGAAGGAAATGATGATCCGAAGAATCCAGAGTATAACTTGATTAAGAGATACACATTCACTCTTCCTAAGGATGTCCAAGGAAAACAAGAAGCAACAAAGGAAACATACAACATAGATGCTGCAGGAAACCTTAGTGTAAACTTCAAATTCCAGTTGAGTGGAAAGGAATACAAAGGAAACGTGGAGAAAGATGCACTGTTCCACAACGATGAACAGTTCAGAAATATGATGCATGATGTAAATAGACTAATGAAGCAGGAAAAAATCAATTTGTAATTTATGAGTAAAAAAATTATTTTATTAATCTATGTATATTCATTTATATGCTCTTATATCATTATGGAGAGTATAGTAATAAAGATATATCAAACCAATTGATCTCTTCTATAAAATATTTTGATAATAACTTTTTAAATGTTTTTAAATGTATGGAAATGTGTGAATTGCTGCTTCTTATGAAGCTTATTAATATATATTGCTTGCATATAAAGTGTGTCTTTACGATATTCTCATGAGAACTAAAATTAATATAATTTATCACTGTATGAATGAATAATATTCTTCATTTGACAGTATAATGTGTGTCATGAAAGCATATATGCCCACATTCTTCTATTATTCATAAAAGTTATCTGAATTATATCATTTTAAGGGTATTTTTGATTTACTTTATAACTTTAATCGAGATAACTGTTCGAATTATCATTTTGGAATTCTTTGTGAAGCGTGTTTAACTAAAATGAAATCAGATCTAAGCAAGGTGTTTGATCATTGGTCGTTCTTGAGATTGGAACTCGACTAGCCTATTGATTTTAGTCTTTTAAGAAGAGCGTGAAAGTGAAAAAAATATTCCCTACATCATTCTTTCTGAAATTCTCAGAGAAATATCGGATCATTTATGCTATTTATCTGATCAAGATTGTATCTATAACCTCCAATTAATGTCATTTATTTTCAATTGACCTTGAAATAAGGCTAATTTTTTTTCAATAAAATTTTCAATGAAGTTGAGCACAATTTTACAAAAGAAAGCTCCAGGTACAACGGTTCGAGCCACTGCTCAACTCATTGAATGTATAGATAGTGTAGACAGAAACTTTCAGAATTGCACTGATTTGTTTCTTTCGAATAATTTGATAAAAGACATTTCCAAAATAGTGCAGTTCTATAATCTATCAAGATTAATGATAGAATTCAATCAAATAACACGCACAAATGATCTACAGCCTCTGAAAAAGCTTGCAAGACTCACTGAGTTAAAAATTTTAGGGAATCCGATATGCAACTATCCTTTATATGAATCATACTTGATATACTGGTGTAAGAGATTAACATCCTTAAACGGAAAGCAAGTAAATCGCGAACAAGAAAAAAAATGCTGTTTATGATATCGAAATTTCGAAAGATATTTACTATTCAACACTTGTTTTGCAAATACTTCATATCAAGTCCTTGAATTTGGATAAAGACAAAACAATTTCAAAAAATTATTCAAATTCTCAACCAAAGCAAAGCAGAAACATTCAGAGATCAATTAGAATCGAAATCGCCTAAAGACATCAAACAGTACTTTGAATACGTAAAAAAGCTCGTAACTCAAGTCCAAAACCAAATTTCAAAAATTATTTCAGGATCAAACGAAGATTTTGCATATGATCATATCGACAACTTACCAATATTCGATGTAGCTCAAGATTTACAGTCATTATCCGAGATTTGTCAAAAACAAATCGTAATTGATTTAAATTTAATTGGAATCAACAATGACAAGCCATTTACTGAATCTCTACTTAAAGCTGCTCGCCAGAACAAAGGAGTTCTTACAATTCTTAACGATTTCATGAGAATTGCAAAACAATACCAAATCTTAAGTTCTCTTAAGAAGAAAAAGAAGGCAATAGTTAAGAATGCAAGAAAATTGTTCAGATACCACGTAGCAACAAAAGAAATCAATTTCAGAAAAATGAGACATAATATCAGGATGCAGACACATTTAGATCCATTAATTAGGGCCAAACTTGAGAAAGATCTTGATAAAAAGATCACCGATGCTCTGAAATACCATAAAACTAAAGTAATTTTTAATCCAAACGGATTATTAACAAAAGCGATCAGTAGAGAGAAAATACCGAATGATATAAAGATGCAAAGGCTTAAGAAGCGATTAGAGTTCTTAGAAGAGTTCAAAGCATGCGAAAACAGAGGATTATCTTTTGAAAAACAATTGAAGCAAGAAATCAAGTCACAACATAATGGAGATGATAGTTTACCAACTAATTCGGCTTACGATGATCTTCTTGGCCTTGGAGCTCCAAGAAGAAGGGAAATTAAAAAGATTCCAAAGAGAAAAAGGAGTTCTCAAGTTATTGAAGCTCCTCTTAATCTTCTTGATCCAAACTTGGCACAGCCAGACCAAACACAGCAGATTCAAGACCTTGCATCAGAAGTTTTGAAAGGATTTACAGAATTTTCACAAGCATTGGAAAATCAAGCACCTTCAGTTCAACTTGGTCCCATTCCAAGGCGTTCGGAGAGGTCACACAGCTTTGTTCAAGGAAAACATAATTCATTGGACTCAAAAATCGAACATCATGTACAAAGGAAATGTCCTCTGCCTTCTGTACCTCAAATAAATACAAATACTGTCTCAAATTCGGATAGTTTGTCATCAACTTCATCATATGTCAGTAGTGATCAGTTTGTTAATGATTTCCTCAATAGCCCTAGGCCAGAAATCAAGAGAAGAAGAAAACGATTATCGAGTATCTCTTTGGAATCTCCTCCACCCGACATCCTCACATAGAACTGATTTGCGATGCGTTTATTGAAATTCTAAGCTTGAGTAATTCATGTTTATGGTTTTGTAATTAGATTTTTACCAATTTTTCGAAGTTTTATTGATATTGTTGTTTTATTCATAAAATATTTGTAATTATAACCAAAGTTTATTTTAAATTCAAAATCTATTAACAATGAGGATATGTTTTCTGAAATAATATTCTTCCTAATGAAGTTTTACAATCAACCTCTCAAAAATGTAAGCTGAAAAAATAACGTCGTAATTTTGTTTGGTTCAGAATACTATAGAATATGATATTATTGCGAAATTTTGAATACAGTTTTTTGAGTGACCAATTTTCCCAATAATATGATCTATTAGTATTGTAGTTAGATAATCTATATGAAGTGTAATGTTTCAATTCATTCAATATAAAAAAAATTCTGAAAAGAAAACTGTAATCGATTCCTTTACATTTATATACTTATCAATAATTTTAATTTAAAAATATTGAATTTAACACAATTTATTTGAAAAGAAATTTTAAATAGTATATAATTCTCATTAAAATATGGTAAATATTACATCTTGACGTATAAACTATTCTATCAAATAATTGAGAGTGGTTATGAAAATTGCTAATTATACTATTATTATCCCGAAGCAAATGTCATTTTAATTTTTAAAAATCAACAAAAATGTAATCAATTTAAATTTCATCTTACAAAAGCATGTTTTGGGACTCGTTTCTCCGCAGCTTTTATGAGATATTTTATGAAATAAGGCTTCGTACATTCATCCCATATTGGGTCAGATGGATAAAGAAAATCATTATCATGCTTCAAATGGTGATTTTTACACTTGATTTTTGCAATCTGAACGATTTTTATGGTGAAGAGCTATCAACATTCAGGACACTAAACAATATTTTCCTATTCAGTCCATGGTTAGTACAAGATGACAATGCTTTGTTCATTTTATCGGTAAGTTTACTATTACATGGAATATTTATCGGCATTTTCTACATCTTTGCATTAAAATGTAAGCAGCATGTATTCATCAAAAAGGAAATACTTACTATTTTCCGTGTTTTCATTGATGTAATTTTTCCATTGTTCCAATATGAACAATTCTTTCTTTTCTCTGAAGTTTTCATAAAGTTACTTGAACAACCAAGCATTTTCTTGACAATTGCACTCCTTCTTATGGGCTGTGAAGTTTGTATTTACGCATTGTATGATTACATGGCATCTATCTTCATAAGACCTTGTCTTTTCACAATAGAATCTATTATCGAGCGTTATTCCGGTGTAACTGACCAGATTTTCTATTGGTGCAAATTTTCTTCCTTATTCGTCCAAGTTTATCTTTCGAACAGGTACCATTACCTTGTAGAAATCATACTATACTGTTTGCTACTGTTTGCAATCATCTACGTGATCTGCGCAAGAGTTGGCCGAGGAATTCACGTAACGATCATTGGCGCATTGATGGAAGACGCTCCGTTGATTATACAACCATTAGTTCTTCTCTACCACCTGCATAGAAGATGGCCAATGGCTCCTCTTGTTGTATAATTATCTTGTTTTATCAAATACGTTATTTTTTACAAGATTTACACGCACGCGATATCCAGATACGCCACTGATATCTTCCATGAGAACAATCAGCTTCCTTGGTGGCTTCCAACAAATAATTCTCTTATTATGAGGATAAATGCACAAACAATTGGCAACATCGATGCCTTTGAAGAGTTCCTGAACGTAAGAGTCGATAATCATCCAGATGAATTGTTAGAAGTCGTAAGATTTTTGGGAATTTTCCCTTCTTACAGATCTCCCCTCATTTTTATATTATCGAAGTGGAATTCCCAAAACATATATTACGATTTCCAGGCTTATTCGTTCCTAACTTACCTCAGATCGATAAATGAAAGTCCGAACCCTTTATATACGGACATCCTTGATGATCTGCACAGAAGATATCTAGTTAATGTATCTTTGTACTGGCAGAATCGCGTAAATTCAAATTATTACCAAACATTTAAATCCGCAGTTAATGCAGGGATTTGCTACAAAGATTTGACATCGTATATACTGTATCTGATCAATATGTATCCATTAGATCCACAATTAAGGCAAACTTACGCAGAAATTTCTCTAATTGCGCTTGGAGAACCGAGTTTGTCCGCAGAATCAAGAAGATTGGCCGCAGCGTTACGTGATTCATCAAACATCGTTGATGATCCACTTCTGAAGAAGATTGGACCAATGTTTCCCATAGCAAATGAGATTTACTCAAATTCTCCAAAGAATTCTTCCAACGAACAAAGCAGCGGTGAATCCACAGCCAGTCTAAACAACATGCAGCAGTCACTGATGAGGTTCCACGTCGAGAAAACCGTGATTTTCAGGGAAGACGGAAGTCAAACGAGTCCTACAGCGATGTTCGTCCAAAAGAGCTTCAGATTGCAGCCAATGGGATTCGTATTGAGTTTGGTGCTGATTATTATGTGGTCAGTTAGTTTTGTGAAGTATTCTTCGAATAGAAAAAATTATATTTATCATAATTATGATTTTATCACTAATATCATATCAGATAGCATTGGATTGTCGAATAACCTCACAGCTGCTGTGTTTTGGCCCGGTTTCGTCGATTCTCTCAAAATTAATTTTTCAAATTTGTCAGAAAAAGAATGTTACTCGAAAATAGTTGGATTATACGAATCAGTATATGAATATGTTACATCTCTTCGCTTGGATTTCCTTGTAACTTCAAAAGTTCTTGTTTATTCAAACAAATTTTTGACAACACAAACGATAACTCATAATAATCGTTGTGAAGCACTTAATTCTATTGTTATGAGCTCATACAATTTCTCTGCTTCAATTTTGGACGATTTACAGCATAAAAACGATTATTTAGTGAATCTTTCATCAAACATCAACTCAAAATTGGAAGGATTGTTCCATTGTGACAGGTTCATGCTGTTAATGTTGTTCTACGCTCTAATTGGTGTTGTTATCAGTGTTTCTTGTTTAATTTTGTTATTAAATACGGTGAAAAGTGACTTACCTAAGAAAGCCATGGAATTTTTGGGATCTAAAGAGAGACTTGGACTGTTACTTCTCAAGAGATCGATAGAAAGTTGGGATTTGTTCAGAGCAATCTTTCCTATTGAAAAAGGAAACGGAAATGTATTAGAAGAAATGGAAAACAAGAAGAAACCGAGGATGAGAGTTGCAAAATATCCATCAGAAACTGTAATCAAGGCTTCAAATCAAAGTCATCATATAGATTTAAAGGATTCGAAGCTTGCAATCTCGTTTATAGGTGTTGATGATATTCTTAGACCATCAGTCTTTGGTTTAATGAGTCCGTTTATTAGTACTTCTTCAACATCTCAAATTTCTAGTTCAGATATGTCTGAAGGATTCGAATTTTCTACTGGCGGAACACCTTTTAGTGCTGTAAGCAGTGCAAATAATAGTGAAAAAGATATTGTTATTCAAAAAGAAAGTTTAAATGGTTTAGAATTGGTTTCTTCAGCTGAAGAAATGACAAAGAAGAGCCAATTATGTCCTTTGTATTCTATAACGATTACTTCTGTATTGCCATGGTCCGTTCTACTTCTTCTTTTACTTGCTGCTCAAATTATCACTCTTCAAAGGAATATATTGATTTCTACTAAGACGAACATGATCTCTGAGAATTATATGAACTTGAATTCAATGCTTTCTTCTATAAAAAGCGCTTTGGAGCCGGAAAATATTTCTTATTTCGATTTTACGCTGACAAAAACATTGTCAGACTACTCGAGAGGCTTAGAAAGGTTGTATTCAGTAGCATGCAACTTACAAGGCCCGCCATTAAGTAGTTACGTCGCATTTATGATTAATGCAGTCTTATTCTTTTGGTTGGTCATGTACAGTATTATCCAATACGAGAAGAGTATTGTTAAAGGAATCAGCTCGCTCTTCCATTTCCCTTACGGATATTTAGACGATTACTTTAAGCCACATGATAATCCTCCAAAGGAAAAGTTGTCCGAAAAGATCATAGAAGTCAGCATATTCGAAGACAATGGATATATCAGTGACATTTCCCACAATTGCCAGCAATTGATCGGATTAAATCCTCTGGAAGTTATCGGCAGAAAATTCAATGACTTGTTCCCGAGGAATATTTAAACGTTCGCTCATTCAATTGTGTGAACAAGAAAACTAAGAAATTTATATCGAGTTCATTCAATAGCGGTCATATTTTGAAGACAGCACTACTCGATGAGACTTTAATTGCTACTTCGGCAACAAATTACCTTGCGCAATTGACAGAACATATTCCATTATTATTTGCCAAGAATTTGTGTGATAAAGGTACTCATCAGTATAAATATGATGATGCTATTGTTATTGTTGCCTATTTCGATTCCAAAGACTACAAAACTAACACTGATCACTTGTTTTCTGCTGCTCATCATATGTTACAGTGCTATACAACAGTGTCAGTGCTCGGATGCAACGGATCTTACATGGTTTTCGTATGTACTGACAAGGATAAGTCAATTCCAATAACATTAGTCAGAGATTTCGTAAATGAATCGAAACCATTGATCACAAGAACCAGAGAATCAACACAAAGAGTATTATTATCAGTAGTAATGTCCAAACAGTCTCTATCTGCTAATTTAAGCAACGATGGAGAATTACATCTTTCTCTCGACTGCAAACGCAGAGATGTCATGAAGGAAATAGCTCTTGCAGTTGAACCTTGCTCATTTGTAGTTATTGATGAATGTAGCAAGTTGTACGGTGCAAATTTAGTTGAAGAAACAGAAATAATGCCTGGAGTGATGGGAAGAAAGATTCCATTCTCTTCCATAGACAAATTAGTCCAAGCATTATAATGTTTTATATGTATTTGTTATGTTTTTTTATAAATTATGTTATGTATTGTTTTATTTTATTGATTTTTATAATTTAACTACCAAACAATGACTATGCAACAATAGATCATCTCTATTTCAAATATCTTAAAGTCTGAAACCTAAATTTCAACAAAACATCAAAGCAATTTTCGAAAAAATGACCGGATTCTGCATAAATAAATTGGAAAATCAAAATAAAAACATGACGTCATATTATATTTTCTCTATGAAATCATTTTAATAGGTATTGGTAAATCTAGAGGGTGTCCAACCAAAATAACCTTAAAATGAATTTTACCTTTTTGAGTTTTTCTTCATATTCAGAGGAAGTAGAGAAAAGTTTAAACGGTAAATACATGCGAATGCATATCAGCATTATGCTCGAGCTGGATTTGTATATTTTTCTTTTCGTAATTTGAATAAATTCGAAAAATACTGATTTATAAAATTATAATAAGAATTATAATTTACATTAAATATCTGATAAAATAATAAAATAAAAATGATGATTTTTTGAATCAAAAAATTGAACGATGATTTTTTCAAATTATTATATTTATTGTAAATAACGACAACTGAAGGTGAGATATTGAATATTCATGATTGGGAAAATGTTCAATTTTGAGATTGAGTTGAGATATCATATTAAAAATTTATTTAAAAGGTTAACATATAGCTTAATGATATGTAATATATACATATTATGAGATATGCATATTTAAAAGGGGTATGATCGTTGAAAATGGTATGATTCCTAATTTAATCGGTAGGAAAATATTATGAAATTAAATAATTAAAAGAATTTCAAATAACTTCTATGTGTGGTATTAAAAGTATCAATATATAGCAAATATAGTAATTAAGGTTTAAAGAAAACAGGGGACACAATTAAACATCTTATATTAATAATAAATTGAGAGCATGTCAATATCTCATAGTTCAATTGGTTTTCTGGTAAAAATGGATCGGTAAAGGTTGCAAGTTTGATTGTGATCAGCGTTTTTTTTAATTTTGAACGATAATAAGATTGTGAATAATAGATAATAGCAACCAAAACATAGTTCGAAAATTTACCTAAAATGATAGAGTATGGTAGGAAGTACATACCCAGGTATCTAAAATATCACCTAAAAGCGCTCTTAATTTATGCCAATTGGCATAATAAAGCTACAATTAGAATGCTGACATGATGAAGAATCATTATGAATCATAATTGGCCAGTATGATACAAGATTTAAGAAATCTTAGAGATTATCTGATTTCATGAAACACAGTGATTACTAAGTTTCAGACTTTGAAATTTTAACATGTTGATATGGGTACATAGGACTTATGATTCCAGTCATTTATTTAAAAAATTAGGAATAAGAATTAATATGATGTGAGTAACATTGGTAATAAATGCTTAATTACTAATATATTATTTCTTGGTAGAAATTAAATGTTTTGGTGGCATTTATAGAAGTTAAGCTGAGAATCAAAAATGCAAAATTTAATTTATTTTCGTGTATCTATATGGGTACACTAAGTTATTGATGTATATAGGAAAGAATCATGAAAATGAATTGTGAATCTCAATATTAGTTGTGTAATGCTGCGTCATATTTTGAATTCAAAATATCCATAATGTTGATAAATGTATTTTAAGATAATACATAAAATTAAGCTTGAAAAAAGATATCGAAATGTAATTTTCAATAGATTCAAAGTTTGGCATATATTTTGATTTTAACTATTGATATATTTATCGAACATCTATAGTAATAGAATGCAGAACTAACTAAATATAATCAATAAAAAAATATGAGTTGAAGTAATATTCTAAGAGATATATGTGATGTTACCAATATGACATGATATTAGAAAACTGATTTAATGGCGATGTGAGACTAAATATTATATGATAATGAGTAGGGAAAAAATATTAATATGAATTTCTTGAATTGAATGTATTTGAATGTGTGGTTGAGGATAAATTATTGATATATATATTGGAATATTAACTAGAAATAAGAATAGGAAAGATTGTTAATGAATAATATGAGATTAAAGGAAAATATATTGTTTTAATGGATGAGTGTTGAGGCTCAATATATCTGAAGATTATATATGAGAAAGAATTAAATAAACTATGAAATGAGAGAAAATATAACAAAAATGTATATGAATTATAATAGTATTTAAGAATGAAGATGCGTTATTTATTGATCTGTAACGATGATAGAGGAATGATAAAAGAAAGATATAATGAAAAAAAAAGTTTATTAAAGCATGTTGGGTACAGTTTATAAAATTTTGGTCATTTTATATAGTAATTAATTATGGAGTCTTCGGGTAATTATAAACTTTTGTTATAGTAGAATTATAATTGGAAACTTTGACCGACAAGAGTGTGTTATGCACTCTTGTCGGTCGCAATGTGTCATTCTGGGAGACATTGCCAATGCATGTCTCCCAGATTGAGACAATATTCCGCAATCAGAATACATTACTATTACATTTCTTTAAATTTTTCAAATATTTTCAAAAAAATAAATTTTTTCCTCATATAATTTTATATCTCAAAATTGAACATTTTATATTACTAGTGAATACAATAGTATTGACCTAGACACTATCCTCATATCATATACCAAATTTGGAGCCAAAATCATCGTTAAATCTTTGGTTGGACACCCTCTGTAAATCTGATTGGATTTTCCAAACAGCGCAGTTTTGATAACATTATTTGATTGTTTATTTATATTTGAGATATCCGATCAAAACGTTCTAAAGAAACCCCAAATGGATATAGCGCAAATTCGAGACTCTTCCACTCACCTCTCAATTTGAAAATGGCAATTGAATTTCGCAAAACTTGCTGAGATGATTAGCAAACTGAGTTACAAAATGTTTTCCGTTTCTATAAGAATTCTTTTTACATAACGGTCATCCAAAACTATAAAGTCGAAAAATTTGAGCTGAGAAATTGCACTGCAGCAAACTGTTGTTTAGCCGATAACCAAAATAACGGATAACTTTTAACGTACAATATCAATTTCAATCTTCACAAAAATAAAATTTTTTTTATAAGGAAAAAAATTTTTTTTATCAATTAAAAATTAATGAAGAACTTTGAAGAAATAAAAGTTATTGGAGACGGTGGCTTTGGCATAGTCACTAAATGCAGAGATAATGATACGGGGCAAATTGTTGCTATCAAGAAAATGAAGCAGAAATTTGCGACTTTTGAAGAATGCCTTCAACTCAAAGAAGTTAAATCTCTTCGAAAAATCAAACATGATAACGTTGTTAGATTAATGCAGGTATTTAGAGAAAACGAATATCTTTATTTAGTCTTCGAATGTTTAGGAGAATCGTTATTAAAAACTCTTCAAAATAGAACAGGACCATTCACGGATGCCGAAGTTAGATACGTCATGCATGAAGTTTTAAGCGGTCTGGCCATAGTTCATGGTCAAGGATTTTTCCATCGCGATGTTAAGCCCGATAACCTGCTTTGGGCTGAAAATGGAAAGCTTAAGATTGCAGACTTTGGTCTGGCTCGAGAAATTAAGAGTAAGCCTCCTTATACAGAATATGTTGGAACAAGATGGTATAGAGCGCCAGAAATCATCATTCATCATCCTTTTTATAATTCATCCGTTGATATATGGTCCGTTGGATGCATAGCTGCCGAACTTTACATGCTTAAGCCACTTTTCCAAGGCACATCAGAGTGACTAACTTTTAAGATTTTGAATATTATGGGTACAACTCAGCAGGAATGGTCAGATTTTAATACGATTGTTAGAAAACGTGGAATTCGTCTTCCACAATGTTCTCCACAAGATTTATCGACATTAATTCCAAATGCATCCCAGAAGCCATAGATTTCATCAGCAATGTTTGACATGGGATCCCATTAATAGGCCAAGCGCAAATAAAGCACTTCAACATAGATTTATTCAAGGAGAGAAAATTATGCCTCCATTATCAACAAATGTACCAGTACAGAAGGTCTCTACAGTTCAGACAGTACCATCTCTTAACGATGATGGTATAAATGTCATTCCAGAGCAATCAAATTCGCTAAACTTTTTCAAGTCAAGATTTCCTGATACAAATCCAAATATGTTTGATGAAGTTGGATTCAGACAGATACAGAACTCTGGAAAGAATATATATAAAGATCCTCTTGGCAAATCTCCAAGACATAATCAACTGTTTAATGCGAGAATCGGATTTGGCAGCCAGTCTAAGTTTTAATATTGTTTTGTTTTGTTTTTTTATAAAATGTTAATTATTAATATGATTTTTGTAAAATCAAAAGTTTTCAAAATCAAAATTTTATTGTAAAACAAAAAAAACAAAAGAAATTAGAGTTCATCTTGGTTAGGAGTCATCTCAGCTTTCAAAGCTTCAGTTCCATCTGGAGAACTTAATACGATAACGGCTGGCGTTGATACAATGGTTGGCTGAGCAGGTAGTTCCATGCCTTCTTGCCATTGTTTGCCTTCTTTTCCTAAATTAAATTCTTTGATATCGTCCAAAGCGACTTCAATCGAAGAAGTTAAGTTTGAATCGCCTACCATTGAGTATCCAGCAGAATCTGTAGCTCTAAGTCTGAAAATACAGCAATGCTGTTAATATAATTATTTCAGAGATATATTGGAGAGTTGCCGATGCCCATAGCGGTGCTTCTGTTACTGATGTAATAACCATGCAGACAAGAGCTAATATGCACCCTAAAATTATAGTTTTTTGTAAGAATGCGTACATTCTATGTTTTAGATAGACTGGAGTGGATTCTGCATCAATTCCTTCGTTCTGTATAACTAACAGATGGGCCATAATATGCAATGATGCTTGGTTGATGCTTTGTACAAGTTCATAAATAAATAATGCAATGAAAAGAAGAGCTACAGCCATAGCGTATATTGCGTATTTTCCTAAGTAGATGTACTCGATGATCTTTTGTAACGACATGAACAAGAAACTGTATAATAAACTTGCAGCTATTTCTCTGAGGTGAATAGTGTCTTTTATGATACACCAACCTTTGGCAGCGAGTAGCAATGTTGAGAAGAACATGCCTCTTGACAATAATGAGAAGATTATTGAAAAGATTTGGAGACCAAAATCTGTATCATGGTGATTGAGTCGTAAAAGTAGAATGAAATCGGTAATAAACATCATGTATGTCGTAAAGAATGTGAGTGATATGAATAAATGTAATCTAATGAAAACATTTTTGTGGCTATACCAATTATATGACCAAAGTGCAATTAAGATAGTGCAAACTAGTAATATTGCTGGTAATATCTTTAGTAATGGTACTTGTCTGATGTCTAAATTGGTGGTTGGATTATGGAATGAAAAAACAATATGATAGTCGAGTTTTGATGATTTAATTGTGGAGTTGGAAATATTAAATTGTAACTAAAATAAACAGAATATTGATATAAATGGTATTTTTATTTAATATAATATAACATAATATAATATAGTATATTTAGTAGTATTGTTTGTCAAATCTTCTTTTGTATCTGAAGCATTGTACACTGGAGCTGGTGCTGGAAAGATATATGCTCCAGATTGTTGAGGAAGAGCTTCATAAAGTGATCTTCCTCGAATGGTTCCAAGGACTCAATAACACATATTTCAGATATCAATATTATTGATTTTGTTTGAAATGTCGCAATTCTTTAAGTAACCTTTCTAAATGAAATTATAATTCTATTTGGTAATTCCTTGTAATAAATATAATAATGATAAAAAAAATAATTTACTCCGAAGTTTTTTAGACAATAATTGTCTCAGTGACAACATCTCTGTCTGGATTTCCACCTTTAAAGTGTATTTGATAAAATGCGGCACTGAAATAAACAATGAGAACAATAACAGTAATAGATAACAATATGCAGCCAATGATGAATCCAGCAGATCTAATATAAGAATTTTTGTTTGCATTTCCTGTATCTGCATTTTCTTCTAGTTCAGAAATCATTGCCAAGTCACCATCTGCAAGAAAGCCAGCAATTCCAACTGTTCCTGACTTAGCAACAATAGAAACTGTATGATTTGTTGCATTTGTCAATCCTTTGAGACCATACAAAGAAACTTGATAAACTTTCTCCGCAGCCAAATTAGTATAGCTTGGATTAACATATGATGTATTTACTGTTCCATTGTAAACACTATCTAAATATACATCAAATATTCCACCATAATTTGTACTCACATCTCCTAAAATACCAATAGAATCTCCTGTAGAATTCAACATAACTTTAAATGTCAAATTTCCACCAGCAGCCATTTGATAACCTTTTCCATTGAAATACAAACCTTTGTTAGTTAAAGTTGCCGATCCATTTGCATACAAGTATTGATGTGTTACAGGGATGATATTTGTTGAATGAGAGATTACCCATTGTGGTTGAATCTCTGTGAAAGGTCCCCAATAACCTGCTTCATTTGAACAAATATCTATTTGCAAAACAGTACAATTATAATCTCTTCCAAGATCGATATATCTATTAGCTGTTGTCGTATCGAACAATTTACTTGAAATAATTGTTCCATCACAAGTAAGATTTACTGTTCCAATCAAATGTCTATAAGCTGTTGGAAGATATAATCTATCAAATTTAATTGATTCTGTGAAATTGACTTTATAAGTCAAAGGGAATGATGTTCCATAAGTTAAAGATGGTTGTGTTCCTGTATTGTAATCAAACAAAAGAGTTGTTAAGTTATAATTAGGAGAAGATTGCGTTGGATGCTGCAATAACTTAAATTTAGTTTGGTCAAACAAAACTGCAGTAGTACCATAATAATGACCTAATGTTGGATCATTTTCTGGATTTGGAATATAAACATTATGATCATAATCACTTGAATTACAGTAATTCTGCATTACACGAGAAGAAGGAACAGTTATAACTGTTGTAGAATTACCAATAACATATCCAACTTTGCCATTTCCAGCACCAGCAGAATTCAAAATAACATATCTATAATAATAGTTTTGACCACTTGTCAAATTAATTTTCTTTGTGTTTTGGTTGATATTATAATAGATAGAATAACTTGTAAGATTTGCAATTAAATGAGAAGCATCTGTTTGAATGTTTCCTGTTAAAACTGAATCTGATAAATAGAATAAACATGCTTCATCATGGATAAAAGTAAATTTGTATTCACCAGTTTCATTTGGAATGAAAACACCTTCACTCAAACAAACCCATGGAACATAACTTGTATCACTACTATATTGAGGAACAACAATTCCATCTGTACTTAAAACAATTGTTGAATAATCTTTATTAGCTTCAAGAATTTGATAAGCTTGTGTAACAGTTGTAACAGATGATGACAAATTATAGAATGAACATCTTGTTCCATTAACTACTTGTTTAACACTTACAACCATTTTAGTTATTTCTGAATTTGAAGCATCTTTGTAATTGACATAAAACTTATCAATAATAGAAAGATTTGATGGTGGAGTATATTTATAAATACCTGTTGCCAAAGCAGTGAATGTTCCTTGCCCACCTTCTATTGATTGGAATGAGAAAGTATGCATTACTGATCTTGTTTTCATGTATTTAATGAAATTGAAAACATAAGGTGCACGAGCAGGAATATTAAATGGTCTTGCTGTTTCGAATTCAACATTATCAATAATATTAACTATAAAAAAATAAACCTTACCATCCAGAAGAATTTGTAATTACGCAAAATTAAGAGATTGTAATGTTGGTCATAGCAAGTACAGGTTTTAATTATGTGTAGCATGAGAGCCATGAATTGGTGATTTAGAAAAAATGTAGGAAAAAATTAAGAATAATTGAAGATTGTATAAGAAACAAGAGATAAATTCCAATAAAATCTAGTTATAACAGTGGGATGTAGTTAATAGGAGAAGATCTGATTCGAAATGCTAATGTAGAATGAAGGGAATTCTCAAATTGATTTAATATATGTTTTATATTTATTCTCAATAAGATTAATGTGAAGGGACTTTAGCTCACCTGGGAGAGCGTGCAACTGAAGATCGCAAGGTACGTGGTTCAAGTCCGCGAAGTCCCAAATTTTCCCCTTTTTATTGAAATTAATCCAACTTTTTCACATTTTGACTAACATTATTGCCTAATTTTTCCGTGGTAGTTCTTGAACATATAAACTTGATCCCTACAATGTCTATAAGATTGATCTTTTTTTCTTTCTTATTGAATCAACTTTGTAAATGGGAATTTCTGAATTCTTCTATGGTATATGAGTCAATGGATTTGGATATCTCAATAATAATACCGTACCATATGTATTAGATATTATCCAATCCAATAATTCCCTTTTGCAATTTGCTCTGTGAACCATAATAGGGATTTAATCATGTCAAAATAAAGTGAATTGTTTTAGAATAGTTAAAATTTGATCAAGCAAAAAACTCTGCGGATGTCTTGTAATCATTGGAGACATAATTCTGTGTTCGTTTTGAGATAATAATAAATGAAATATCATCGATATGTCCATGATGTCCTAGTACATTATATCGTTTTCAAATAAAATGAATATATCAAGAAGATTCAGAAAAAATATAAAAATAATCATAAAATTATAATATAACGATCTAAAAACATTTATAACAATTTGTATAATAAAAATAGTATATAGTGATTCTAATTTATAAATTCTTCAAATATCATAAAGTCTTCGAAATTAGTGTCAAGGAAGCATTTATCAAGAGATGTGATTCCCAGTGGATTCTCTTCATTAACTTCTATCTTGGTTGGATTAATATTAATATTTGACTTCTTATGATTTTCTAATTTTACATGGGATTGTTTTCTTTTATTTCTTGATCTTCTGAGATACTCTGCATCTATGAACATCACATTCTCTTTTGTGGCATGACGACGCATCAATTTGCGACATTGTGCTTTGATCATGATGTCGGTGCGGTTGACAAAGAACTTGGAGATCATGCGCCACTTGTGACCAATCTCGTCGACTTTGCAACGAAGAAGATAGTTCTCTTCTGGACTGAATTTGTCACAGTTGATACCGTCACGAAGATAGTTGACATATCTGTCCTTACATTGACGTTTGTTCTTGTTTGACATCTGGAATGAGACAAAACTCCAATTGATCTTACGTAAATCGTTCTGATAATATTTTTCAATGATACTTTTCAACTTTTCATCATCTTCTTTTGTAAACAAATCGTGTCTTTTTCTTGATATTTCATCTGAAGATTCGTCTTCACTAGATGAGATAAAATATTCATCAGAAAGTCCCTCAGTACTCATTCAACAAAAAATAAAATAGATGTTAAAAAGCATCTCATTTTTGAGAATGCATTCAATTCTTTAAAATAGATAATAATAATGATAACACTAAAATAAGCAAATTTGATTTTTAACAATTGAAAGACAATCCAAAATTTGCGATTTAAAAACCATTGAAAAAATTGAAGTTTTAAGGGGATGGCAAAAATAAAAAGAATTCTAAGGTACCACATATGTACTATTCATGATATGAAAATTAGATCACCTATTGAAAATCGCGATCGGCATTGAAATGTTGGTGACAGCTCACAAAAAATCCGTGAAATCACTTTTTCTTTGCGCTCTTGTAATATTCAAATTACAGCGGCTGGGGAAAATGAATTTTTATAATAATAATATTCATCATGCATGAAAAAAAAATATCGAAATTTAAAAACTAAAAGTATATTATCAACGCATGAAATATTATATGTGTACCCATGCAAAACTAGTAATAAAATATAGAACCAACAAATAGAAATATAAGATATTATTAAAATCTTAAAATGCACTGAATTATTAGCAAATTCATATCTTCACTAGCTAATACTTCATCCAACCATTCAATCAAATGTACAAAATGAATAGCTGCAATTGAGTGATCATCAAATTTTTAAAAGTATTTTAAACCTATATTTTGAGCATCAAAACATATTATAGAAGTAAATTATCAAGCATTCATCAATGTTATGATATAGAATTTTAAAATTATTTTTTTGATAAGGGAAAACGCCTACAATTGAAGGTTTGATCTGAATTTAGAAAACTTTTTCTTTTTTCAACCAGTTGATGGGCGTGGCCGAAATATACAATCGGTCAAGCGAACTTTTATCAAGTCGTCAAAAATTAATTCTCTGAAAACTTTCTGATTTATAATGAATTACCCTGATATCATTCTACCCATTATTTTAAATTGATATAGAGCAATTCCTTATATTTCAATAGCATTCAATTTTCAATGTTTTTGGTTCAAAAGTTCTGAAATTTTTAAATAGTCATTATAATGTTTGAAACAGAAAATAATTACAAGCGAAAAGTTTTAATCAAATAAATAAAAATACTATATAAAAACACAAGGGAGTTATTCATAAAAATACGCAAAATCTTCAATGTCTTCAAAGTCCATAAGAGGATCAATAAATGCACTGAGATCCAATATTTGGTTAGTATCAGGGGATGATTGTTCTTCTTTTCTCATGACATTTGATGACTCAGTCTTTTTTGCGTTTGTGCGACACCCTGTCACCCTTGTGGCCTTTTTTCTTCTCTTATCTACTGATAAATATCTCACATTTTCTATCGTGGCATGACGACGCATCAATTTGCGATATTGTGCTTTGATCATGATGTCGGTGCGGTTGACAAAGAACTTGGAGATCATGCGCCACTTGTGACCAATCTCGTCGACTTTGCAACGAAGAAGATAGTTCTCTTCTGGACTGAATTTGTCACAGTTGATACCGTCACGAAGATAGTTGACATATCTGTCCTTACATTGACGTTTGTTCTTGTTTGACATCTGGAATGAGACAAAACTCCAATTGATCTTACGTAAATCGTTCTGATAATATTTTTCAATGATACTTTTCAACTTTTCATCATCTTCTTTTGTAAACAGACAATGACGCTTTGGATCTTCATCATCAACGTCATATAATGGAGACTCGCTCGATTCATCACTATGAAATGTCTTCATTAAATATAAATGATTGGTTTTATTCTTTCAATTTTTCAAATAAATTTTTATATATAACTTCGGAAAATTCTGAGTAAATCACTTTTTCAAAAACTGAATTTTGGGCTAATTATCATCTATATGTGATCAGCTAGGTATAAGTTAAAAAGTATTTCAATACGTAATCCAAAAATTAGCATTGGAATTGAAAAAGTCAATTGCCATCTAGAGAAATATTATTATAACAACCAAAGATCCTCCAAAAAATATCTTTATAAATTGGTTTTGTGAGCAAACCATTGAATGGTGGATGATGCGAAAAAAAGTATTCCTTCAAAATCACTAACTCTGTTCATCAGATAAAAAATTTTCCATTAGAATAGCATAGGATAGTTCTATTGATACAAGTGTTTTTGGCGAATTAATCACCAATGATCGCTATTTGGTTCAATAGTGTCAAAAAGTAAGTTACTTTTTGAGAAATTGGATTGCCGTAGAATTTGTTTAATACGATAGTATGATTATCGGTTAAAAAGAAGAGCTTTGAATAATCAAGAAAAAGTCTCAAATTAAAATATTTCTGAAATTATTCATAGGTAAATAATGGGAAAATACGCTCATCCAAGCACCTATTCAAATGTAAAAAATATTTCGAAATATTAGGTTATTAAATGACAGTTTGGAGAAATTATCCATATACACGAAGGAGAAAAGTAGATTTGATCTTACCAATACTCTCAGATAGAAATGTTATTGCTTTAAATATTTGTATATAAACGAGAATTTGAAAGCGGTATGCAAAATAAATTTTAATACAGGAATTTTAGTTAATATAGGTTTGCAAACTTACAATATAGATCAATTTATATTTCTTATTTAAAAAAACATGTTATCATAATATAACATGGAAGTTAAAGAGAATTTTAAAAATCAATCTGTTTTTCATGTAACAAACTAGTCTTAATGATTGGTGATCATTTACTTATTAATTGTTTTTGTTTTTTGTTTTAAGTAATTGATAAATATATGAATTATACCTGAAAATTGTAAATTTCTTTATTAATTGGTAAATTATGCTTTTCATAGTTGATAAGATAGATCTGTATCAACAGTACGATTTAATAATAGAATTATGACCCTTAAAATTGCTAGAATTTATGAAACACTTTTTTTTCTTTGAACAAAATTGAATTAAAAGTTATTGTTTTTCATGAAATTGTTTATTTTTATATACCTGACGCATAGTGTTTAACTTGTTCTCAAAAAGTTATGTTAAAATTTTGAACCAAATTTTAATTTTTTGATATTATTGAGTGATTATTCAAAAAATTGGATTATTATTCAAATTGATCATGGAATTTTTGTAAAAGGAATATACTTTGATGAAAATCAATGGTTATTCATGGAGCGATAAAACATTTTTTGAAAAGATTCATTTCAATAAGCTTTGAAAAACTTATCTCATCAATTATTTAATGATGGTAATTGTACTTTTATTTTAGACAAACTAATTTTGGATATTTTCCAATTTCAATTTATCGTCATTTTTGAATTCGACTTTGAAAAAGAACTTTCAGAATACAAATTATGCAAAACAAAACAATCTTTAGATATTACTGGGTGAATTAACCTATGTGTGCAGGATTTTTCCCAAAAAGCAATGAAAATTAAAATAAAAATAAAAATTATTAATAAATATATCGTTTTTGTTGTCGACTGCATTGTCACATTAAACAAAAAGTTATTGATGAATGGGAATATTGTCTGATTTGCATTTTATTAAAATTATTTCAGAAATGCAGAATTTGCCGCAGATTCAATGCACAGTAGAATTTTCTGAATGGATGACTACTTGAATTTAGTATACATATTTCGTTCTTCAAGAAAGCAATTGAAATCTCAAAAATATTAGAGCGAATCGATATTTCATACTAATTGATAGTATTGAATTGGATAATACATGCTAATTCTATCAATAAAGCTTTAAAAATAATGTGGTACGCAATTTGCAATTTGCTTGTTGTTCTTTCATTTTTCCTATCAACTTATCTTACGTTGAGACAAAGAAAGACTATATTAAGAGCAACAGAACCGCCTAAGATTTTCAAGGATAAAATCACAGATGAAAAATTCCAAAAAGAAAAAGCTTATCAAACTGATAAAATTAACTTCGCATTACTTCAATCGGTCATTTCTTTCTTCTTAGTATTATTCAAAGTCAAATTTATTGGCACTTTCTGGAACTTTTTCAATTATGGTGGTGAAATCATACATTCTCTTATTTTCTTGGACGTTTTCGATGTTATTGGAACCATTATCGACCTTCCATTCAGTTATTACAGCACATTCGTCATTGAAGAAAAATATGGATTCAATAAATCCACAAAGAAACTTTGGGTTACAGATATTCTTAAGTCCCAAGCAATCTCTTTGATTTTGACAGATATTTTAGTCCCAATTATTATCTTTATCTTCAGAAAAGCTGGAGCGAAATCAGTTTACATAATTCAGATCGTTCTTGTCATTATACAGTTAATTATGCAAGTTATTTATCCTATTCTCATCCTTCCTCTCTTTACGAAACTTACTAGAATTACAGAAGGACCTGCTTTTGAAGGAATTAATAAACTTTGCGAAGAAACCAAATTCAATGCTAAAGAAGTCTACAGTGCCGATGATTCCAAGCGTACTAACCATACAAATGCCATGGTATTTGGTCTCTTTACTAAAAAGATTGCATTTGCAGATAAATTCCTTGAAGATCCTAAAGTTGACCAGCTCGTTGCCATTATCGCCCATGAAATTGGTCACTCCAAGCACTGGCATATCTTCAAACAGTTCATAATTTCCCAAATTCAGTTTGCAATTTTCTTCAATGTTCTTTACATGTTCATGAGCACAGACTCCATATTCATAGAATTCGGTGTAGAAGACAAACCATTCATTATTGGAATGTTTTTGTTTGGTATTTTAATGTCCCCAATTGAAACTTTACTTGATTTACCAATGAACATGCTCAGCAGACACTTTGAGTACCAGGCAGACTCTTTCGCTGCAGAAAGGAATCTTCCGATCGATCTTGCTTTAATTGACTTGGCTACAGATAATATGGATACAATTGACGATGATCCACTTTATTCTGCATTCACAAGTTCACATCCAACAATTCCTCAGCGCGTAGAAGCTGCTCGCGCCATAATGAAAAAGAAAGAATAAAAATTTTTATTTAGATTTTTTAACATAATAACTATTTCCTTAATTTTCTTTGATACTATGTTAATTACACATTATAAATGTCAAAAACAATTAAAATTGATCAAATTTCCCATCAAATATAATAGATTTCGATCCAAAATATTAATGCTTGATTAAAACTCCTGATGATTAAGATGATGTTGCTATTAAAAATGTATTTTGCATTAAATTTCTGGAAAGACAAGAAAATTTTCCATGATATCAAATCGATTTTTATTTATTTCTAAATTCCACATAGCCATGCACCAAAGTTTTTAATAAAATATGAATGTGCTGGTTCAAATCTCAAAATCCTCACAAAATTCGACTATAAAGACCTCAAAACTTCAAACTTTGAAATAATGCTCAGTATATTGTGATTAATAACATATCTTAATTTAACGATGTGAAACACTTTAATCGTTTTTAATCTCTCAGAATGCTTTCAAAAAATTGAAATCTTTCAAAAAGATTTGGATTATTAAATATTAATCCTGTTTTATAAATATATATGTATTTTGATTGTGTGATTATTTTTTCAGAGGAAGAATTGAATGATATTTTATCAATTTTTAATATTCAAACGTATTATTATGCCAATAGTATACTCATCATTAATTTCCAATTTTTCATAAGAATAAAATTTGAATAAAAGCTTTACCACAATTTATGAGTGTCGAGGACGCCGTCATCCATTTTGATCAATACGTTCATGATCACAAATTCATAGAAGAGTTCGAAAAGCAGGATATTCTTAAGGTTCTCGAAAAGACTGAAACCTCTTTAGATAATGCTATAATTTTTCTTAATGACTTAAAATTAAAGTACAAATCGTTAGAGGTTTTTGAATTTTTCCAACATCTCAACATTCTTATTGACGCAAATGCATCCACAATTAATCGTTTCTTGATAATGTTGACAAAATCTCTTGAATGCCCATTCTTCACTGCACTTTCATCAGTAATACAGATTCTTATTAATCATTCAAGCACACCTACTCCTGCAAATTCTGGTCCTGCCCCCCCAATTTCTCAGAATATGAATATTTTACGCAGATCTATTTCAACAGACATATATAAGAGATTTGGAAGCCCATTAGCTCTTGATGATGACAATTCCAAAGTTACAAGTAACCAAAACATATCCCTTCTTAGAAATGCAAAGAAAGATTTTGAAAAATGCTACAGAATATTAGATCATTGTGCTTCTCAGGATGATAATGATTGCATTCAATATGCTATTGAAAAAGGTATTGTTAATCTTAAAGGAAAGTACGAAAGAAACATTTTCCATGAAGCTGCTTACAAAGGACATGTGAAACTTGTACAATCTCTTGTAGAAAACGGTTACGATTTTTCAATACAAGATAAAAACCATAGAAATGGTCTTCTTTGGGCTGCTTATGGAGGACACATACATACTGTACAATATTTGATGACTCTTGAGTCAGATCATCATGGAAATCAAGCTCTAATATATGCATGTGCTTCCGGCCATCTAAAAATTGTTGAATTCCTTGCTTTACTGAAATCTATTGATGTTGCTGCAGTTGATGCTGATGGAATGACAGCATTACATTGGTCAGCATTCCAAGGTAGAATTGAAGTCGTAAAATATCTTTGCGCACTTCCAAAAGTTAATTATAACGCAAAAGATAATAATGGCCGTACACCACTCCATTTAGCTGCCAGTAAAGGTCATTTAGATGTTGTTCAGTTCCTTTGTTGCCTTCCAACAATCAATGTCTGTGAAAAAGATATTGATGGAAGAACAGCTCTTCACATGGCTGCTTGGGATGGCCATCTTCCTGTTGTTCAGTTCCTTTGTACTCAATCTGGTGTAAAAGCAAATGAATTGTCAAATGCTTGGCTCACACCTCTTGATTATGCAAAGAATGATCAGATTAAGAAGTTCCTTCTTTCACAGATCAAGAAGTAATCAAATATATATAGATTTGTTTTTTATTGTTTTTATAAAATAATAATATTGTTCTAAATATATATTTTTAAGTGCAATCCGCTATAAAATCGATAAGCAATGTTCAACTGCAGGTCAGTAATGCTCAGATGAAGCTTATTTATAATCCAACAATAAATTTTTCTTCAAGTTCAATAAAAAGAGCTATGTTCTACAAAGTTTTATTAGCTGGATAGTATAGATTTATATATCTTCTTATATGGCAAGTTAATTTGAGGGAAAAATAAAATGCCAGTAAATAATGGCAGTTTATGTATAATGCAATGATTGGATAATTATGTAAATCAGTTCGTATAATTGAGAGTTACGTTGTTATTGTTATTTCATGTGAAAAACTTGAAAATAAGGAAAGATAGTATATACATATGGGTCTCATATCCAATGGCCATATGTGTCATGCGATTATTAAGAAATGAAAATATTTCATTTGCAAATAAAAGTATAAATGAAGAGCTTTTGTTGAGTTTGGAAGCTTTTATTCGAATATCAGTTGGGACTACATCTCATTATCATATTAAAGCAAATATGAGAATTCATCAGTGATTTCTATTGAATGGATTTCTATTGAATGGATTTTGGAAGTTACAGATTCTATTGTCAAAAGTGATTTCAGAGAAAATCTTATGGCACTTTTATTGATCACCCGTTAAAAAGGGTTATATTAGAGCAGCAGTATTCAGTACGTTGTGTCTTAGGCGAAATTATTAATTAGATTGTAATCCGTCCTTGATTATTCATTCTGATTGTATTGCATCGAATTATTATCTTGAAATGTAATGTATTTCGAATTATTTCCGATAATAAATAATGAAATCAATCAAACTCGATCATATAAAAGCAATAATATTTAGAAGCAAAAATAAGCAACTCGAATAAACCGTATAGTCTTTCTTGGTTCTAAATTATTAAATCTGCTTACCAAAGCATTCTGAAACTAGATTTTTGAAAAGATTAAGTATCAAATTTGAACGTTGGAAACGTTTTAGGGGACAATTACATCTCCACAAGTATACATGCAAGATGGTTATTTGTATTCGAGCGAATTCCATCAACAAAGTTGCCTGGTTGGAAAGTCTGTAGAATCGGTAAGTTGATAGAATTGCAATATGAAGTTAAAATGAATTGTAATAGGATGATAATCGTTCCAAGGTACTGAATTCATGTCACGCAGCAAAACCAAAAATCGATTGGCTTTTGAATGGTTTCAGAGTTTGATTAAAATTTTGATTGCGATTAACTATAAGAAAGGATATAAGAAGATTTATACATAGATAAAAATATAAAAAATTCAAATAAAAATTGAACAGCCCAGAACCACCTCAAATAAATGTTTTTTAAATTATTCGACATATAGATCATTACTTTGGAGTGGGAAATTTTGTGAAATATCATCAAAAACAATCTTATAGCTCACCCTTTGAAAAAATTAAGATTAACGGACAATATTCATCAATGTCAAAACAATACCTTTGTTCGGAATTTCGCAGAATTGGTGGCAATGTTATTGAAATTTCAGTGATAGTTGACGGCTAAAGGGATTCAGAAATTTCAATGTTGTAAAACCCCTTCATAAAACAAAATGATAGAAATAATCAGTACAATGTGATATTAATATCGTCGTTAATTTCGTATATGAAAATGTTTCTGAATAGTAAACTATTTAAAAAGTGATTTAATAAGTGGCCATAATTTTTTTTCAGGAACACTAATTTACAATGAGTGATTATTCCTATAGCGATAGTGATAAGAGTTCATACTACTACAGTGAAAGTTCATTATCTTCTTCTTCAAGCTCAGATTCAAAGAAGAAGGCCGCACAAGAAGCCGAAAAGAAGAGATTAGAGGAAGAGGAAGCCAAGAAGAAGGCTGAGGAAGAAGCCAAGAAGGCTGAAGAGGAACGCCTCAGAAAGGAAGAGGAAGAGCGCAAGAAGAAGGAGGAAGAAGAAAGATTACGTAAGGAAGAGGAAGAACGCAAGCGTAAGGAGGAAGAAGAGAGATTACGTAAGGAAGAGGAAGAAAGAAAGCGTAAGGAAGAAGAAGAGCGTAAGGAGAAGGCTAAGGATGAAGCCAAGGATAAGGACAAGGACAAGGCTAAGGATGCCGCTGATAACACAGGTGGTGGCTGCTGCAGAATCAACTAATTTAATTCTTTTCTTTTTTTTTTATTCTAAATGCTTAACCTATACATGATAGCATGTGTGTTTAAAAATACTTACAGTAATTACAACAAACAAACAAAAACTTTTATTCTAAAAAAAAAATATAACTAAATATTCTTTTTATAATCGTATCGAAATATCGTAAATCAAATATCTGCAAGTAGCTGTTTCTTCCTGCAATATGTAATGTGGATTTCGGAAGGGTAACGAGATGGAGAAATAAAGATATTGGATTTCACATCGAATTAATATGGTAAAATGTAATTTGCAGTCGATGTTTTACAATCGCCTTGGACAATTTCGCTTCTATTCATAGAGGATAAGGCCAAAGCATATAATATTGTATAATGTGGTATTTGATATAAATATTATCGTAAAACTAGTCCTAGTTGAGATTAGCAATTTAATTCTGTGTGAATGCCCGGTAATGATAATTTTGCGATCGAAATTTTGATTTTAAAACGAGCATTTTGTAGGTAATATGAGAAATAAGCATGCATTAAGTAAGGAATTTGTGTTTGTTTTTATCTGATGAGGTAATGGAATTCATCAAAGTTGGAGACATTGCAAAAAATGAACTTGCGTAAGCTGAAAAAGAATTGTACTCATCTTTCCTAAATTAGTTGCTTTTGATTCAACAATGTAATATACCAAAAATAGATTTTTTCGGTTTTCTCTTCAAATAATTGAAAGAATGATACTATTATAGGTTTATTATATTATATAGCATATAATCATGCTATAGCCGAAAATTATAAGTTTTGAGAAGATTGAATATAACACAAATAAATTTGAATGTAAGTTAAATTGCTTGTTGTTTTTAATAGCTATTTAATGAGAAATCCAATATTGCAAAATTCAAATTGAATGATTGAAAGAACAGAAAAAGTCATTCTTTTCAATTTCGAATATGTTTCATTGTATTTATAATTATATGGCAAATAAGATATTTAAACTTGATTTTTGAAGGAAAATTCACAAAATTGAATAAATTCAAATAATTTTTATTCAAAAATAAACTAGTTATTTAAGTTTACTACTAATTATCTATTCAAACTACAAAGTTTGTAATTTAAAATATTTTGTGAGATCAGATTGAATTAATTCAAAGTTCTTTTCAATTAATATTAATGACCATATTACGCATTTTCGAACATTCTAAACCAAATATATAAAAATGGGAGACGAATGTTAAATTTGCTAGACATGGGGGAGTTGTCTGCAAAGTTTTAGCTCTTATCTCTAACAAAAAATTAATTTTTAAAAAAATGACCGAATACGTTTCACAGCGAGAAAAAAATAAAAGGCAAGATAGAATTTTCTAGACATAAAGAAGTTGTCTACCAAGTGTCAGCTGTTACTTCTTCTCAATACTGATATAAAATAAAAATCTTTATTATTTATTTAACCTTTATTGTTTCATTAAACTTCATTTATTTTATATTATAGTTTTATTCTTTTAGCTACTTGTAAAATAATCTAATTTTATATCATCATTTTACCGGATTATTCTTCAGTACATCGATTGTGTATCTAAAATAATATCATTATCCTTATTCTGTTTTTTCCAAAATTCTTTTAAATAGGGTTGTTAGATTCCCGACGATAGGTGTCTTGGAAGATTTGCCTGGTGTCATCATAGAGTCTTTAAATCAAAAATTTTATTTTGGAGTTAGTTTTATTGATTTTTCAATAAAAAACATTTCTAAAACAATAAATTAAAACGATAAAATATTTATATTTTATATAAGGATCTTATATATTTAAAATAAATATCATTTTATTTTTTTCATTGGTGTCCGTCAAACCATAATACACTATTCAAAAATTCAATGTGTCTTGCGGTTTCAAAAGACACCTTCAAATTGAACGATAGCACAGACACTATTGAATTTTACCCATTTTATTTAGTTTTTACCCTTTTTATTTTTAAGAATTAATGACTGAAACAGCCGTTTTGCTATGACCTCAATCACTTTTATTTATTATTTTAAATATTATTTAATTTTATTATTTGAATAGGCCAACTTATATTTGAGAAGCTCAATTTGAGACCACTTAATACATTGAAATATCATAAATATTGAAATATTAAAAAGTGTATTTCAAAATATTGAAATTATAAAAATTTATAATACTGAAATTGAGACAAATTAAGGGTGCACACGAGAGGATCATGTAAACTTCAGAATTTAGAACCTTATTTTTAGGCATTATCTTGGCTACCTATTTCGGCTCGAAAAGCAAAAAATATCAAAAAATACAACTTGACTCCATTATGACCCTTTCATGGAGGTAGTTTTTATCCGCTAGTATTTTCCCTTTGAATCTCTTTACAATTCGCAATCAAATTCAAAACTCAGTAGAAGAAAGGAAGAATCGACTTACTACGGTTGTAATACGACTAAATACATATATTTAATTATTTTTATTTACATAATAATTGTTTGAAGCTCATATTCCAACAAATTTTTAAATAAAAACATTAAAATGTTGAAAATGTTCATATATTTTAATAGGGTTTTGGCACTTTATTGAGGAATTACTACATACATAGTCGAACTGAACTTGATATTTTGAAATTTAAATTATTTATCAAAATTAAAATTTAACTTGAAATTTATAATTATTTAGTCATACTTTGCATAATTCTAAGTAGATTTTGTAAAAAATCAAGAAAGAAAAATTTTCACGTGCTTTATTTTTTCTTTTTTATAATAATACATATTATTATATAATTAACATATTCATAATGTTTTCTAATAAACAGAAATTCATCAAAAGTGGCAGCTCTCAATTTTTTGACATTTGTAAATTCTAAATTGAATGAGAAAAATGAAATAATACTAAGCATAATACAATATTCTAGATTTAATTATAATTAGGAAAAGTTAGTTTTGAGAGTACTTTTCATAGGCATATAGAATGAAATCTTCTGAAAAATAATATCACATAAACTCATATTATTTTCTAATATATAACTATTTTATATAAAAATCAAATTCAATGATCTTAAAAGCGAAGGATAAACCTCAAAATTTACGAATATAATGAGTGGGAATATAATGCTTATCTATCATAAAACCATATGAAATATCAATTTTTGCTTTACGCCTAATTTTTGACGACAATTAGCAAAAAATGTTAAATGTTAACACTCAGTCCATTTGAATATGAAAAATAAAATTGACTTTGATTAAATGTTTTTATTTATCATGCAATTCTTCTTGCGACCAAAGATTTGAATAAAAGTTCAAAAAATAAGATAGCTTAAAAAATAATATACGGTAGCGTTTACTAATAGATGAATAGTATATAAATTCTATTAAAATGGATTTGATCCAAAAAAATATAAAACCAAAAATAATTGTTATAATTTAAATGAAGAAGTAATTTAAAACGATTTTTTTATGATCAAATTTTATATATTTTTTGGATCAAATCCATTTTAATAGAATTTATATACTATTCATCTATTAGTAAACACTACCGTATATTATTTTTTAAGCTATCTTATTTTTTGAACTTTTATTCAAAACTTTGGTCGCAAGAAGAATTGCATGATAAATAAAAACATTTAATCAAAGTCAATTTTATTTTTCATATTCAAATGGACTGAGTGTTAACATTTAACATTTTTTGCTAATTGTCGTCAAAAATTAGGCGTAAAGCAAAAATTGATATTTCATATGGTTTTATGATAGATAAGCATTATATTCCCACTCATTATATTCGTAAATTTTGAGGTTTATCCTTCGCTTTTAAGATCATTGAATTTGATTTTTATATAAAATAGTTATATATTAGAAAATAATATGAGTTTATGTGATATTATTTTTCAGAAGATTTCATTCTATATGCCTATGAAAAGTACTCTCAAAACTAACTTTTCCTAATTATAATTAAATCTAGAATATTGTATTATGCTTAGTATTATTTCATTTTTCTCATTCAATTTAGAATTTACAAATGTCAAAAAATTGAGAGCTGCCACTTTTGATGAATTTCTGTTTATTACAATAGTATGAATATCAGCTATTATATATTTAAAAGGAAACTCAAAAATCTCAAAAATTACTGATAAAAAATTTTCAATATTTTTGAATGTTTTTTATCTCTTTTTTTCAGGCAAAAGTTAGAACATAACTTCGGATCTTGAGAAAAATGAAAAACAAAAATTACATAAAAAAAGAAAAATTTTATCTAATTTGTTTTTTTGGACCGAATAAGTAATTTTATTGAATTTCAATACGACACATAGATTTTATTATTAGTAATAAATATAATGGTTTACTATTAACAAGGAACCTAAACTAATGAAAATTTGATTTCAAATATTGTATATGATTATCATAGATTACCAAAATATATTGCTATTTATGAGGATATAATATTGATTATTAGTAAATCGTATAAATTTAATAAATATACCATGAATATTGAATGAATTTCTTGATTCATAGGGGTAAAACGCGCTTTTATATGATTTAGACAGAGAATTTATGAGATGTAAATAACACAATAAAGGTTTATATTGAATACTTTCTAAAAATAAATCGAAATTATAAAAAACAATACATTTATTCATTGAAACTACTTGGACAAATATGAAACAAGCATTCAGGCAATACTTTTGAGACTTCAACGCATCTGATAATTTTTATATAACTTCACCTCTTATGCTTAGAGTGGAGGTATTGAGATCGTATAAGTATAGATGAGCTCACATTCAGATATGATGTGTGAACTTCTGTTTTCACTGCAATTTTGAATCAGAATAAACTCAAAACAAGAATAAAATGATATACTCACTTCTAAATGTGTTCGAGATTTAAAGTTGTATGAATAAAACGATTCATCTTTCGAAGCCTCCCATTTAATGAGAGACTTCGAAAGATGAAATGTATTCATGTAGATGAAATACTATATATGACCATGTGTGATACTAAAGATATCAAAATGTTCATTTTTAAGTGCAATAGAAGGGTTATCTCTCGTAAAATCTCAATTTAAGGAAGATTGAGAAAGAACTCCTTTCCTAAGTAGATAGTGTGTGGTTTCTGTCTTTTGGTTTGATCAGGAACTATGAAATTAAGTCGGACAGAAAGAAGTTCTTTCCAAAACAGACTCCAATGAGTTGTTCGAAAAGAACTTCCTTCTGTATATGGATAATTGTAGTTACGCACTGAAGTATGTGATTGTGATGATGGAGTTCTCGATAAATCTAAAATCGGATTAAGATTAATTGAAAACTCAAGTAATTCTTTGAAATCTTGTGTTGTCTGGCACTATAATAACCAAAGAATGAGAATATTATGTTGAATGATGAGTACGTGTGCTCGGCATTCGCCGAGCGAATTGAGTTTAACGTACTATGAAAAGTGACAAATTTGGGCTTTTTTTCCTAGGTTATGATCTCTTCCTTTCTGCTCAATACGACAGAAATGAAAGAATGAATTTGTACTCCTAATTGATTACTACAATCTGTATCTATCTTTAACATAGAATTAGCTGCATTGTGATTTATACTCAAGAATTATTCAATTTAAGATCAACCTCGTAAATTTTAATCATATTGCACCAATACTCCTACGTTGAGATAAGAACATGATTATACATACCAAAGCCCCATATTAAAAATCAAAATTTAGCACCTCCATTATGCAACCACATTATTCGTCGCAAATAAGTATATTTACGCATATTATGATGCATATTCACACAACTCGTATACATGAGAATATTAAAATCAGACAAAATTATTGCAATAAGGAAAAAAAAACAACTTTATTATATATGTTAGTAATGAATTACAAATATTTCTACAAAGAATGCTCAATACTTCATATAATCTTCGAATATTTCTTATTACAAGTTAATACATTTTGACTCGAACATGATAAACAAAAGCTGACACGCTGATTACTACATTTATGAAAATATAGTACGTTTCCATTCATCTGTTTACGTGTTTTTTGTTGGAATAAAATCATTTTTTTTTTCTTTCATGAAATAAGAATTTTGCTGCGAAAGCAATATCTCTAACAATAATTAATACATTACGTCAACTCTGGAATGAGTATTTATCAAATATGATATCAAAATCAAAAATTAGTTGTTTTTTATGAGTAAAAACGATGTAAATTGATTATTTGACTAATTATCAAATACTTTGATTTTCCAAATTTTTTTCGAAATTGATTTTTTCATGTGAAAATTCAAATTGTTTAATTTCATTTTTGAATTTTTGAATTTTTTTTGGAATTTTGAGTTGATCAATTCAGCAGAATTGATAATGCTATTGCTTTAGGGCATACCACAAGGTGATGAATAAAAGGTGAACATTAACAAATTATTTTAAATCACAAATATCATCCTCATCAACTTTAATTCTAAAAAGAACTGTACTGAATTATGAAAATGCATGATTTACATTATTAAAATCTTTGAATGAAAATAGTACAAGATAAGTTTTTATTCATTTTTAATTAGATTTAAACGAAAAACTACTCCATATTAAAATTTAAGTCGAGAAATCGTATTTTGTTCTTATTTGTTAGCATTTTGTAGACACTCTAATCTTGAATTAATTTGTTACATGATATTATTAACAAATTTAACCGAAAAAATATGTTAATATGGAATAAACCATGATTATATAAGCTATCAATGCTATATATACATATGTAAAAGATTCATATTAACTCAATTAACAAAAATGATAGATTTTCATAAAGGTTCAATCTAGGTTCGTCCGAAAATTTTGATTTTTATATAGAAGACATAGTTTCATATACATAATTAAATTTTCAAACAAATTTGATCATACCATTTATTAAGCAGGATAGTATATTAATTACTATCAGTATAAAAATATAAAAATGATTATATTTAATTATTGCATAATTTAGTCAAAGAGTTATAAGCCTCAAGTGATTGTTATCACCTTCAATGCACGTATACTTTATTGATTCATAGATATTTAATCTATGTTTGACATGTTGTTGTCGTCATTCGTTTTGTTCCCATTCTTCCTAAGTTAGAATTAGAGAATACACCATCCACATCATCTAATTTGGTCCTCAGCGATAGATTGGTTCATTTTGGAGGAGTCCCATCAGACAGTTTTCGAGCACCAAATATCAAATTTTAATGTATACAAATCTTTAGTGATTTATCTCTTTTATGATGAGTAAAAGGTTTCTGCTCATCAACATTTGATTTCCGACATATATGATTTCTAATTGCAATTATTTACTTTCTTTTTATAATCTAACTCTGTGACTCATACCATAAATTAATTATTGGAAAGTGTCAATATGTTTGGCACAACGCATGGCGGAAGATACCAAACCATGCAGGGAATATGATACGTTTAAGATCTCCGAACTTTTTTTCCAAAAATTTTCTATCGTTGCCCTACCTCTCCGCTAAATAAATTTGTCATTCAAAGTTAATTTTTGACAATAACCCTTGTCAATTCGAACTTATCATACACAGATTGACCATTATTTTAAAAATTTTATGTTGATTTTGATAATTTGTAAACTTGTATTTCTATATATGTATATAATAATTAGCATAAATTTGATCATTGATCGCATTAAGTTCTCAAAAATTGAAACTATAATGCAATCAAATTTCATCAGAAAATTGATATTCAATTATTTTTTTTTTATCTAGTTCAGAAAAACAATGGAAGGATGGCTAATTAAACGATCTGGTCTACCGCATATCTGGCATCGTAGATATTGTGTAATCAAAGATGATGGCTTCTTTATCTATCTTGATGAATCAAAGACAAAATTGACCAATTCATTCGTCATCACACCAAAATCACAGGTTTCGTTGATTGAAACCAGATGGAGAGTCGGATTCAAAATCACACAGCCAGAAGGAAAGATCTTTTCTTTTCAAGTAAAAGATAATAAAGATTTTCATAATTGGCTCAGCCACATTCTTGTACTGTCAATCCCCGAGAATACGACCAAAATAAAAGAATACAAAATCATTTCAGAACTTGGACGTGGATTTTACGGTAAAGTTGTTTTGGCTCGTCATAAAGAGACCGGAAAGTTCTGCGCCATCAAATCAATCCACAAGAAGTCCCTCGTAGATATGGCAAAAGTTGATACGATCATGTCTGAACGTGAGATTTTGAAGACCACAAAATCACCGTTCATCGTGTCACTTTTATCGTCTTTCCAGACTCCATCGAAATTCTACTTAGTTTTAGAGTACGTTTCAGGTGGAGATCTTTTCCAGCACATGTCTAAGAGCAATGCGATTACTGTTGATCAAATTAAGCTTTATACTGCTGAAATCGCAACAGCATTGCAACAATTACACAAAGAAAGGATTATTTACAGAGATCTTAAGCCAGAGAACATTCTTATTTGCGAAGATGGCCATATCAAGCTCACTGACTTCGGAATTTCCAAAATGCTCGATTCCGATAAAGATACAACGAAAACTTTATGCGGAACATCAGAGTATTTAGCTCCAGAAGTCATCCAGGGCAAAGAATATACAGAAGCCATTGATTGGTGGCAAGTCGGAATTCTTTTATATGAAATGTTCGCAGGAAGGACGCCATTTGAGGATCCAAATAGAACGACATTGTACTCAAACATCCTCAATAAGAATCCAAACTACTTCCCAATCACTGATGAAAACACAAGAACATTAATCGCTTCTCTTCTTAAGAAAGACCCAACAAAACGTGCAGGCTACAATGAAATAAGGAACTCTAAGTTCTTTGAAGGTTTTAATTGGACAGAACTTGATAAAAGAACCTCATATGTTCTTCCAAAGAGCGTAAGCAGCAGTGATGGTCTTAACAACCTTGATAAGATACAAACATCAGAAGCTGAAGATTCGGACGCTCCTCCTGTCCTTCAGAAGTTTGGAGATTTTGAATATACAAATCCAGAATTTGATGTTTAATATTTTTATTTATTTCATGAATAAAGCTTCTTATTTTAGTGTTCTATTATTTTAATATAGCATAATTACACATAAATTTATGATCAGAAAAGAAATTTCTTATCTTTTTTTATTTTTAAACCTTTCATGATTCAACTCTTATCATTGTCTTACAGAAAATATCACAATCATGTGTTGATCCTTAAAACAACGATTTTTGGGTGTTCGGGAACTGTACGATTAACGAGTGGATAAATTATTTCCACCAGGTTTTCTTGCGATAGTTTTAATACATGATTAATAATAAATTAAAAAATGAAGGGGATCTTTAGAAAAAAAAACAAGTCAAAAATTATTCAGGTACAAACAATCACTGAAATATTGGGTAGAATATAATTCTAAGATCATTATATGGGTACTGGCATAACAATTGTTGGTATTGGCGGAGATGACTTCGTGTTTATCAGCTCGGGTGGACTAAGGTTATAAGCCCACGAATCTTTAATCATTAAGGTAAATTCTAGTGGGTCATAGAGTTTTCCACTATGTAACTGGGATGATAACAAATTCATAAAATCTGTTTTATCTGTAGGGTCGTCAACCTTCTTAGGAAGTAGAGAATTATCTATTATAGGTAATGGGAGTTCTATAATTGGTTTTGGTATGGGCCTGCTAATACTCTTCATGGATAATTCTTTTCTAGGTTTCTTTCTTCTAATACCATTGAAGACGGGGAACCCCCTCTCAGTGCATTCTACAACTTGCTCGTATGCAGTCCCTTCGTCTATTATGAACCTCCTAATTTGCTTGTTCATTTTTATTTTTGAAACTATTGAAAATTTTTTGAATATTTTGACTTGAATTTAAAATTTTATTTCTCTCACTTCACGATCTAACTAAATTCTTAAATTACTCTCAGAAAGTGTTGAATTTCTGATAAACGTTTTATCATCCTTTTTTTCACTGGATAAGTCAAATCCATTGCATATCGGGGTTTTAAGCTTTTTGGAACTCATCTTTACATCTGGACTGCCAGGAATCGAATCGATTGTGTTCTTTTTTCAACTTGTCGTTTTGAAAATTTTTTGACTATTTTTGGTATTTAGTATATATTCATGTTACTCACCTAGAACTTAATAAGACCAATGGTGATTGAAAGCTTAACGATTAACTTTTTTTGAAAAAAGAATTTATTTTGTAAAAATTCATCATCAATATGATATATCCATATTGATTTATTTTACTTGCATTTTTTCTTTGGTCTCGTGTAAATTTTTCAATAACTTCTTTTTTTGAAATAAAATGATATTTCCATCTGATATTTCACTGGATATTAAATAAAATTGGTACTGAAATGGATATTGGAGCTAGTTTTTAATTCTTTGATAATGTCGTTGAATTCTTTCGAAGATTGAATAGACAGTGATGAATTTCATGAATATATATAGGAGATATCACAGCATTTCAAGCGGTCATTATTTGGTTTTTCAATTCTCCCTGCGTGGCATTCTTTAAAATGGACTTTTAATGAAGTAAATTCAAGTTTTGAGAAGATCAATGAAAATTGTTAAGTGGTAAACACCATATTTTTGAGGCAGCTCATTAAATTAGATATCACAGATTGATATTATGCTTAAAGGAAGCATAAAATTCAGTAGTCAGAAATTCGAGTTTTGACTTTCTACTTCATCATTGACTTTTATTCAATTTTTTTTTCTTTTTGAGATTTGGATGTATCTTGGAAATTATTATTAATGACCGATAGGCACGATATGCAATTCAATGTTATCATTTTCCATTTCAAAGTGTTTTCATTTTTTCTGAGGTCAATGACTTTATTGTTTTTTTTCAGCACTTTTTTCCTTCGCAAGAAAACCCTCATACCCGAGGCCTCATCCTGCGCTCATGGCACCCTTTATTTGTTTTTTTCAAAAATGTTTATATATAGTTTATTATTATGTTTTATTTCATATATCATTCTTACTACAATTTTTGGTAGAAAAATTACTTGTATTTAAGACATATATTACTGTTTAATCTTCATTTGATGAATATTTTTCACTCATTAAGATGGCGAAGGGCGATTTCTTTCTCCTTGAAGAGATCATCCTCTGTGAAAGCAAGTTTCTCCTTGAGCCAGTCGTTGATCTTGTAACCATCAACAACATGAATGTGGCCCTCTTTGTCAACCTTGCATGGGAATGAGAAGACAACACCTGGTTTGATGCCATAGCTGTTTCCTTCTGGAACTGGAATACCAAGGCTTAAAACTTCGTTTTCCTTGGTTCCGAAAAGCCAAGCCTTCATGTGCATGATAGCAGCTCTTGTTGGGCTTGCAGCACTTGTGAAACCTCTGTGTTCGAGGATATCCCAAGCTCTGTGGCTGATGAACTTGAAGAAAGTATCATACATATACTTTTCATCGAGGACATCTGAAACTTTTTGTGTTTTGCCATCCTTTGTGAATGTTGCGTTTGTTAAATCAGCAACCATTGATTCGCCATGGTTACCCCAAACAATGATGTCATGGACATCTTCAATTGAAACACCAAGCTTGTGGGCGACTTCGTAATAGGCTCTGTTGTGATCTAACATGGATAAACTTGAGAAGTTTTCTGGCTTCAAGTTCTTTGCATGCAACATTGCTATTTCGCAGTTTGTGTTATCTGGATTACCGATAACAAGAACCTTGACTGTTGGTTTAGCGTATTGTGAAAGGTATTCGCCAGTGTTCTTGAAGATAACACTGTTTGAGCTGATAAGATCTGAGCGAACTTGACCTGGCTTAAGTGGCATTGATGCAACTAAGAAAGCGCAATCAATATCTTTGAATGCTTTCTCTGGTTCTGTTGTAGCAACAATACCCGAAAGGTGCTGGAAGGCACCATCTTCAAGCTCCATAACTAAAGCTTTCAATCTGTTTTCTGCAACAGGGATATCAAAGAGGTGGAGAACAACTGGTCTGTTTCCATACAATTCACCGCTTGCAATCCAATTGGAGAGAACGTATCCGATCTGTCCTGCTGCGCCAGTGATAAGAACATGTGCTGGAGATGTCATTATCTAAAAATGATTTTATTTAGTTTCAATAAATTATTCAATTATTTCTCCTCATTATCCCTCTCAAAAATTGAGAACGATACCCATCAAAATGTCAAATGTAATTAAATAAAATCCAATGATAATTTTACTTTAAAAATAAGCAACATATTCTAAGGTAAATAAGGCCGATTAATTATTGAAAATTGTTTGTGGTACCATTCAAAATTTGAATAATGTTATGGTAATTTGAATAAAACTTTTACATTTATTATTATCTAAGGATATTTAAGAGTTTGATCAAATGAAAATACATATTACTAATATATTTACAAATCTTGCTCTCCATTACAATCTGACAATGGGAGAAATCCATCGTTCTTTTCAAATTTCAATAAAAATATCAATTCTATTATTATCAAATCAATTGAGTGTAATAAATATGGAATCTTCATGATCACACCAGCTAAGTTCTAATATGTATTTACGCTCCCGTCTCAATTGTATATATATTCAATAAAATAAAAGATTTCACTCAATTTACGTTTTAAATTCGCAGTATTCCGCGAAATTTTATTCATATTTATCAGTATGATCTATTCATTAATACCATGAAAGTTGGTCACTTGAACTTCAGGTTCAATCTCTTCAATCTACGACGATCAAGAAACTTTTCAACTTAAATATATGCAATAACTTTAAAAATACGAAAATAATAGGATATATGTATTGGCAATAAATAAAAGTGACTTTTTTATCCTAATTGAAATTTTCTTTACTATCCAATAATATTTCTTGTTTTTTTAAGAGTTTTAAGGGTGCACCCGTATGTACGTTTATTTGAGAGGAGGAGGATTACCCTCTCAATTTTGAGGATTCGTTAGTTTATTTTCTCGATGAATATGCAATAAAATTTGATTTTTACCTTATCAATATACTTCATATAATATACACATGTTCATGTAAAAACTTTTTTCCAAAATCCTCAGGAATTAAGGGATTTTTGAATTTTAAGAATTTTTTTCGAATTTTTTCGAAAAAAAAATATTTTCAGAACAGCCTTAACGGCTAAGATTTAGGAACAATGTTAAGTATCAAAAAGAAAGGAGGTCTGATATAGACAACATATATCGTTGAAGGTTGAAAAAATCTCTAATATTTGAGCCCAAAATTTCAAATTTTAATTTTTTGAAAAAAGAGGCCACCCGTATGTACGTTTATTTGAGAGGAGGAGGATTATATTTTTGAAAGGGTGAAACATTATGAATATGTTAATTATATAATAATATGTATTATTATAAAAAAGAAAAAATAAAGCACGTGAAAATTTTTCTTTCTTGATTTTTTACAAAATCTACTTAGAATTATGCAAAATATGACTAAATAATTATAAATTTCAAGTTAAATTTTAATTTTGATAAATAATTTAAATTTCAAAATATCAAGTTCAGTTCGACTATATATGTAGTAATTCCTCAATAAAGTGCCAAAACCCTATTAAAATATATGAACATTTTCAACATTTTAATGTTTTTATTTAAAAATTTGATGGAATATGAGCTTCAAACAATTATTATGTAAATAAAAATAATTAAATATATGTATTTAGTCGTATTACAACCGTAGTAAGTCGATTCTTCCTTTCTTCTACTGAGTTTTGAATTTGATTTCGAATTGTAAAGAGATTCAAAGGGAAAATACTAGCGGATAAAAACTACCTCCATGAAAGGGTCATAATGGAGTCAAGTTGTATTTTTTGATATTTTTTGCTTTTCGAGCCTAAATAGGTAGCCAAGATAATGCCTAAAAATAAGGTTCTAAATTCTGAAGTTTACATGATCCTCTCGTGTGCACCCTTAATACCATATAGGTTTTATATTTTTTGTTTATTTTCAGATTATCCATGAATTTATTATATTTATTATATTACCCGAATATAATCTTAAATTATCTTAAAAATTGAATGGCAATCGGAAAATAAAAAAATATTTATCGTTTTGCTATTCTACTTTAAATTTTATTCTACTCTAAATATGTGATATATTTTAAACCATTTTATTAAGGATGTCAATTTGGAAGAAAAGTGAGAAAATTCCTAAAATGCTAAAAATGAATTTTCCAAACGTATTTTTTTATCTCATTTTTTTGATTTTGAAAAAAATTTGGAGAGAAGAACTCTTCGTTTTTGAATTTTATCACGATGGTTTTAAAGTATATTAGACACATGTATTGGTATTACTATTTTTGTATATTTTGAGAGAAAATCTAAGACGGTTTGAGAAAATATATAAACTATTGAAAATTTGAATTAAACTTCTAATTTGGAAAAAAGAAATTTGGAAAGAAGAAAATTCAAAAATCGAGATTTAGACTCAGCATCAAATGGAGAACAAAATGTTTCTTCATATGAAGGAAAAAAATTTTCTTGTGAAGAAATAGGGTTTTTAAAATTTTATTGTATGTAATGAAATAAACAAATACTAAAATTATTTTTGATAACAAGAAAATTCCCAATAGAAAATATTTGAGAGAAAGAAAAAAAGAAAATTGAAAAATATTACTCTCCTTTATATTTCATGAGATTTTAAATTTATTCTCATAAAATTGACAATTTTATACGTTTAGATGAAAATAAGTGATTTTGGTTGAAATAGAAATTATTATTTGCTTACAGCTATCAAATAGATTTTTGCTATTTTGATTAAAATTTGTTAATCAAATTAATAAATTTTTTCTAAATATCTTAAATATCTGGATCACTCACATATACAATGAATTGAACGATAAAAATAATACAAACTCAACTAAGTTTCCTGTCTTTCAACTAAAAAAAATTATGCAAATTAAATTAAATTGTTTATTCAAATATAAAACAAAGATGAAGTAATTACAGTTATCATAAACTTTATGAATAACTCTGTAATTGGTTCAGATTTTCGTAAAAATATTTTTATTAATATCGATAAGAATACGTTTACCTACTATCACAACATATCGATAAACAAGAGTAGAGTGATTTTTATCATCGAAACTTTTTAAAAGCTGTAAGCTGGAAGTAAAAATCTTGTTTTTTCTGAGTTAGTTGTAGAACTATTGATGCACGAGTTATCATTGTGATGTAGAAGGATGTCAATGTACTGACTGAAGGATATGAAGTGAATTGAATTTCATTGCATTTCAATTTGATCAAAATTTGTTGAAATGATATGAATGTGTCAACATCTGTATCACTCTCTTTCACTCCTTCCCTATTCTTTCGAGAACGAAGCTAGCTCAGCTTTCGCTGAGCGAATTGACACTTTTGATGTCCTAAACGTACATGCTCTCAAATTTATCGAAAAAAATTATACCACCTAAACTAGTATATTCTTATTTTAAATATGATATTATCCTTAGAATCCACACTAGAATATATTTAAATCAACTTTTAAAAAAGTTCGAATCCTGCGCGTCTCACTTTTTAAATTTTCGAAAAGGAAAATTATATTCTCCTAAAATGAAAACAATTTTCCGAATTGACATCCTTAATTTTATTTAACAATTTTTAGTTTTAAACTCATTTTCATAATTTCTAGATTTAAATATTGTTTAATTTTCAAGGAAATTCTCATAGTAATCATGAGTATGAGCGTATTTTCAAATACTAACACCTTTTCTTATTATTCATTAACTTTTTGGACCTTCGACATTCGATATCGTATAATATTAAGAGACTAGATTAAATCCTGAACATATTTCAACTTAAGATGTAGATATTATTTGCTTTTTGTTCATTTTTTTTTAGGAGATTAATGCGAAAAATGTGTGGATATTCAAGACCCTAATAAATAACATCACATACAAAGATAAATATCAGATATACAAAAATGAGCATCAAGGATGCGGCAATTGCTCTGATATGGTTGGATTATATTCTGAAAATCCTCTTGTTGGGTATTGTATGAATCGTCCAGCTTTGGAAGCTTTTAAGCTTGATTTTTCATTGCCAGTTTCATTCACAGCTCATAAATATACTTTGCAAAGTCTTATTAACATCCCCAGTTGCTATTGGTCTTATCCAATATCATGGAAGATATATTATGGGGATAACTTTAGTGACTTAAAATTGTTGGTTTCTGAGACAAATAATCAAATTCTCTCAATGAGAGGAGAAAGTTTTTCTTTTGATATTAAGCCATTTAGGGCAAAAGTAATAAGATTTGAAATGGTTCAACAAGACAGGAATGATAAGTACTTTGGACTATCACGATTCGATTTTTTTGGTAATATCGGAACCAATAATGATTATTTCTTGAGTTGCTTATGCGTTAACTCAATAAATTATCAGAGTATGCTATTTGCAGCATTTCTCTTTGTAATTAATTGAAATTAAAAACTATTACATTATTTTTTAAATTTTAAATACTATTCTTATCATTATAACTAGTTTGGTAATCGGTTTCAGTGTTACATCTAATAATTAATAACATTCTGATATTAATATCTCTTTATTTACAAAAGAGTGAAAATTCTAGATATTCTCTTTAAAACTAATTAAAAATATTTTTCTTTTTTAATCAAATCATAGGTAATTACTCCTTATAATTGATTTTCAACTTATTCTTAATAATTTCTTCCCAATTAATCTCCTTTACCTGTATATGTAAGAAGGAATAAGCTTTCTTGAGAACTAATGATAGTTCATCAACTTGCTTTTTGGGTTTTCTCAAAATATAAAGGATTGCTGCAACTGTTGCAGCAACTTTTTCACCATATTTATCTTTAATGTCAGAATCTATTGTATCAAACTTATCCCATGATCCATCGATGTTTTGTTTTTCAATTTCGTTACGATCATCAACAATTTCAATGTTCTTTTGTTCGTTGTTTGGTTCTTGGCTTTGAGCCATATGCTCATTCATGAATTTGTCTTGCATCATTTCATATTCTTCCTTAGATGGTTCTACACAATAATCAAATCTTTCTTGATCCTTCCAGAATTCACTAACTATTTGAAGCACATTTTCTGGAATAGAACCAATGTAATGTGTATATTTGCAAGGAATTTTAGATGATATAGATAGATCAATGCATTTTTTTTTCATTGCTTCATCATTATGAGTTCTCAAGTATGCTTCATACTCATGAATAATCATCTTTGTAAATAGGCATTTCATTCCAAAATTATCTTCTATCTTCATCACTGGAATTAGCAAATCAAATTCTTCTGAACTTATCAATACATGTTCGCAGAAAGGAGCTTTAACGAAATAGTCTTGAGATATATTCGACCTTAAAGGATATGGCTTTGATGGGATTGTCTCAGCGATTGTTTCTTTGGTATGTATAGTAATACCTACAGAGTTACCATCAATAGATGAAGATAGTAATGAAATTAATTTCACATTGAAATTTTCATTATCTAAAACATAAGTCCATTTTCCATTTGTTACCTCTGCGAGATTTCTAATTAGACCAGGGTCTGCACCAGATCCAATCCCAACAGTGTAAATGTTTCCAAATGCTTTGTTTTTTTCAACTAAATTAATAATTTCTTCAGAATTGTCAACTTCACCATCTGTCAAGAGGAAAATTTTCTTTAACATTCCATCTTGTGAGAAAATGTCTTTCAATGGATTATATATGTTTGTTCCGCCCATGTTTGCTTTAATATTTTTAATAAGATTCATAGCAAGCAAAACATTTTCATTGTTATATTCAACAATTGGTAATAATTGTCGGAAATTATATCCAAAACAATAAATTGAAAATCTGCACTTCATAGGAAGAGATTGTAACATAAGACGCATACATTTAACAGCTTTGTCAATGAGTTTACCTTCCATTGACCCGGAGCAATCGATAACAAAGAAATAATCTGACAAGCATTCATAATCATTTCGTTTTGAGATAAATTCCTTATATACAGATACTGCTATATAATCATCACTTGAAACTGCAGTGCATTTGTCTTGATCGCTTATCAAAGTTTGAACAAAAATAGATGATTCAAATTCGTTAAGATTGATAGATGCATTATGCTTATCTATCTCATTGATAATTGCTGAATTGTTTGCTTCTATTTTTCTTATATTTTTATCTGTTTTGATCTTGAGACTAAATGAAATTGTGTTTGGTAATGAAGAATCATAACCATACTGATCTTTTGAAGCAATAGGGAATCTGAAGAAAAATCCTTGATTATTGATTGTTGCCAAATATGAGATAGTGTAATGGACTTCAATTTTTGTATCAATGGGCAAGTTTCCGAAATTGAAAATGATAGCATTTTCTGATAAACTATACCCAAGCACTGACAAATATCCTTTTTCTTTTGACTCTTGATATTCTTTTGATGCTTCCTCTGAGATTCTAAGTTGAGGTCTAATTTCTTTATCGCCAATAACAAAAAGAATATTTGAAATAGCAGATTTATTTTCAACTGGAAATGAATATCCAACATCGGTGTATGAATTATTTTTTAGAACTTGTTTAATTTGAAAATTCAATAATGTGTTGTACTGGAATCCAATTATATCAAGAGATTCAAAATCTAATCCATCATAACATTCACTTGTTATGAACTTTCCTATCATTGTTTCACTATACAAAATGAATTGAAATTCGTAAGTGTCAAATTTTTATTGAATTTGAAATTTACCACAATAAATTTTAATTCCTGTCTTCAAATTTTGTTCAGGTTTTGTGTTATTTGTGATTGTTGTATAGTTTTCAACAGGTGATTCGTAATGTTTTTCCCAAATATCGTTAGGTACTATAGCTTTTTTGAATTCGGAATTTGAGAAAAAGAAGGGAGCTTCACTTTGGTAAAAGTTGATCTAAATAATTTCCCAAATTTATATTCCATTTATTCGTATCAAAGAGTTTATTTCTTAAAAAATGGACTAAAATCTAGAAAATATAAATCAAGAAACATAATTACGGGTATCAGGAAGCAGCATTAGCCATAACTCTGCATCCAAACATTCATTTAGTGACAGAACAAAGTTTTCAGGGTTTAATTGCAATTTTTTCTTAACACTTTAACAATTACTTAAAATTTGATTCCAGACAAATCATATATAGGATAATTCATATATCAAAATGATGGAAATTTATTTGTCTCAACAAATAAATAAATTTTGTTAGATAGAGTCAAATTTTGGGTAAGATAGAGAGAAAAACATAAGACATTTGACATTGGGATTCATGTATATAATACAGAGTCTATGTTCTCAACAGAATTTTTCTTCTATTTCCAAAAGAGATATTTATATTTTTTTTAATTGTACAACGTATCATATAGATGAGAAATGATTTCTTAATATCTCAAGGATAGTTTAAGCTTTTTAGTTGATTTTTTTAGTAAAAATTGTTCGAATGCCTGATGACAACCTACGTACTAACATAGGCTGAGATAAACAAACGGGTTATAACCTGTTATAAAAAAAGAAACTCCATACCGATGGCGCTTCTTGATGTGCAGGTTTGATGTGTGGCCATTAAAACCGTTTTTACTTCACAAATTAATAATAGAGCCTTTCTTTCTTATAATAAACTCCATAGACTGATACAGAACCAGTTTCATGACAAATACGCTCTATATTGAATTAATTATCTTTTTGAATTTTTAAAGCTTAGTTTTACAGACATTTACCATTTCATTCACCATAAATTAGGTTAAGTGTAATTAGAGTTGTATTTATTTTGTACAAGACATAATAATTAATACGAAAAATTCTATTATCATCAATATATTGCTCATTCGTATGAACAAAATACTTTTTCTTAAAAATCACAACCTGTTCGTTTGAGCAAATAGGTAGTTTCATATGACCAAATTTCAATTGATTTTTCATTCGAAAAAAGAAATAATTTCATAAGGGAATATTGTTTACAAGAAGGTAAGAATTAAAAATTAAGATATTCTGTAGCTTATATCCCTTTTAATTCTTGAATTAAAAAATTTTGCTTAAGCAATGTTGATCTTAACTTGCTTCTTTGTAGACTTTGGAACTGTAAGCGTAAGAACACCATCAGCGAAAGCAGCATTGATTGCCTCCATATCGGCATCAGAAGGAACGCTACAAACAACTTCGTAGTTGCCGTAGAGTCTATCTGACTGGGAAACCTTGAGATCCTTGAATGGATTGTCCTTCTTGGCTTCAACAGAAATCTGGTTGTTCTCTGCGTGTAAAAGGATGTCATCCTTCTTAGCACCTGGGAGTTCAATAGCGAAGACATACTTTGCCTTATCGTAGACGCAGTCAACTGCTGGAAGGATGGAGAGAGAACGTGCAATGGATGACAACATTCAGTAAAAATGAAGTATAAATGCTCGGACGATTATCTTTTCAATTCAATTTAATCGGAATTTTCAGAGAAATAACGCAAAAATCATGACAATTATCATTATTCTATTACTTCTTCGTATCATCGCTAAAAAATTCAATACTTCTCAATTTTATTCATAGTGATTCACATCATTTTCTTCAAGAAAAATAAATAAAACATAGTGTACATCATAATATTTGATTTCTCAATTGAATAGACTGCTAGTTGTCAAAATCTTTCCCAATTTCCCAAACTTTGATTGGAACCGGAATCACAACGAATTTGCGCGAGATATCGAATTGTGATATATTATAACACTATTTGATCACAATGATTAGATACCAATTTCATAATTTATTTTTAATTTTTTAATTTTTGTAAATGTATTAATATTTTTGTATGAGATCTTTCTTACTACTCTCAGCGATCAGTTCACCAATATTGTTTATGGCAAAGCATTGAACTTTAAAATATCGAATTTGCAGTTTCATCTTTTGTATTCTATTCAGACCTAATCAAACACATGTTTTACACTATAGCTGCTATACACAATATTCAAATACTATTTACACATCTATTTTTCAAATTGGGCTTATTCTTCTTTTTAGATGGTAATATAATAGAATCAACTGAAGAAAGAAATTGAACATAATTATTGTATTGAGTTTTATGAAGCAACCATTCCAGAATTAAGTTGTACTTGAAATAAGTTTCATTGATGCTCGAGATATCAAATGAATTACTCCGTTGAAGTACAATAGTGAATATGAACCAAAGATCTTCCGAAAATAAAATCATTTCAATAAAATGAAAATCAATTTCTTATTCTTCGTGATTTTACAATTTCTTGATCAATAAGGGCGTATTTATGATACATCTGTCTTAACCCAACACAATTAAATTCTAATTGATATTCCTTTCTTTGGAAAATATGTTTTTCGTTCAAAAAATTACTTTAAAATCTTTAATCATTGAAAAATTGTGATAAAATATGGCACTTTTTCTGATTGAGATAAATCAGCCATCAATATATTTCACAAACATTTATAAGCAATTTTAATTTAATCAACATTTTCATTACCCGGCACCATTTTTTTTAGCTACTAAAATTGCAACATCAACTTTGTGCGGTGAAACCCGTCCTTGTTCAAAACGGCTGAAACTGGTCGTGGCAATATCGTCGGGATTTAAGCAATCCAAGAATTAGAGTTTACTGTTGTATGTTATTCCTTAATATTAAAATTTCTTTTTATCTTTGATCGATAAGTATATATTCTGAACATGCATATAGATCATACTTAGTAGTTAGATCGAGAATCTATCATTTATTTATGGTTTCTCATACATTTTGATTTAAAGATTAATAGATTTGATAAATAATTATTAATTAGTAAGGTATCATTGCATTACAATTCAATCTGTATTATACTTTGCTATTGTGGAGATGTTTTAAGTGTCTTACAAATTGAAAGGGATTAATATTGCGGGAAAGTTTGAATGCAATTTTTACATGGCGGGAAAATTTGAAAAAAAAAGAGGCGCCAAAAAAGTGTCATTTTTCATTTGGTAATCTCTCTCGAGCAGCCAAGGAATTTTAAGATCTGACTCCAAGTAGGCTTGATTACGGATACGCCAGTAAATCAAAGCAGATCTTTACATCAGTTGTGCGGTGTTAAGATTCTCATTTGATCGAAAACAAATGATGTAATCACTTAACTGGGGTTGTCTCATAAGAGCTCAAACCAGATCAGTGCATCAGTTGTGCGATGTTATTAATCGAATTTGAGCTCAGATTCAATAAAAGTTATTTCCTATCAGATGTCAGCCCTCTCATTACTTGTTTCAGATCTAGCAGCTGCTATCATTCTCTCATTACTTGTTTAAACTCTAGCAGTTTCAGTCAATCTCTCATTACTTATTTCAGATCTAGAAGTTTTTATCATTCTCTCATTAAATGTTGTAGATTTAGAAGTTGCATGATGTCGGTACTTATTTAAGATCTAGTATTTGTTATCATTTTGTCATTACTTTCTGATCTCTAAGTGCAAGTTTACGAAAAGAGCTTACGTGTGTAATCCTATCTTATATTTATTACACCTGTAAGCTCTTTTCGTAAAAATCTTGCACTTTTTGTTTCGATGCTGATCTCTAAGTGCAAGTTTACGAAAAGAGCTTACGTGTGTAATCCTATCTTATATTTATTACACCTGTAAGCTCTTTTCGTAAAAATCTTGCACTTTTTGTTTCGATGCTGATCTCTAAGTGCAAGTTTACCAAAACAACTTATATTTATTATAAATATACTAAAATTATGACCTTAATATATATTAATATCTTTTTTTAACTTAAATCTTTATTTGGCCGGACCGTTTTTCCTTTTTTTGCTTTAGACTTGAATGGAAGATGATTATAAGTCATTACCTTTAGATCAATGTCCCAAAGATTTAAATATGCTAAATTCTTCCATGGCAACATTCGATTATACTGATTTTTCACAAATGTTACAATACATTTTTCAATCAATTCAAATAACATCAGATACTGATATTTTAAATCACATATCGCCATACATAGAACATTCAAATCAATATTATAATGTTCCCGATGTTTTAATTGAAAGTGAAATTGATAAAAACTTTAGTGGATTAAAAGACAAATTCTACAACTCTTGGTTACTTCTTATTTATGCATTATCTGTTAAAGATAAAATATCAATTCATTACATTATTGATAATTTTGATATTATAATCCAGCATTTGTTGGATTATATTATAATTGCGGATCGTGAGTGGCTCTATGATTTTTTATTTATATTGATTTCTAATAAAATCAAAGTTGATCACAAAATTGAGGAGCAATATATTGAAGAATTAAAAATTTATACATTGAAAACATTTCGACTCAAATACAAAAGTATCCCTTTATGGATAAAATATTTTCCATTTTTAATGCTCTTTTATTTTATTGGGATAAAGAAAATTTCAATTCAATTCTATCATACTTTCAAAATAAAAAAATTTTGACTTCAATTACAAACAATCTATTTTGCAATAATTGTTGTAAAACTCTACTCCTTTTAATTAAGTTCTCGCCAGATATATTATTAAATTCCATAGATTCTAATGATTTTTCTTCAGCTATTTACAATTTATGTAATTATAACAGCATTGATTTTGAATTTGCACTTTCTTTCTTTATCAATTCAACTTCAGATATATTTGAGTATTCAATTTACATTATTATAAAAATAATCAAAAAATTCATTACAAAAGAATTAAAATGGACAAATTCAAAGTGTTGTATTTATTTACTATACAGGATCCTAATATTAGACAATTATGAGCTTGATTCAAAAATCATGGTCTTCTTTACTTATGAAGAAATTCCAGAAATGATCATTACAACAATCGAACATTGCCCCAAAATTATGTTTAAGGTTGGAATAACCTTAATAGTTTTTGTTCTACGTCAATATCTCAAAAATCAAGATATTATTAATATGGATGTCTATTTGAAAGTATTAGAAGAGTATGATGAAGAATTATATAATATTTATGATGAGTTAGTCCAGGATTTTCGGATTTCATCATCAGAATTTAATGATGAAATATTAAATATCGATGAAAGGATCCAGAAGGAATTTATTTCAGAGGCAGAAAATTCATTAATGTTTACAAATGAAAACGAAATCGAACTTTTGATGGAAGAATATGAAGCATGCATTAATCATTGTTATGCTGTAAAGGAAAAATGAAGTATTGTTATACACAATGGTATGGAATTGACATCTTACATAAACCCCAGAATTAAACATTTAATTTTTAATTAATTTTTAAACAATCATCTAATTATATCATGATAATTAAATTACTGTCGCATGTCGTTATCAGACATGTTTGGATTTTTGACTGTATCAAGGACATTTCCTTGGGGAAATATAAAAGTCCCATAATTTCAGAATTGTTACTTTTTATTGCAATATATAGTCAGTTAGGTTGTCTTATCTCTAGACTATTTGACTTTTTACAGGAATTTCGAGAATCTAAGTTATTAGATCTAACAGTCATAAGCTATTAATGCATATTTATGAAGCAAATCCATCAAAATTAGATAAAGATTTTTTGGGTTGTCAGAAAATATAGCTGAAATCATTATGATTAACTGATACATAAGCTCATAATCATATGGTTCAAATAGTTGATTTCAGTCTGAGTCTATAATGCTAGTTACTCTCTACTCAGTCTTACTCTCTACATAGTCTTTTGAGATCCATCACTCTTTGGAACTCAATCTCTCCATTGAGTTCCATCCCTCCTTTGATTAATTTTTTTATAAAGAAAAGGAACAAAAGAAACCAATAGTCTCTACTCATGTACTAGACATACATACATATCTAACCATTCTATATAGTCACATTCACTAGAAATTTTCGAGAAAAAAATCTACCCACTCTTTTGACTCAACAGAAACAAAAGAACCCAATACTATCTACTCATGAACTAGACATATATACATGTCTCCCAGAATGACATATGCAGACAGACAAGAGTGCATAACACACTTTTGCGCTTAAATTTTTGATTTTTCTTTTTGATTCCACATTAATTTTTAATTTACCTTCTCCTAACCTATCAAACATACTTAAAAGCATTTTCTTTCGAATCCTATTAAGTATACGCTAATTCCCATCAATTCAAAATTTGATTTTAATAAAAATATACCTCAACTTTTTCAGTGAGTTGCAAAGAAGTTTTTTAAAAACATAATAAAAGATATGTTTATTCATAGACAATACAAAATAAAATAATCTTATATACGAAAAAAGGAGATTTGACAGAATGTCAAATCTCCTCAAAAAGTGACAGTTTACATGGCAAACAATTGCGAGCAATTTTTAGCCATTTTGGCTGAGAACTAGGGTCTGCGAGGTACATAGATAGAATCAGTACCTCGCAGACTCTAGTTCTTTATATGGCGCCGAGAAATTTTGGTGAAATGCGACGACATTTCACTAAAATTTTCTCGACGCCATAGGATGAATTGGAGGGTGTGAGATACTATTACATATAATAGTACTCACACCCTCCAAAACCTCGAAAATCTCAAAATTTCCTGCAATTATCATCAACTTTGCATAGCACAATCGGCCAAAAAATCATTCAATTGTCTGTACATGAGTCTTGAGATCTAAGTCTGTAGTAAGAGGAAGATTGAAGTCTTGAGATCGGAAGATCTAAGTCTGTAGTAAGAGGAAGATCTAAGTCTGTAGTGAGAGGAAGATTTAAGTCTGTAGTGAGAGGAAGATCTAAGTCTGTAGTGAGAGGAAGATCTAAGTCTGTAGTGAGAGGAAGATTTAAGTCTGTAGTGAGAGGAAAATTTAAGTCTGTAGTGAGAGGAAGATTGAAGTCTGTAGTGAGAGGAAGATTGAAGTCTGTAGTGAGAGGAAGATCTAACAATAGCATTTAATAGACGCATATGTTTTTGTTCCATTTTTTACTCTTAATTTTTCAATGAGTTATTATTGCTTTTGAAATTAATCATCATTCATTGTTCTCTTTGAAACCCACAATGACCTTATCAAAACTTAATTTTTAATTCAAAATCTCAAAAGAAAAATCATGAGGATATAATAAAATGTACTAGTTGTTAACTATGATGCTTATATAATAATGAAATGAAATGACCTATCAATATTGCACTTTGCCTGTCAAAAGTTCTTCGCATCTCTTGAGGTGTGAGGAAGTTTCTCGACAGAGGAAACTTTCATATCGAATGTTGCCTCTGTCGAGATGTATGTGACAGGCAAAGTGCAATCACCTATCAATATTGCACTTTGCCTGTCAAAAGTTCTTCGCATCTCTTGAGGTGTGAGGAAGTTTCTCGACAGAGGAAACTTTCATATCGAATGTTGCCTCTGTCGAGATGTATGTGACAGGCAAAGTGCAATCACCTATCAATATTGCACTTTGCCTGTCAAAAGTTCTTCGCATCTCTTGAGGTGTGAGGAAGTTTCTCGACAGAGGAAACTTTCATATCGAATGTTGCCTCTGTCGAGATGTATCCCACAATCACCTTGTAATTCAATATCATTTTTTTTATTATAATTTTTTTTATTAATTAAAATATTATATTTTAATTCCTGAACCATATTTTCAATTTGAATCCCTTTCTCACTAATGATTAAACAGATTACATCTTTCGAAAATAAGCGTTCATATTACACAATTGTCGGTCACAATTTCAAAATCTTCCCTTATTTACTGAAATTTTTAATACAGAATCATTAAGATGATCAATTGTAAAACGGTATAAAGCTTATTAGCGTTGAAACTAGAGTCATTCTTCATAGCGTTCAAATTTTTATTTGAAATAATGTAGTTAATGCTAAAATTGTAGTATTTACGTAGTGATAATCATATTCACACTGTAATTTATGTGATTATAATGCAAACCCACTAAGTAATTCTTTTGCTAAATTGAAATTGAAAATTTGATTATGCCATTTTGAGCTCGATGTATTAAATGTAAAACATTGTTCATATGAGAATTCAAAATTCAAAGACTTTTCTATATGTTAAGTTGCTTGAATTGTGAATTTGGAATTTTTATAAAAATATGGGCAAATAAGCTCGGCGTTGTCACATATTCACTCCCCTGAAGTTGTGCTTGAATCAGAAGTAATGCTAGTTTTCAAATTTTTTTCAAAATCGAGAAAATGATGAAAAATCTCTAATTTATTACATCCAAAATTTTAAATTTGAATTTTTTTTGGAAAATTTGTGATTCAATTTTCAATTTCTCCATGTAAAACTGAAAATATTAACAGATTAAATCATAGAATTAACTTATCAAATTCTGTTGTATTCATTTCTTGCGATGATTCCGTTCAAAAGCTTTGTTTAAATCTATTTATTTTAATAATAATAAAATAGATAGATCTCCGCTATGAAAACATGATACCATGCTGATATGAAATATCAGTTAACATATAAGTAAAAAGTTTCTACAATTAATAAGAAATGTATTAATAACTTTTTATTTTAACTATATTGAAACTTTTTATATGCATTCTGGCCAGTAAAGATCCAGAGAACCACATCTGCATCAATTTATGCTGAAGAATTCTAGATTTCATTATTCTTTTGAAAGACATCCAGATATCTTCAGCATAAATGAATTACATACATGTTCTCTCGCTCTTTGTGAACCACCTACCACAACAACATTACCTTAGGGCAAAGTTCTGCTGAAGTCTCCCATATGATGAGAAAGAAACTTTAGAGCAGCTTGCCATATCCGATTAATTACACAATCCCTAGCCATTTGGGACTAGGGAGCCATAGTAAGAGTATTATAAGGCAAAGTCCTTCCGAGGTCTCTCATCAAATGCGAGACTTCGGAAGGACTTTGCCTCATTCGAGTAATTCTACTATACCGTTGCAGCTAGGCTGCATAGATATTGCGCTTCTGGCTTGCAGAGCTCTCATGGTAGACTAAGCGGAGATCTGATGCCGAAATCACTTGCTGATGTGGATGGAGCAGCACTATGATTGGCCAGACCAAAGGCTGCGTAGCATCTCAGCAAGTAGATTATCGGCGGTGACTCCAGCTATGGTCCACCATGAGATTATGAAACTTGCAATTTGGCGGGAAAGCTTTGCCCTTTACGAGTAAAATCACATCCGACACCTTTGCTGGATCAAGAAGTAGTGGTATACAATAAGTGTTGGGATTGCAAAAATGAATCTGAATAGACGCAAAAGTAAGAGAGACAGGGGTGAGATAACCGGTAAGAGTTAATGGAAAGTATCGAAGGCGTCTCTAGTTTGAAAGCACAAACAGCTGCGGGGAATTAGTGTTGAGCCTTAATAATATTGATCATCAGAAACTATTTCTTACTACACTTATCATCATTACATGTTGTGCGATGTAATAACTAAGAAAGAAATAGCTCAGGAGATCAATGAAATTCTCTTTGGCTAGCTCTTCGAAACCAACTCTTTTCTTCATGTTTTGTCATTGCATGTTGTGCGGTGCAATTAATAATGAAGATTTTCTTGGCTGCTCGAGAGAGAAAACCAAATGAAAAATGGCACCTTTTTTGGCGCCTCCTTTTCTTTCAAATTTCCCCGCCAACCGAAATATCCATTCAAATCTTCCCGCAAATATAATTGCTTTCAATTTCTGTGACAATTAAAATTCGTCCAAAATATAACATTAAGATAGGTTATCAAATGTGATAGAATAATTACACGCTTATTTGCAATTATTCCCCAAATCAATTCTATTTTAAGTCAAATCACTCTGTAAACCACTAATAAATGATATGACATATATACAAATACTCACTAAAATCTATGTTTATGCTCAAAACTAGAATAATACATCAACTTAGATATTGAAGATTCAGATCAACCAATAACTTATGTCATCCAAGTCTGACTATTGCATGGCTTAAACACGGCCCCAAACGCTACGACCAGATTCAACAGTTTTCCTCAATAACAGGTTTCACCGCACAAAACTGGATTTTGGAGGGTAGCACACTAAAAAAAATTATTCCCAAATTATGGATGAAGTTTGACTTTTCATAGATCCCGCCAATTTTACACAATTTCAAAATCTTATTGTCAAATTTTATCAATGAAGTTTTTATCAACTCCAACGCTGATTAACATCAATCAAGAAATGCTTGCAAATGCAATCTCCGATTTACAATTATTTATTAAGATGGAACTGTTTTTAGTGCAACCAGAAGATGTTGCAAATTATCATACTCCTTCAAGCTTGGAAAGAGGTCCTTTTTACAATTCGTATGGGTCAGTGTCTAAGTCATTTGGTAATCCGATGTATGATTTAGTAACGTATGCTAGCAAGGGAGAATATCCTGCTCTCAAGGCTACAATGGAGTCTTCTTTTCCAGATTTTGACTTTACAAATTTAGTTCCTTGGAATTTTAAGATAATAAAGTCATTCGATCAAGCCAAACAGCAGATCAGTTGGAATTTTTCATCAGCATTCCAAAATGCTGATAAAGTAGTTATGGATATTATTAAAGCTATAGAAGATACCCTGAATATTCAAGACTGTCAGATTTATAAATATGAACCTGATGGATCCGACGCTTTCTCAGACATGGGTTATCCTACGACATTTTCATATTTCTTTGTAGACGAGACAAAGAATAAAGTGCTGTTCCTACATATGCGCGAAGGCGATGGAGATTGCGATATGTCAGATGATGATAACGTTTCGGACGCAAGATACGGATATGGATTGTTTTGATTAAATAGTATTATTTTATTTAAATAGTAGTACACAGTTTTTAAAATTTATAGAGGATTTTTTTTTCTAAATCAAATATTCAATCTTTTATACATTCCATTTAAAGTATAAAATATTTCTCCATATTATTCTCCATTATGAACTCTTATATTTCATACTAATATCTAAATCTGTGAAAATCATTTGCAAGTTGACTTATAATAGCTATATTTTTATATTCACATTATAAATGATCTAAGAGCATAGTTATTTAGCTATAATTTGATAATTTGCATTTGATTTCCATGATTTGAATGAAGCATATCGCACAATTCTTAAATTTTCCTACTCACCAACATGTACTTAATTCATTCTTAACATTAACATGTTTATAATAAACCGACCAAACGAATTTCCAAGAACGTGGACGTCGGTATCAATGAAAATTGATAAATTCAATTAATCACAAGTTATTCTGTTGTAAACAGAAATTCATCAAAAGTGACACCTCAGAAAAGCTAAAATATTGAATTTTTGGAACTTTTGATAGAGCACGTTTTTAAATATTAATTAAAGTAAATGTATATTTTGTAAAAATTCTTTTTAATAAAAAATAAAATTTTGAAGAAGAACACAAAATCTTCTGAAAAATAATATCACATAAACTCATATTATTTTCTAATATATAACTATTTTATATAAAAATCAAATTCAATGATCTTAAAAGCGAAGGATAAACCTCAAAATTTACGAATATAATGAGTGGGAATATAATGCTTATCTATCATAAAACCATATGAAATATTCCCACTCATTATATTCGTAAATTTTGAGGTTTATCCTTCGCTTTTAAGATCATTGAATTTGATTTTTATATAAAATAGTTATATATTAGAAAATAATATGAGTTTATGTGATATTATTTTTCAGAAGATTTCATTCTATATGCCTATGAAAAGTATTCTCAAAACTAACTTTTTCCTAATTATAATTAAATCTAGAATATTGTATTATGCTTAGTATTATTTCATTTTTCTCATTCAATTTAGAATTTACAAATGTCAAAAAATTGAGAGCTGTCACTTTTGATGAATTTCTGTTTATTACAATTCAAGCTTAATTTAGCCACCTTCAACGATCTAACTCTTTACAAAAAAATTGAGCAATTTGTTTGACCAAAGAATACGCATATTCAAAATCAAAGTTCCCAAAAGACATTACAACAAGCTATTGTAGCAATTGCTTGTACAGTTCCTAGATTTTCTCATAGTACGTCAGGATCTCAAACAATTCAAAGCCATAGTTCGTTGTTCGTTCAAGTTTTATATATACAGCACTATAGAAAATCATTTTATGACTTCAAAAAGGTTACTTAATCCGGTATGCTCTGAAAAATTTTCCCAATCCGGTAGCCTAATCAAAGTTGAATGGAAAATATTTTTTCCCTATTTAATTTTTTCAAGAGACAGAATATAAATTTCCTCATGTATTACTCTTTATTTAACATGATTTCAGTTTAAGCAGGGTCTGACAATTTTTGATCCATTGAAAATAAATATTACAAGAATTATACTCAAATACAAAGAGGCATGATTTAAATTACGATCTTTTTGTTAGGTTTTGTCAATTTTTTTCTCGGTTGAATTATTTGTGCATGACCTTTTCAGAGGCTGCACTTTGCATTGAGATTCTAGGTTTATCGGACCAAGAACCTGTAATTGATGAATCTCTGGACGAATTTGATCGAGAAATCGTTGATGAACTTGCATTTCCTCCAATAAACAAAGAAACTCTAATGCAAATCCATCAAGGAATGTCAAACCAACTTGATGTTATTGAATTCCTATCAAAAGTACCCATTTCATTTCAATTTTATCCAGATGCAATTCAATATCTAACAAATTCGCACACTTTTTATAAAAAAATGCCAAAATTCACATTAAATACAATATTAAGATCCTATGTTGCATGGACTTTTATATTTTCTAAGACAAATGACACAGAATATTTCCAAATTGTCTTAAACTCGCTTAATTTCTTTACAGAAAGGAAGATCTCAGATGAATATAGCCATTTAAGACTATTAGGTATCTATGCATTCTACTTTTCCGTAAATAGATACATAAGTCTTAGTAAAAACCCAAATCTCGAAGCATACATCCTACAGATCGTTGATTTCTTTGTTATTAATGAATAGATACCACCGCAAATCTACAAACTCTTTGAAAATGTCGTAGCGTTACTTTTATTATCCCAAAATTACAATGAACAATTTTGAGTACCATATCGTCAAAGATACGATCAAAGAAGGAAAATGTCCCTTCAAGTGTCCTAGAAAACACATTACAACAATTAGTCAGATTTTTACTCAGTTTCAATCCGAAAGTTCTACAATTTTGGGCCCAAACATCATTGATACTTGATGATTTCCAATTGGCCAACTTTTTTCCTCAAATTGTCGAAGGATTATTATCAAATGTAAATTCCAACACGATCAAGCTCAAATACAAGATACTTCCAAGTACAGAAGGCCATATAGACCTCAAACCTTTACAAAACGATTACTATGTCTATTATCAAAATCAAATGTTCCAAAATTCATCCGAAATCACAGATTACATCACATTTCCTGAACACCAATCATTATTAGACTGCATTTCACCATCATTACTCAACTCATTGGCCATAATTGAAGAAATTTATTTAAGATCACAAGTTTTATCTCAAAAATTCATAGAAGTTTACGCGAAAAAGTTGCCAACATATTTCGACAAAGAGAATGCATTGGAACAAATCACGATGTTCACATATGTTTGTGTTGTAATTTTCCAATCTTTCCCTGTTTACATCAATCCGCAAGCATTATGGAACAATATCATCTTTTCTGGCCATTACACAGCATTTAATCCATCAGAAACATATCTTTTCCTTAATAATTTCAGACAATTATATATCAGATTTCTTGTTGAACCTCAAAAATGCACTTGTTCATACTTTTTCAAACGAGCAGCTGAATATCCATTGATATTTGCCGAAATGGTGCATAGATTGATCCAATATTCTCTTCATAAATACATTGATCCTGCAAAAGCAGCACAAATAACTGTTGGATTAATGAATCCGCTCATTCAATACAGAGACATGGAATATACGGAGCCAATAATCAAAGCTCGTAAAGCAGTAATTACTTTTTTAATAAGATGTTTCAGACAAAAAGAAACTGCATATGCTTTCTTCGTTAATAAGGATTTCTTGAGAAAAGCTTTTTGTCTTTTCTTTGAAAATTCTTTAGTCAAAGGAATTTTGTCAATTTTCTTTAATTACATCAATTCTTCTCAAAAAATTGAGAACATTACAGAAATTGTAGAAATTATCAATGAATTTGTTATGAATGTTTTTCAGAAGATGCCGACATCTGAAGGCTTGAAGTTATTAGTATCATTTCTTAAGGAATTAAATGATTCGTTGATGTATAAACCACAATACGTCAACAACTTCATTTCTTTGATTGAATTACTCTGTAAAAAAGTCATTACTCTTGGTGATGACGTTGACAGAGAAGATATCTTGATACAAGTTATATCATTAATGGCTGTAACTTCTCATGAACACTCTATAAAGATAAGAGAATTAACAGCAATTGAAGCAGCAATTTTGAGTTTGAATAATAATAATCCCAAAAATGATATAATGATAAAACTTGCACAAATCATTGCAAAAAGACCTTTATCTTTTGTATTACCTAATTTCGATATCCAACAACCAAATGTTTTGATATTATTCTTAAGAATTTATTTGAAATCGGAAAAATTAATGGATGTCATTAATTTTTTGATAAATTTATGCGATTTTTCACCAGAAAATTGTACAAAATGCCACGATGGAGACTTGGATATATTTATAATTGATGTAATTGACCAATGGAGGATAAATGGTGGAATATCAAATGAAATTGTCAATAGAATGCTTGATCTCCTCCTTAAAATTATTTTAGTAACTGCTTCTGTTTCTGTGATGCAAAAATTCTTTTCACTTTTTTGTCCAATAAACGGACAAAATCTTCCTTATTACTTCTCTGACATTATTTCCACTTTTAATAGAGCACTAATCAGTGTAAACAAGAGTCCTTTGGCTTATATCATGGTTGATAATAATTCATCTGCAAAAATTCATGGAGTTAATGCTGACAATTTAAATAACGGTTTGACATTTTCTTTCTGGTTTTATCCAATACAAAATAATGTTGTTACATGGAAACAATATTTGTTTATTTGCCAAGATTCAAATGGACATTGTTTGAAACTGATTTTGCAGAACAAAACATTGATTGTAAGATTGCAAAAAGGATATGATCATTATAAAGGAACTTTTGAACTTCATTATTCTAATTTAATGTGGCAATTGATAAGTATTAGTTATAAAATAGGTAATGATGATGATATCGGATGTAGTTTTACTTGTTTCATCAATGGAAAGATGTCAAAAAGATTAAATAGATTCCCTATGATCGAATTCAAGAATCCTTTGAATGTTTTGATAAATGAATGTTCAAAGAACAGACCAATTATGGAAAAACCATGTAGAATTGGTCAGATTATTTTGACAAGTGAACTGAATTTGAATGAGATGCAAACAATTGTCGATGATGGTCCAAGAGGGCTCCAAACAATGCCATTGAGTTTGATCTTCGCAATTGAAGGCGTAGAAAATAACGGTTATTTCGGTTTTGTAAACAAATTTACAAAAGGAATAACAATTGAATCCAAACTTAAAAACGTAAGAGAAGATACAAGATTCGCATTGATTTTGGTCAATATGGTCAAAATTGAAAATATTATTCCACTTTTTGCCTTAATTAACCTCACTTCACCTCAAAATGAAAAAGTGCCATTTTTACTTGAAAACTTTATTGACATTCTCAAAAATATTTTGTTGTTAGGACAAATGGCACAAAACTATTTCGTAGAAGCAAACGGTTTCTCAATAATTTCTCATCTTTTGACAAAAAGTGACACTTCAAATTTGACATACAAGATTTACTTGAGATTTTATGATTTACTACAAGTTATCACCAAAACAAGTTTACAGAAACAGTTGTATGATGAAATATTATTGAATGAAAACCTATGGATTTTGGCAACACCTAAAAATCATTTGATGATTTTGAGACATTGGGCGAGAATCATTTCTGATGAGAATTTAATCACAGAAATCAAAACATTAAGATATTTCTTGTATGTCCTCAAAAAATTCTATTATTTCAAACCGTCGGACGATAGTTTTATCGTTAAAGAAAGGCCGCAAAATTTAAGTATTGATGATTGCAGGAGAAGTATCTATGAAGTTATGACATTTTTAGTCAGCCAACAAAAATTTGACGATTTTGATTTCAAAGCAATTGATTTCAATGCAATGATATCTGAAGAGGAAGAAAGTTTAAGTTTATTGAGTTATTTAAGTAACTTAGTTTTCTCTCATGAAACTCCTTCTTATTTTTACGAAATTTGCTTTAACAACCTCAAGTTATTGTATAAATTTATCGAAGAAAGTCATGATGCAAAAGTTTTGTTGACAATTAACGTGATTTCTGAAATATTTAAACGGATTCCTGAAAAAAGAGATAAATTAAAAGTGACAGTAATTGAATGCATGAAATTGTTAGATGTTAATGTAATTTCTCAATCATTTTTCACTCAAATTTTATCGTTGACAAACGGCGGTTTCCCTGAATTTTTACCTTTAGTTATTTGGTCGGCAATTAATTGTGGAAAATCAACAGCGATGGATTTAATAAAATCCTTGAAACCGAATGCATTTTACAAGACAGATTTAACAAGTTTGTTTTGGTCAATTGTTTTGTTGTATTTTGTTGAAAAAAGTGACAGACAAACCGTTATTTCATTTTTGTTACAGATATTTAATGATAATTGGAAAGATTTATTCTTCACTTTGCAAGCAGTTGGATTAGGATTTAAAGTTAAGAAGACAATGGAAGAATTAAGATTTTTGTTTGTTAAAATGATTTTGGAAAAAGTTGATGACAAAAATCTTAATGATATTTTTGTTATTTCTTCTCATTTTATTTTGTTCCACCAACAATCTTCTCATTTCATTTCTTCTGAGTTTGAAAACCAAAAAGTTTTTGCCGTGAAATCAAAGAAAAGAGATGTAATTTCATTTTCTAAACCTAAAAATGAAGAAGAAATCTTAGATGATTATTTTAAAGGAACAAATGTGAAGAAAACCATTTCTTTGTCTAATATAAGTCATTTTGTTGATGAAAACAAGACTTTGTCATTAAATATCAATAACAAAAACCAATGGAAAGATGAAGATTTCGCAAAAAGATTATTACAAATTTTGTTGAATAATCCAAAACAAGAATTTGTTAATTTCATTTTAATTTTATCGTATTTCATGAGGAAAAATCAATTGAAAAATTCTAATTTAACATTCTTGACACCATTGGATTCAATACAACCTTTCTTTGAATCAAAAGAAGAATTACAATTCTCTGCAGCTTTAATTGATCCAAAAGTGACATAACCGTTTTCTATCCTTTATTTGACTATTTTTGTGATAAAATACAGAATTCGGATTTTGTTAATTTAGGAAATGTTGTTGTAAGGAATGTCTACGAAACAGTATTTTTGTTTGAAGGTCCAGCAGTTTTGCATCAAAAAACCGATCAACTTTCTGAAATATTTTGGCCGGAATTATCTTTATTCGATGAATCATTCAAGAAAGATGTATCAAAGCGAAGAAAGAACTGGCTGAAATTATGGAGAAATGTAACAATGGATTCAGCTCCTTGGAATAATTCTCTTCCAATCGAATTGAGAAAAGTTGTCAGATATAAACGTGACAACAAAATTTGTTCATTCTTTTGTCCGATGAAACTCAGACAAAACTTTGCTTTTAATGACCACATGGAAGCAAGTTTAACAAGAGATTCAGGTAATGTTAAACTAGCTAAACAAAAAGCAATAAAAATAAGAGAAGAACAGTTAAGAACTGCTCATTCTTCTTCAAGTTTCCTTTCTATTACAGGTGAAGTGGACGATAACAATGAAACCGCTGACGATAGCTCTCACAAAAAGTGCCAAAATGATTTTGACGAAATCAAATCGAGAGTTTTATGTAAATTGATTTCTGTCAAAAAAGAAACGTTAGCGGCTTTAATCGTTCGTGACAATACATTCAATTTTTCTGTCAGAATGGAAAAACAATTATTATCCATTTTAATGAGATCAAAGCCATTTTCCAGAGGACATTTAGAAATGACAAGAATTCTCTTGAAATTTTCACAATCGATGGTGATGATTATTTCATCAGATTCAAAGAAAATTTCCAATACGAAAATATTTTGTCATTAATTACAATTTCTTTATCGAAATTCCCTCCAAAAAGTATCATCCAAAATTTGCTATTTAAAGGTTTCTGGGAAAATAGCGGTTTGACAGAAAAATGGGTCAATCATGAGATCTCAACATTTGAGTATTTAATGAATTTGAACATTTACTCAGGCAGATCATTTTTAGTTCCTTCTCAGTATCCACTATTTCCTTGGATTTTGACTGATTTTAGTTCACCTGAATTAGATCTAAATAATCCAAGTGTTTACAGGGATTTGTCGAAACCTGTTGGTGCATTGACGAAAAAGAGATTGGATGATATAATGAAAAGATACGAAGAAATGAAAAATATCGGAATGAAACCATATTTTTATGGAAATGGTCCTGTTTTTCCTTTAAGTGTTTTCCAGTATTTGATAAGAATGGAACCATTTACTTCCATGCACATTCAAATACAAGGAGGAAGATTCGACCACGCCGCTAGATTGTTTACAAAGATTTCTGACACTTCGAGACAAATTCGAGAACAAGATGGAGATTTCAGAGAATTAATTCCGGAATTCTTCTTCATGACAGAGTTTCTCGAAAATACTAATGGTTTCGATCCAGGAAAAACTGACAAGAACCAACTAGGAGATGTAATTCTTCCTGAATGGTGTCATGAAAACAAATTCGAGTTCATTTACAAACACAGAAAAGCTTTGGAGTCACTTTTTGTGTCAGAAAACATAAACCAATGGATTGACCTGATTTGGGGAGTAAAACAGAAGAGTTTAGAAGACTACAATGTCTATAAACAAGAGATGTATCCAACTTACAAAACACAAAGCTATCCATCAAAGAAAACAAAAGATAGAGTTGAGTTAAGATCTTTCTTGGATCACATGGGTCAAATTCCTCCTCAAATTTTTGATAATTTACATCCAAAGAGAAAACCGCTCAAACCGAAACCGACATTGATAACACAGATGTTGATTAAAGATCATTTGGATCAATTGGTTTCAGCGAATATCGAAATTGTCAACGAAGAATGTTATTTGAGATTTTTGACAATTCAAAATGAATTTTGCGAATTGATTTATGACTTAAATCAGTTGCAAACTGATGGTTGCTCATCTCCTAAGTCTTTCACACAACAAAAGATAAGTGAAGTGATGTTGGATGATCCGTTACCGGTTGTTTTTGGCAGAAAATTGATTTATTGTGCTGAAAATCAACAAAATAAAATAAATTTGACAAAATTTGACAACCAAACATTGTCAAACATGGAAATTCCATCAAGGATCAGTACAATGACATTAGATGATAATTATATCATTTGCGCAGGCGAAGACTCAAAAGTTTACATTTCAAAAATTGATTCAAAGAAAAAAGGTGCCGCAATTTCATTTAGTGGTGAAGTAACATGTATTGGCTTTTCATCATGTTTTGATTTATTAGTAGGAGCAACAACGGATTCTGCATTGATTTTCTGGTCACTTTCCAGACAAACAAACGCAAGAATCGTAGAATTGAATCAAATAACCGTTTTGTCTATCATCGTGACTCCATCATTTGGTTTTGTTTTAGTTCATGCGAGAATGGCTGTTGGTGGTGTTTTGAAGTACTCTTTGATTCTGTTTTCTGTCAATGGAGAGAAAATAAGGGAAATAGAAACAAAACATTTGGTTTGTTTATGTCCTTGGTCATCGAGAGATGGATTTGACTATGTTTTGTGTGCGGATACAACAGGAAATATATACAATTTCGAAGCGTTTTGGTTGAATTTCCCGAAAGATCCAATCGCTCATTGCGGAGATACGGTTTTGTCTATAGGAATGACAAAACTTGCTCCTGCTGCAATCTCTGTAACAAATGCAGGAAAAATTTTCGCTTTTCCCGTCAAAATTTGAATTAATTATTTTTCAAAACTCCAAGATTTCATATCACTTAGATCATTTATCTTGATTTATAATAAATTTTATTATTTTTTGTTTGAAATTCAAAAAGAAAAATTTCATATTATTTTTGACAACTTCTAGAAAGTATAACAACATCATTTAGATTGTTGTTTATGTAACGAATCCATTTTTTATTGTATTTTCCTTGTTCTCAAAATTTTTCAAAATATTTCAAGTTGATTTTCAAAAAAACTTGAAATATTTATCAGAATTCTCTATTTTTAATCGAGTAGTTTTCCTTTTAATGACTATTATCTTATGATTTCTTGGATTTTATTATATTTTATCTTTATTTTTTTATGTATGTTTATAAATATTTGTTATTTTATTTGCTTTTTCCAATACGTGAATTCCTCAACCTTTTTGCAAAAACAATGAATTTCGTTATTTTATTTTCTTCATCGATTTGGTTCAAAATCATTTAATATTTATTAAAAAGATCTTTGCAATGCTTTTGATTAGTAAAAAATGCTCAATTATTCATGGAAGACCGAAAGTTGTTTAGTAATCTGATGGAAGTCCAAGCTTTGAGGAAAGCTTGACTGGAAGCTTCTTCTTCTCGAACATGCAGCCTGTTGGAACAACAACAACATCAAGGCCATTTGTTAATTCAGAGAGATCCTTGTATTGCTTGCCCTGTGGAGAGTAGAGAGCACGGACACCACTGCCGCAGCCATCACAGCTCTTAGCAAGGTGTGTGAGAAGCTGATCCCACTTTCTGAAGAGGGAAGGCTTAATAAGAACTTTAACTGCATCGCAGTTCTTTTCACCAATGTTCCAGAAGTAGCAGGCTGGTGGTTGCTCTGTGCCTGTCTTGAAAATCTGTGGGCCACCTGGGCCGCATTTCTTTGGAGCGCAAGTCATTTAAGTGAAGTGATTACTTAAATCATTTCAAATTTTTTTATATCAAAAGTGACTTTTTATATAAAATAATCAGACGTTTATTTTATATCACAAACCCAATAAAATTAGTATATACATACCATAACATAATTTCGATTGAAAATTTTGACAAATTTTTTTTATCGGCAATAATTTTACTAACGACGCAGATTGTCTCATAGATAGTCAGTAATCTTGGCTTGATTATGGTATCACATGACTATTGCCTGGATTATGATATATTTATCGCAATCTCCTTAATATCCAAATTTTGAAAAACGAACAAAACGCCTGATCTAAAATGCCATTAATCAAAATTCATTGATGTAATCATTTGATACTATAGGGTGTCCAAAGGTGTGTTTAGCACAAACCTGAATACTGCGAATAGAAATAAACAAGTTACATATATATAAAGTTTATTTAAATATAATCACCATTGGATTCAATCACGCGTTCGCAGCGATCGATCCAGGCTTGAAAGACACGCTTTAAATCATCATGAGAAAATTGCTCAAATTGCTCTCTTACAAAATTTTCAAGATCATCTGGACTCGCGAATTCGCGTCCTTCAGCTCTCTTTTTTAGCGTGCCGAATAAATAAAAGTCAGAGGGTGCAATATCAGGTGAATAAATTGGGTTTGGAACAACTTTGACATTGTTTTCCACCAAGTAATTCATTACCTTATGACTTTTGTGAACTCTTGAATTATCAAAATGAATTGCAAACTTTTGTTTTTGTTGTTTGGATTTCTCAAACTCATCAGAATTGATAATTTGAGTAAGAACATTGTCAATTAGATACTGAGCATTCATCGTATTAGGTTTTTGAAGAATATCAATTGCGATGATGCCATTCACGCCCCAAAAAACCGACAACATCATCATTGGTGTGTCAATTTTTTTCTTCGGGAATGTTTGCGGATTTTCATCCTTCGGGATCCACATGATTTTGGCTTCTGTTGCATATTGAAACCAAGACTCGTCCCCTGTTACTAAAAAGCGAAACTTCTTGGATTGATACGCACCCAATATAGAGAGGAGCTCTTTCGAAGATTGGACTCTAGATTTTTAGTTAGTATGGTTAAGTTGGGTACGGCGGCACTGCGTTCCACTTTACCCAATACTTGTGAATTTGACACTTTACAAAACCGTTAACGTGTATTTTACAACACAAACGACAACACTAACTTAACCTTAAATATTTACAAAGCCGCCAACCACTTCACTTCACTAACGAACTCACTAATGTAAAAATAAACGTTCTCACTATCGTTCTCACTAACAACTTCACTAATGTTCTCATAAATTTTCCTCAATATCTTCATCATCAGTGTTAACCCTATTGTAGTCATACTTGAAGCCATAAACTTTCTCTAACTTCTTAACGTACAATTTACATAACTTACCTTCGTCATCGTATGGTTTAATGATATAACTATTTCTATCTTTATAAACAGTCAATGAAAAGTCAACTGGTCTCGGATGTATTTGAAAGAACATGTTATGCTCAGGAAGGAAGAATAAATGTTTAAATGTATGTTTGTTATATGTTTTGATTTGTATGAGTTGCTTTTGTTCTGTCATTACATCCAAATAAAATAAAAATAAAATAAAAAATAAACTTAAAAATTAATGATATCACCACCCTCACACGTATGAAAACATAGCACAAAAATAAGCCGCTAGCGGCAAGGGCGAAGCCCATGTTTATGTTAGAATGTTAGATCTAACACGTTTTCTAACCTCATTTCTAACCTGTTGAATTCATTGCTTTATAACTCTCTTCCTTGGTTTCTTTTTAGTTGCTTTCTTCACGTCTGTCTCCAACTTGACTGTCTTTCTTCTTCGTCCGTAATGATACCAGTTACTTCCACCAGTCAATGGGTCAAATGGTCTTTCGTAAGGATTTCCATACATTCCATAGGGACCATACGGAAGAACTACTGGTGGAGAAGAAACATTTTCTTTAGTTCCATCGAATCTATTTAAATGCATTGTTTCACCTTTCATCTGGTCATTAAAGTCTTTTGCGTGTTTTGCAAACTCATCGTCCTTTCCTAAAGCATTTTCTGACTCAGTCGCAACCAAATTGGATGCTTTATTTATGAGCCCTATTTTATTTAATCTTAACTTCTTTGCAACCCAGCCTCCAATCTTCCCTTTATTTGCATCTAATGTCTTCGAAACCCTTCCTCCACTCATTTTATTTACTGCGTCATAAGCCCCAAGTGCTTTTGCTCCAAATGCTAATGCTTTTGTTCCCATTGCGCCTAAAGCTGTCCAAGCTACCATTTACACCATATTAAAATCATCTCTCTTCAATATTATCTCATAAAAGTTCTCGTTACTGGAGAAAGTCAATGAAACATAAACATTCTCATTCATAAACTTCTTTCTTATCTCATCTATACGCTTCAAAATGTCTGAACAATTGCTAACATCTTCTACAACAGTTATTTCATCATGAATGACCTTCAAGAACAAGCTCATTTAATATGCTATTAAAATCATCTCAATAATGAGTCCATCCTTTCCATCTTTAGGTAGCACAACATCTTTCATTGAAGAAGGTTCGACAAGTCTTATGTTAAACTTACTGACAAAGTTTGTTATACTATAATGCTTCGGTGGCGAATACATGTAGTTTGAAAGACATAATATAGATTCTTCAGCAAATTCACTTATACTGGATTTTATAACAATGTTCTCACGAGACCAAATACCACCAATTGACAATCTTGTAAGCAATCCTGCTGAACCTTCTACTGTAAACGTCGATGGTAACATTCCACGAAGGTCATCTATTGACATCTTTGAGTCACTGAATTTAAATATTTTCTTAAAGCAATCGTCATTATCTAACCATGCAATAGCTTTGAAGTTTTCATTCGAATATACATCTGCTTCATTAAATGTAAAACCTGACTTCTTTGCAGAGACGACTTTAAAATCTATTGCATTTGTTTCAAAATTATATACTATGGTAACTTCTGAAGGTAATGGATGTCCTTCCGCAGTCAGTTGTTCTCTCACTACCGTTTGAAGCTTTGTGTTAAAAACTTTCATGTCATCTCCTGTGTCTAGGTTCACATACACAGCAACAGGGAAAATCTTGCTTCTTTGTTTCATCATTATACCTCAAAACATTAAAGTTCTTCAATAATATTGTTCTTCCTGCTGGAATACTTCTAACTTGTCTTATTTCAATAGCTTTCTCACCTCCTACATACTCTACCCAGTGTCTTGGATATTCATAAGTATACTGACTTTCTTGAATTTTGGTAGGTTTCATCATAACGTGTTCATAGTATATCTTTATACTCTTGTCAGTTAGACTCGGTGCTATGTTCTGAATATTTCTGACTTGCATTTTTAATGAAGATAAAATGAAGCATTTAATACATGACGTAGATGAAGACATGAATGAAAGCAGTGAAAAGCTCAACAGTTCTCTCATTCTTCCTTTCAGTAAGGACTATGAGTTCTGTTCAAATGGTGTGTATTTCTATTGTGGAAAGATGGGTTCAGGTAAGACATTTAACCTCATTCGTCATATACTCATAACAGAGCGTTTAGGAAACGACTCTTACTATGACCAAATCATTATATCAGCAACTTCAGACTCTATGGATTCAACAGCGAAAACATTTATGTCAAAAGTTCAAGCCTCTGTCGTTAAAGTTCCAGATAGCGAACTCATTGAATTTCTTCAACGTTACATTCGACGTAAGAGAAAATATTATGCTATTGTAGAGTTCATACAGTCAGGAATGCAAAAGACTTCAGAAGAGATGGAAAGAATTATTGACAAACACCACTTACGTCAATACTCAGGAGTTTACGATATGAAACGACTGACAAACTACATTCTATCAAAACTTTCAAAATACCCCTTCAAAAAGTATCCTTCAAACACTCTGCTCGTTTGTGACGACTTCGCCGGAAAAGGTTTAGTGTCAAAAGCAGACTCACCATTAGCTAACATCATAACTAAAGTCAGACATTACCACTTAACTGTAGCAATACTTATGCAAACATGGCGTTTCCTTGCTTTAAACATAAAACGTCTCATAACTGACTTCGTTATCTTTCAAGGTTTCTCACGCTATGACATTGAACTCATTTGGAAACAGTCAGGTATAACATTACCTTTTGAAGAAATTTGGGAAGCATATAAGTCTCTCATCTCTCCTCGTTCATACCTTGAGATTCATATCATGACTAATACCATTAAAGTCAAAAACATTCCATGGGAACGACCAACATTGTTTTAAAGTTTAACCTTCAATTGACTGATGGTAAACAAATTCCATGCATCTCTGTCGCCATTTCTGTTAATATTTTTGCTGTCATTCATATCATCCACTTCCCCATCCGTTAGCTTTTGAGGATATGTGTTAGAATAGCTGTTCTTAAATGAAGGCTTTTCACCTTTGAGAGCATAAACTCTATAACTTTCTGCATACTTTATGTTTGAACCTCCTGAGCCATCATTGACATAAATTTTTATAGGCTTCCACCCTTTGTTCATATTCCTGCTTCTTCCCTTAGCTCTTTTGTTCAGTAGTTCTACATCTTTATACACAGCTCCTGTCTCAGTGAATTCAACAATATTTTCATTCGTTAGCTTTACATTCAAACCCTTGTCGAGTATATTGTTCATTTCATACATATAAAAGGTTTTTATTCTATATGAAATGAGAAGCAAATCCATCTTAGCTGGTGCCGTTAATGTTCCAATTGAACCAACATCAAATGTTGACTCACGAACGACAAACAATATTGTCATAAAGAACTATAGTTCAGAGTGTTTGAAAGAAAAAGAACCAGAACTTAAGTCGGTGAATTTAAACTCAGCTTCAAACGCTAACGCTACATCAGATGTTAAGTTAGAGTATCCACCACTGGACCAAATTCTTTCAAGAGAAGCCAACGACAACCCTTACACAAATGTTCAAACAAATCCTTCAGATAACGTAGACCATTACCTTCTTCAGTTATACCAAACAATTTTACTCAAAGACGATAAGAAGCTTTTGACAAATCTTATAAGCAAGAACCAAATAATTCTAACAAAGGAGGACCTTGAAAATGTTATCTCACGAATAACAGGGAAACAATGTGTCATTGACTATCTCGACCCTGAAATCGAATGCTGTGGTCAAACTCCACTATTCATGAAAATAGGTAACATCCGCATCATTGAAACACCAGGAACTACAGGAGTTGAGTTTAAGTATAAATATTCGAACGAGTATACAAAACTATCTACTTACTATAAGCTTTGCTTGAAATATGTTTTAGTAAATTAAAGCAGTCAGGAGGGCTCTTTGAGCCCATCTTGGCGCTTTGCGCCGTCAGTCAAAAAAATTCAAGTTAGCAATTTGTAATATCTGTCCAAAACTTCTTCAACAGTATCGAACTCATCTTCATAATGCAAACCTAATCTTATTGACTTGGTGCAGTTTTCACTAACACAATATAGCGCTTTGCGCTCGGCGCCTTTGACGCCTTTTTCTGTTCTCTTGACTGGCATAACTAACTCATTTGTTTCATCAAACAGCAACAACCAAAGTTCATGACCTAATACATAACATTCATACTTTATATTTTTAGCTCTGAGTTCTCTTGTAAGCTGTTGCATTTAATATTTTCTAAAAAGTCAACTTCAACAGTCATTCGCACTGGTGCCTTCAGTTCTACAGGCTCTCCTTGAAAGTCAACAAGTCTGAATTGCATGTCTTTCAAATTATGAGGACTAATGCGAACCCATTTACCTAAATGAGTTGCTATGACAGGAACGTTTGGAATGAACATTGAATTGACTGCATAACAGAAGGATTTATATTCTACTGAACCTTTACTATTAACTCCTGAAATACCTGTGACATTAGCTATTTTTGACTCAACGTACAAACAATTACCATAACATACGTATGGAACAGATTTCATCTCAATCGTTTTGTCAACACTTTTCAAAGGAAATGTCATATGGTATGCTCCCAGAAGAAGTTGTACTCTATGACTCATTCTTGGTATCTTGAACTCTTTCTTGCTACTGAACTTCAATGTTCCCTCAGAAGAGAGTTCGACATCTATGTTGTCAATAGTTTCTTCATTTATGAGAGTATCTATGACTCCAGCAATTTTATCTATTCTGTACTCGGCTCTGTTAGGAAATGTTACAACACTTCTTTTGTCATCTATTTCAAACTCCATGAAATCTGTTTCATCTGTTATGACAAAAGTTGCGATAGTATTGAAGTCAACAACTCTGAAAGCAAGCGCTTCATTCTGAAGACCTAAGTTTGTTTGTAGCTTTACTGTCCCGTATTCGTTTGGGTCTGTACTTTGCAAATAGAACAACATTTTATTCTCATTAAAATATGACTATTGCTGCATATGCGTATGAAACAAATGAAGCAAGAAGAGCACATGAACTAGTAAACGAAAACTCAACTTTAACCATTGAAGGCAATGATTTAGTCATTGACGATGGAAAAACTAAAAAAGTCATTGATTTCGATACTTTTAACACTTATGACCCATTCATTACAACAAGCAAGGTTCCCATCATAAATGATGGAACGGTGCAATATATAAATTCTACAGTAGATGCCTCATTAGTGAAAGTATTAAATGTTCTCATTGAATTGTTAAAGAGCTTTCGATTTGACGACAACATTAAATGCCTAAAGAATTTAGTCATGAATGAGAAACAAATTCTCGGCGTTGCTGGTAGCAGTAATGATGTACACCTTATGACATTAGAATATTATAACGAACATAAAGATGAACTGAAAGGAGAGAAGGGTGACACCGGACCTCAAGGACCACAAGGAATACAAGGAATACAAGGAATACAAGGAATACAAGGACCTCAAGGCGAAAACGGTTTGGATGGAAAGGATGGAAAGGATGGAAAAACTGCTAAATCATGGATATGGGACCTTATAAATACTGGTTTAACAGCTGCTTCATATGGAGTTCTTCAATACCAAATCGGAAAGATATGGGCGGTACTTGGTGAAGAAGTTTTAAATGACGTTAAAAATGCTTTGAACTTCATTTCAAATGGTTCGGATACTATTAAAACTTTATCTGGTTGGATGCAAGAAACAAGGAGTCAAATAGATACTGTAAGACGTATAGCAAACAATGCACGTACGGGATTGGATACTTTACGACAAGCACAAAATACACTAAAGGAAGCAAATGATATTCTTGGCTCAGTATCAGACATGCATGAAGATTGGCTTAAAGGTATTGACAAATCTTTAAAAAATCACAGTCAGTCTATTGCTGACTACAAGAAAAGTATAGATTTTTTACATAGTGCTATGGACGTACATGATGGAAGCATAAGGAACTTACTTAATGCTAACAATAACTTACCAGGAACTATTAAAGCATTTATAAAGTCCTTTGTAAAACCCGGTGCTCTAACATTTAGGTCTTTGAGAGCAAGAGCATTGAAGTCAAGAGATGCAGAAACTCCAACAGAACCTACAGAAGGAACTGAAACAACAGAAACTCCAAAAGAACCACCAAAACCAACAGCTAATGAAATATTGTTCGAATATTTTCCAAGGTACTCTGTTCTCATTGCATACATTCAAGAAATACTTAAGAAAGCAGACTTGACTTTAGGAGATGATGAAAGTTCTGTATATCTTTCGTTCCAGTTTCAAATAGCAGAACTTTTGAGACAGATATGCTTAATGTATGACAACATCTCTGATTTCACAAGATATGATGACGACCATGACCCCGAACATGGTGAAGAAGAAGTTTTACAAACATCCATTAAGACAGGAAAGGTTTTAACTCAAAGTCTCATTATTGACACCAAAGATGGCGAAGTGGACGTTCTTCAAGAGCTGAAGAAAAATACTTCTTCGGGAGGTGGTGGTAGGCATGAACTTGAAATAAATGAGATAGAAGAGAAATTAGCCGAAAAAGCAGATAAAGAACATAAACACAATATCTCCGATATAAATGAACTTCAAGCTACATTAAATAGTAAAGCGGACAAAAATGAACTTGACGCAATGAACAAAGTTTTGAAATCTCATAAACACAACATCTCCGATATAAATGAACTTCAAGCTACATTAAATAGTAAAGCGGACAAGAACCATGTTCATTATATAACTTCAGACGAACAGATTATAACGGACTACCATGGATATTTAACACGAAGTGATGAAGCGAAGACAAAAAATGTTAATGAAAGAAGATATAAATACATTCGTGCTAAAGGTTATGACATAAGCTGTACTGTACAGTATGATGTAGCTAAAGCACCAGAAGCATTTGGTTATACCGGTGAAATTTATGCCTCTACTTTCAATGTTAACGGTGTATTAGTTGAACCAAGATTTATGTTAAGAGTTAAGGCAAAAATAACGTTTGAAGATGCTATTAAAAGTAAAGCTGACAAAGTTGAACTCGAAGCAACGAACAAAGTTTTGAAATCTCATAAACACAACATCTCCGATATAAATGAACTTCAAGCTACATTAGACAGTAAAGCTGACAAGAACCATACACATAAATCCTTCACTACTGTTAGAGCAGACGACATAATATTGAACTTTGACCTTGGTTCAAGTGCACCATTAGAAAATCCAAGTACAAGCGTAAAAGATACTCTTAACAGTTTAGATAAGAGTTGCAGGAACATTGAAAGTCATGCCAGAAACTTTGAAGCATGAACTACCAACAATGTTAGATAAGAAAGCAGACAAAACTTATGTGGATGCAGAACTAACAAAGAAATTTTCGAAACCAGATACAATGACATTTACAACAGAAATTATAAATGGTGAACCAGCAACTCCATTTGAATTTGTTAGAGGTCTTCAACCAGATACTTTTGAATTTTTCTTGGATAATTCTATTGAACTAACATTACATTATAAAAGTGGAACAAATGCAACATTTCATCCGGGAGATACATTCCAAATGGTATTTAATGACATAAGTTCTTTAGAATATGTTTATAGAGTTATGAGCATATATGATTTAATATATCCTATAGGAGCTGTTTATACGTCTATGAATCCAATAAATCCAAACACTTTATTTGGTGGTAGATGGTATGAAATAGTTGACAGTTTTCCATTCTACACTAATACTCAGTCAATGAAGATGGGAGGTTCAAAGAAAATAGGTATTGAAAACCTTCCTTCACATATGCATAGGTTCAGTGGAAGAACATCTGTGGAAGGAAACCATTCACATTCAATAACAAAAAGAGGTTATACAAATCTTGCAGCGGGTTCGGATAGACAGGGAATGCATAGATATGATATCACAACTGACCCCAAAGATGTTAGCACAGGTATTTTCTGTGGAACTGCAGGAAATCATACACATGTTGTAGCTGGTATTACAGACCCAGCAGGTAATGGAAAAGATTATATGCCTCCTTATATAACAATGCACGCTTGGATACGAGTTGGTTAAAATCTTTAACTTTACATAAATGAGCTTGAAAGAAGTATTCGAACAACATCCATGGAGGTCATTTAAGAAATTCAATGAAGCTGCAAAGAGTTGGGGATTTACTAACAGAGCTGAAGTGAAAAGGTTCTTTGACAAAAATGTTGTACATCAAACAAAAATAAACCCTTACGACTACTTTTTACCAATTTACTCCAACACTCCTGACGCATACCAATTTGACACTCTCATTCAAAGCAGAAAAGGAGGACATAAACCATTCCTCATCTTCATAAATGTTAACACTCGTAAAGCATATGCATATCCAATGAAAAATAAAGGAACTCGTGAAGTGTTAAGAGTTTTACAAAAGTTTGTAGCAGAACATAACCCAAGTACTTTAACATCAGACCAAGACAGTGCATACCTCAGCAATGAAATCACAGAATTTCTCATTAAGCATAACATAACTCACTACACTACTGAAGACCATAACCATAACATACTCGGCATCATAAACCGCTTCATAAGAACGCTCAGAGATTTAAATCAAGAGCGAGACTTTACCGAAGAAACAATGAAACATTTTCTCGAAGTATATAATTCCTCAACACATTCTACAACAGGACATACACCAAATTCAATGACACAACAACAAGAAGAAAAGTATATACAAAAGAAACGAAGCCAAACACAAAATATCAGAAATTCAACACAATTTACCCTCATTCCTGGTACAAAAGTTCGTGTAGTTCTTGACGACAAACCGTTGACAAAGAAACGTTTAAGGTTAAGTAGAAACTATTATATCGTAGACTCTACACAAGGTAATGGATATCTTATAAAAGCTGCTGACGACTCCATAGCATTTTACCCTCGACATAAGTTAGTTGAAAGTAGTAATGGCAAACTTGCTGAAACCATTGACGAAGCAAAGCGAGGAGTGGTTATTGAAATACTTGGCTACAACATAAACGATGACACTTATAAAGTAAGATATGAAGGAGGTGTTGAAGATGTTATACCATCTAAGAACTTGAGAGAGTCAAAGCCAACACATCTGGGACCATTAGAGCGGGAGTACTGGAAAGACAAAAATATGCCAGAAAGAATAAGAAAATTCTTCTAAACTTTTTCATTAGATGTAAATCAGACATGAATGAGAACAGTCATGATATCATTAATGGTACCATTTATTTACACCAAAAAATAATGTTTATGTTAGAATGTTAGATCTAACACGTTTTCTAACCACTTTTCTAACATGGTCTAAAACTCTCGAAAATCATGAATTTTTGACATTTCCTTATGAAAGAAAAATAACGCTAATTTTTTTCTAAGAAAAATTTTTATCTTGTATGTAAAGATATGATTTCAACAATCGGCACAACAACAATTCAAACTACAGCACCAAACTCGTTAGTCATGAATCCAACATCTATGTTAGTAGAGATGAAAAGCTTCATTCCTTCTTCATATACTTTCGAAACAAAAATCCAGAAGATAAAGCAAGAACTTTTAACAAGTAATTTAGACTGTAGTGCGAAAGATGAAACAAATGAACAGTATCTTTATGAAATGCAGGACATTATTGACCATTTACCCAAATTGCCTGAAATCCAACAACAAAAACTAACTATTCCTGAATTCGACGAAATTGAAGTCAAAACAACTGACTCAGTAGAAATAAAGAAGTTCATACGTAAAGTAAATTATGAATTCCTTGGTTTTCATTGCAACCATAAAGTTATGGACAAAGATTGCGACATGGTTTATAAGAATGTTTCTGACATATATAAATCTGAAGAATTTAAGACCTACGATAACTTTGTTTCATTAGTTGCTGAATGTGTTTGGGAAATAAGAGATAAAGATAGAAGAGGCAAAGTATGGAACGAACAACTAAGACCCGCTATGTTTGAGATGAAGAGAGCAATTGACGCCTTAGTTGTTTTAGCAGGTCAAATTTCAATGTATAACGCAAAAATGAACCCGCAATGTTCAAAATGTAAGGCAGCGATGAGGAAATATAACTACTCCGTCAAAGAGATAGAAAGAATGAGAAACGACTATGCAGATTTAAAGAAAGAAGTAGAAAAGCCAGCAGAAGATAAAATGGACATGTTAGCATTTCTGAACAAAAATTATCCAACTGCTGACGATTTCCTTCTATCTGACGTCAAGAAGAAATATAAAGAAACCTTCGGCATTGTTAAAACATTCGATGTACTAAAAGAAGAAATAGAAGCTACAAAACTGTTTAAAGTCATGAACCATCGCAACATATACCATGTAAAACGCTTGTAAATAGTTATGTTAGAAAAGAGGTTAGAAAACGTGTTAGATCTAACATGCTAACATAAACATTATTTTTGCTGAATTCAGCACAAAATTCTGAGTAAAATGACATATGGCACGTGTCAAACCGTTGAGTTTTCACAAATTTTAAAAATTGCTGCGGAAAGTTCGTCAAAAAAGTGAAGGTTCCCGACGGTTTCAAACCGCCATACTTTACATGAAGATAGTTTACAATGTCAACTAAATATCATGTACGATAGAAACGGTTATGTAAAGTTTACATTTTGTAAAGTTTTGTCCTGATTCAAGACAAGTCTTGTATTTTTTCAGAACAAGTCTTGTATTTTTTCAGAACAAGTCTTGTATTTTTTCAAGACAAATCTTGTCCTGATTCAGAACAAGTCTTGCACTTTTTAGTCAGTTTTTCTTGTAAAGTTCTCAAATTTGAGAACAATTGTCCTGATTCAAGACAAGTCTTGTATTTTTTCAGAACAAGTCTTGTATTTTTTCAGAACAAGTCTTGTATTTTTTCAAGACAAATCTTGTCCTGATTCAGAACAAGTCTTGCACTTTTTCAGGAAATCCTATCGTCTAACTTTACAAATGTCACTTTTTCAACATGATTGCATTTTGGTCGGGAAACAACTTTCTCTCAATTTTGTCACTTTTTTCTATCGTCGTGTTTTGTCACTTTTCCCTCAGGGTGTGTGTCAGAAAATATCCAAAATCTTTATAGCCTCGTATCTCCTTCAATTCTTGACGGCTTGACATGTATGACACACCATTCAATTCAGAATTATGTGCTGAATCTTATGACCTTCATTTGTTCGTGACTTCTTTTCACATATGTAACCCTGAATTTTTAACATTTCTTTAACACAGAAAAATAAAGTTAGTTTTATTTTTATTTATTTTTTTATTTTGTATGTAAGGACAGATATGTCAACAACAGAGAACACAACAACTGCTATCGTTCATGAAGCCATAAATGAAGAATACGAGTGGGTTCAGTTTAACAAACAACTCCGTCTCATTCGTTCGGTCAAAGACGATATGTACCAAATGCAAAGTATTTTGACAGCATGTTTTGCTCCAGACACTAAACACGCAGACGACTGGTTCAAAAACCAAAGCACACAAGAACTTTTGAGTGAAATTTCTCTAGACCGACTTTTTTCGGTCTTGCATAAAACACATGAAAATCGTAAAAATTTGCCAATAAATTTAAGAGGTTATTATGTTCATAGACTTTTAGTAAATGCAGTTGCAATGTGGGCTTCTCCTCGTTATGCATGGCATGTTTACAGACTTCTTGACGAAATTCATAGACAAGAACGTGGAGAGATGGAAAAGAAACTTCAAGCAAAAGATGAAGTCATTGAATCCAAAGACAAAAGCATACAGAAAAGAATACCACGTTCAGTACCAAAAGGAAAGGAAAAGAGTTATAAGTATATGATATATACTGAAGAGTTGGAGAAAGAAGAAGATAAAGATATGGTTATGTTGCATTTAGTCAGAAGAAACAACAAAAGCTTTTATGACCTTGCTAAGATTTACAAATCTGACAGAAACTGGTTCTATCGTGAAAACTTACCGATTTCAATGACACCGAATGAGCAAATAAAGGAAATTGTCAAAAATACTCTTCCTCAAACACACTATGACATCAAAGGTTGCACAATACTTACATTCAAAGAAGACTTAACATTACTGAAGGAAAAAATAACAGAATATTTCGATAACTTCAAAGAGGAAGAATAAAAAAATCTAAGCTAATTTTATTTTTTTATAAAATTTTATCTCATATGAAAGAACATGAATTTAGAATATTCGGAACTCATGACAGAAGAAGAGAACGAACAACATGTAAAAGATTATGCAAAATTTCTGAAGACATACAAAGCATTTAAACAATATCTAAATGCTTCTAAAGATTATGCAAAATTTCTGAAGGTATATAAAGCTTATGAAAAAGCGTATGAAAAGTTTATACATTGGGGAATTGTTGTAAAATATCGATATGAAGACTAACCAAAAATATATTTTTGCTTAAATGACGTCAGGGTCAATTTCTTCAACCATTTCACTTCCTTCGTCAATGTCAATAGAAGCTTCTTCAACCTTTGGTAAGAACTTTTGTATAACATCTTTGTTCGTTATTGTTTTCAGAGATGAAGAATAATATTTCACATTTGTTTCACCCTTCTTATATTCTTTTTCTGTTCGGAAAGATTCATAGCAATACTGAAGAAGTCAATGTTGGAGTTCTTATAATAGTATAATGAGTATCTTTGACATTCACGAAGAAACCTTTTGTTTCAAAACTACTGCTAACTCTTGTGAAGTATAACGTTTGCGGTCAATGACAATAGCTAATGGTCTGACATACTGACCAAACTTAGATTCTTTCACAAACTTCTTGTTAAAGATAACATTGACGTTTGAAGCATTATTGAACTCATTCTTGATGACAGTAGCGAGAGCATTGTATGATAAAGAACTTGCAATCTTGCATGTGTTTCATTAAAATAAAAATATTAAATTAGTTTTGAAAAATAACTTAAAAAAATCTAATCTAATTTTTTCAAAAAATATTTTTTATCCGATAGAAAAGATGACAGAAAAATTAACTTTTTACATAGCGCCAGACCCTTCTTGCCCACATCTTTTTAAGCCACAATATATAGTCATAGAACTAAATAGAGAAAGCGAAATTCTACAAATAGAAGAAAGCGAAATTCTACAAACAGAAGAAACATATAGAGACCTAGATAACGAAACTGGATATGCACTATTCTGGTTAGATTGTCCTTATGAAATGTATGAAAAAAAGGCTTTATATGAAGAATATAGAAAATATTGTCATGAAAACAATATAAGACCAAGCTCTAGAGAAAAATTCTATGCTGGTATAAAACATCTTTTCGAAGTTCGGAATGGCAAATATAGAAAGAAATAATTTTTCTAAGTTTATTTTTTCAAAAAATATTTTTTTATTTCCTACTAAAGATGTATCGGAAGTTGTCTAAGTTAGAACACTCGGAAATAAAACAACTTCTTACAGAAGCTAATATAGATGTTGCAAAGCATTACACAACAAACAAAAAGGCACTCGCTGACATCCTCAATGACTATAATGGTGAAATAACTTATGATAGAATTCATGAGTTCATAAAGCCGCAACGCGGCGAGGACGAAGTCCATGCAAGAGCATTTCCTTTAAATGACGTTGCTATTGACTTATATCATAGACGTTCAATACCTCATGAAGTAAGAAGAGAAATGTTTGACATAACAAATGCAAACGTTGGTCATACTCGTAAAGCTCTTTCACATGACGTTCGTCAAGAGATGTTTGACATAACAAATGCAAACGTTGGTGAAACAAGAAGAGCTGTACCACATGAAGTAAGAAGAGAAATGTTTGACATAACAAATGCAAACGTTGGTGAAACACGAAAGAGAGATGACACACTGAAACAACAGAGAAGAGAGATGTTTAAAAGTGCTATAGAACAAGTTCGCAAAGCTAATAATGTCATTCGTTCCATTGACGACAAACCAAAAGAAGGTGAGAGATGGTTAAAGAAAGATGAAGAAAATAGGAAGAGGAATGTGAAGTCAGGCAATAGACTCATTGACTTTAACATCGAAGCTTTAGATGAACCAAACAGAGACTACTTACACAAACATTTCGGTAAGGTTTTCATGAGACTCTTAGAGAAAATTAAAATAAACTCCCAACAGAGATGGATGGTATGTTATAAACTTGGTGGAAAGTATGAATGTTCTACGTTAAACCTCAATAATATTGGAACATTACTACATCAGCTCTTGAAGGAGAACTTTATATCAGAGATAGAAGCAAATGCTGCAGGTATTGTTGAAATGCACTATGACTTCTTCTTGACAAACATAAAGAATCTTACGAAATAAAGATGTATGATTTAACAGAATATGAAGGCTTAACGATGTCAGATGTAAAGAAAGGCAAACCAAAAAAGAGACCATATAGAGATGAAAGCACACTGACAAATGACCAGAAAGCCATTTTGGAAGCTCTTAAGCAAACAGGAAACCCAGCACTTATAGAAAGCTTTTGGAAAGATAATGGTGAAAAGAAGTTTTATAAGAAGAGAAGCGGCAGTTCTGGAAGTATCTTTGCACATTACCTATAAATCTTGAACGCTACCAAATCTTCAATGAACTGAACAAAAGAACTGCAACACTTATGACAGAAGATAACTGCTTCGTTTATGCTTGCATTCAGGCTGGAGTAAATGAAAAACTATTGACCACATGAGAAAGTCATTCGTTTAGAGACTTTCCTCAAAGTAAAGTACAAGAAATTTTGACGCAACAGGTATAGCATTAATGTTACCATTGGTTACTTCAATGACTCAAGACATAATGAAATAAAGAGATACATACCAAAAGAATGTGAAACTGTTCGAACTATTGACTTACTTCTTGTTGAAGACCACTACATGCTAAATGAAAGACTTCCAATGACAACATATTTCATTCGAAACTATATAGAAATCTTGAAGGAGTGTGGTGGAATGAACATTGAAAAACAGATGAAAATATATACAAAGAGAGAAGATAAATATGTAGTTCGCATGGATAGAACTACACCGCTATGGGATGTTATGAAAACATTGTGGGAGTGCAAATATTTTGAACCTATTTCTTATGGAGAACTTTTCACATATACGACTGACTTATATAAACAGAACCTTGCACCATTTAAAGATTTGACATATGCTCCAAAGTATTGTGTACAACTGAAGAAGAAAGCAGAGTCAAAAGAAGTAAATAAAGCTAAATGTAAGTTCATACCTGAGCACGTTTTCTTTGCTGACTTTGAGTGTAGTACGGATGGCTTTCATAAAGCTTTTAACATCTGTTATGACAGTGAAGATGGTTCAGTTAGTGAAAGTATTTGGGGTCAAAACTGTGCAACAGAATTTTTGGAAAGACTTCCTGACAAGAGTTTAATATATTTCCATAACCTCAGTTATGACATAAACTTCATCTTAAGACACATGACAGAAGTGAAAGGAACTCCCATCATTAAAGGTTCACGAACAATGCAAATAACTGGTTTATATAAAGGAAGGGCAATTATTATAAAAGACTCTTACAGTGTTATAAATAAGAAGCTTAAACTATTTCCTGCTATGTTTAACTTACAAACAGGACCGAAAGAAGTATTTCCATATAACTACTACAGCAGTGTTTTGTTAGCAAATGACAACAGAACTGGTGTCATTTCTGAAGCATGTAAGTTTATCCATGATGCAGATACATTTATGAAGAACATAGATTCCATCAAAGGTTGCAGAATAGATGAAAACCACTTCGACTTAGAAAAATATAGCACGTTTTACTGCAAACAAGATGTAAGAATTTTAAGAGAAGGTTTTGTAAAGTTCCGCAATGACTTATTGAAAGAGTTTGATTTAAACGTTTATGACTACGTTAGTATTTGTTCTATTGCTAACAAATTGTTTGAGAACAGAGTATACTTCCCGAATGGAAATCTTTATGACCTCTCAAATAAACCAAGAGAATTTATTTCGAGATGCATTCAAGGTGGAAGATGTATGTTGTCAGATAACATGAAACAAAAGAGCAAAAAGAAACTCATTGCTGACTTCGACACTGTTTCATTATATCCTTCAGCTATAGCAAGACTTTATACTTTAGAAGGTATTCCAAAAGTATTGAAGGAAGAAATGTTAAGCACAGAGTATCTCATGAGACATTTATTCGATGACGACCAAAAGGAACCCATTGGTGAAAAGTTTATGTCTGGCTTCTTTGTTCTCATTAAGATAACAGAGATTGGTATACCCAGACACTTTCATTTAATAGTTTGCGACCCTGAACTAAATCCAGAACTTAACGTTCCAAGAAGTTCAAACACTTGCTGTCTCATGTATGTTGACCATATAACATTACAAGACCTCATAAAATATCAAGGTGTCAAATGTGAAGTGTTGCAAGGATACTATTACGATGGAAACAGAGATATGAGAATAAGAGATGAAGTAAAGAAGTTGTTTGAGTTAAGGTTAAAGTATAAGAAAGAAGAAAACCCCTTACAAGAAATTATAAAACTCATTCTGAACAGCATTTATGGCAAAACTATTCTATCTCCTATTGAGTCAAAAATAACCATAGTAGATGACAAAGATGCTATAAGATATGCTATAAGAAATTACAACCATATAGTGAAGTTCGAAGGTTTGGATGGTTCAGATAAAACTATTTTCAAGCTAACGAAAAGCATTTGCAGACACTTTAACTTCTGTCCACTTGGTGTTAATATTCTGTCTATGTCAAAACGTATTATGAATGAAGTATTCTGTACTGCAGAGGACATGGGACTTCAAATCTTTTACCAGGATACCGACAGTATGCACTTATATAATGAAGACATCCCAAAGCTTGCAGCAGAGTTTAAGAAGAGATATGGTCGCGAACTTATAGGAAAGAACCTTGGTCAATTTCATAGCGACTTTGCAGAAATAACACCTGGAAAACAAAGTTTAGCTTATAAAAGTATTTTCTGTGGAAAGAAGACCTACATAGACTTACTCACTAACGATTTAAATGAAGTTGCATTTCACTGCAGAATGAAAGGCGTGAAGCAAGATGTTATTGCTTTAACCGCTAATGAAATGTTTCCTGAAGCTATACAATGCTATTACAATGAAGATAAGAACATTCACATACCTGTTGGAACATATGACAAAGACTCTGAGTTCAGTTTAATGAAACTTTACAAAGCACTTCATGATGGTCAAGAGATTGCATTCGACTTATGTAAGTCATGTCAACCTTGCTTTGCTGAAAAGTTCAACTTTTCAATAACGACTAAAACAAGCTTTATTCGTAAGTTGAAGTTCTGAGGTCATTTATTTTTGTCAGCAATGAGGTCATTCGTGATAAAAATAAAGCTAGCGTAGATTTTACAATACTGCGATGGTAGAGTTTAAGAGTTGTGCTTCAATGTAGAGACAGTCCTTCCCATCTGGAGGCAAGAACACTGGACATTTATGGTCATGAGTGGAGTACATGTCTATCCAAAACTCACGATTGAAGCCAGTTAATTTATAGTATTTAGGGTTAGGAAGTGGTGAAGTTCTTGTATGACCAATGAACTCATTTTCAACGCCTTTGGCTATATTAGAGTAAAGTATTGCTTGCTTTCTATCCCAAATGCCAGGTGTTACAATCTTTGAAAATTCATTTTTCCTCGGAAGCATTGCATCATAATTGAAAACATTCTTAAAATCATCACTTGGTTCGGAGATTTGAAATCTTATACGTAATGGATTTTCTTTCTTTTTAGCGACTTCATTGAATGGTGAGAATACAATGAATTGACAGTCATGAGTTCCATCTTCATTTTCATTAAATTCATAATGAAAGTCTATAAGTTGTGGCTGACTACCTTCTTCTTTCAGTTGTGCAAGAAACTCACGTAAAGGCTGTAAAGTTTGTACTTCAATGTTGAACTTTTTCTCGAACATCTCATTAAATGAAATCATACATTGTTGCAATGTTGTATCGTCTTTAAAGTATTTGTATATGTGAATGTTTTGGGCGCTTAAAGACTGTTCGTCATTTTCTATCTCGACTTGAAGTATAAAGTCAACCTTTCTGAAAGCACGTGTTATATACATAGATGTTATGCCAATGTACTTCTCTTCATTTATGTTCACAATCCAGTCTGTTGGAAACTTAAACGTTACTCTGTTCCCCTTTATTTTGACGTCAGGGTTTTCACTACTGAACGCAACAGTTAAAGGTATTTGTCTATACATTTAATTCGGATAAAAATAAACCATTTACTCTTTCTTTGCTTCAGCTTCTTTAGCTTTTGCTTCTTCTCTAGCTTTTTTCGCCAGCAAACGTGGGTTCTTCTGTCTTCCAGCAGCTAATGCAGCTAGTTGTTTTTCACTAAGTTTTCTCTTTGGTCTCTCTGGCTTTTGTTCTTGTTTTTGTTCCTTCAGTTCGGATAAAATTTGCTCGCGAATTTCTTTCTTCAATGCTTCAACATCTATGACCCTTGGGTCTTGTCCGTAGGGCTTGTCTGAGTCATTTGACTGCAGATAAAAAACAAAATTAAAACTTTAACCGATGTAAAATGAGCTTGTCAAAATCAGAGCGAGAGTCTATTATATTAAATGACGCAAGAGGAATACAACATCCTTTCTATTACGTAAGTCAGAGTAAAGATGGTAAAATATACGTAAGAAAAAGAAAGGTTCCATTAGCGAATGCAGAGAGCGACAACATTAAGGTGCATGGCAAGGGTGAAGCCCATATAAAACCTTCTGTTCAAACTGAAAAGTCAATAGAACAGAAGAAAAGAAGCCAGATGTACTTTCAATAACGAACCAAGAGCTTATTGCAAAGTTCGTGAATTTCATTGAAAAACAAACCGAGTCAAAGAACCCTGACCCGCCAGTGAAAGAAGTTGAGACAAAAGAGAATGTACAGTTCATTGAAAATGTCAAGAAACAACTTCCACCACGAATACCAAGAAGAAGAGTGAGAATAATGAAGTAAATAGATATTTTTATCTGAAGTAAATACATGCAGAACGAACAGCTAAACGAATTTACTCCAGCAGAGCATATTCATCAGATTCGCTCATATTTCGATATCATAGACAATGCAGTTCAAATTGGTGACACTAATAGAAAATATTCTGACGCAAAGATTCCATCACAACCTGGAACTGCTAAAGATAACACATGGGTAACATTCAATCTCTCACCTCCTGGTGAAAATATGTTGGACCTTTACAATACATTCATTACGTATAAAATGGAAGGTCAATTTATTGCAGATAAAGAAATTGGTTCAGGTTCCAATAAAACAAACCCACCAGGATTTTGGATTGGTTTCGATGACGCTTTCTATGCAGTTGCTGGATATCAAATCCTTGCAAATGGTCGTATCGTATATTCTCAAGACAACGCAAGAGAAGAAGCATATATAACTTCAAACTCACAAACTACCGAACAAATAAAGAAAGTAGATGTTTTCTCAAAGACTCGACATGAAGATGTATGGAGTCATTCGGGAACATGCAGAACAGGACAAATTGTTAGTGGTCCAATTACAGCAGGAAAATCATTTGATTTTAAGCTTCGTTTAAGAATTCCTGTTAGAAGATTCCTTCCATTAGAAGCTATTCGATTTATTCCAGCTTTTGCAGGAAACATTCAGCTTAAAGTAAAGTTCAGTAGCGACGCCTTACAATGCACATCTATATCTGTAAATGATATCATTGCTTTCAATCCAACTCTTAAAGTTGCATTTGCTTCAGATTCAAATCCACCGACAAATAAATTTGTTCCATGGAATGAACCATTCACTATGATAACGAAGGCATAGAAGCTAGTGGAACAGTTACTATTACAACTGTAACCAGCAACTATTTCGAACAAAGATGGATTTTAATGAATGTTTCATTCATCCAAAGTCATTCTCTTTAGACCCTAACATTTATACAGAACTTGTAGAACATTATACAAACGAGGCTTTATGTTTTCCTGTTAAAGTTATGGATTGGATTCCTATGGACGGTTCATTCTCAAAGAATACAGATAGTTCAAGTGCAACATTTACAGCAGCTTATACGCCTATTAATGTTAAAAGTATTTGGGCACTATTTAGAAAGAAAGACAACTATTATGTTAATTTTGAGAACCCTAAGTTTAAATATCTTCAGCTTTCCATGGGAGCTTATGGAAATATGCCTGCAGAACCTGAAAAATCATATGGACCTGTATTTTATGAAATGGTTGCGAACGCTTGCAATACAAACAATGATATGATAGGATTTAATGAAGATGTTATGAGGTCATTGGTGGATGATGGTAGTGTGGAACATAAATGGGATAGCTATGACAACACACATTTCTTATGTGGTTTTCCAACAGAAGTGGACTTTTGCTTCCAGCAAGGTCAAACATCTACTGCTCCAATAACATACAAATTGTCTGTTAAAGGACCTATTGAACTAGCAACTGAAAATGTACCAAAGCCACTTATTGGATTTATGAGGGATTGTTGCTTTGCAATACAAGTAAGACAGTCAGGCATACCAATAATAAGACTTGACGACTATAACTTAGCACGGACGACAGTGAGGAATAAAGGATGAACGTTTATTTTTAAAGCTTATAAATGAGTTCTTCATCAAGCTCTCGTGAACCTTCACCATCTATGAAACAAACTTTACCAAACGATTATGGAGCACCTATTGAATATTTCTTACGAGCTGCACAATGGCAAAGAGCAGTCTCACCAAGGTTAGGTGTTCCACCAGCTCCTGTCAAAAATAGCATTTGGTCAAGTCCTTATATAAGATATGGTCTCCCACTAGGTTTGCTAGCTACAGCAGGAGCAGTTATGATGTTGAAAAGAAATAAAGCAAATGTTATAAATAATACTGAAGTAGCTGAAGTTAAACAAACTCCAACACCTTCGTCAAAACCAACGCCTTCACAAGCAAAACCTTCAATGACTCCTGAACCTATGGAAGTACAAACTCCTGTTCAAAAGTCAACTCCTAAACCGACTCCAACATTTAAACCAGAACCTACGCCTCAAATAAATCGTAAAACTCCTGCGTTTCCTTACTGAAAAAATAACGTTATTTTTATTTTATTTGAACATTTTTATTTGATTGAAATGACGACTAAAGTCACTGAAGCAATGAAACAAAAGTTTTTGGTAGAATACATTAAATCAGGAATTATTCCAGAAGGTTTTTACGTTCATACTATGAAGGATGGTAGAGTTCAGTTTAGAAAGATAAAGCAACCATTAGATAGAGAAGGAATTTTGAGAAAGATTAAACTTCATGAGGACAACATTGCTGAACTTAAGAAGAAGTTAGAAGAGTTGGAGAAAGGAAGAGAGTTATAAAGCAATGAATTCAACAGGTTAGAAAAGAGGTTAGATATCGGGTTAGATCTAACCTTCTACCCTAAATTTATTTTTGTGCTATGTTTTCATACGTGTGCGGGTGGTGATATCATTAATTTTTAAGTTTATTTTTATTTTATTTTTATTTTATTTGGATGTAATGACAGAACAAAAGCAACTCATACAAATCAAAACATATAACAAACATACATTTAAACATTTATTCTTCCTTCCTGAGCATAACATGTTCTTTCAAATACATCCGAGACCAGTTGACTTTTCATTGACTGTTTATAAAGATAGAAATAGTTATATCATTAAACCATACGATGACGAAGGTAAGTTATGTAAATTGTACGTTAAGAAGTTAGAGAAAGTTTATGGCTTCAAGTATGACTACAATAGGGTTAACACTGATGATGAAGATATTGAGGAAAATTTATGAGAACATTAGTGAAGTCGTTAGTGAGAACGATAGTGAGAACGTTTATTTTTTACATTAGTGAGTTCGTTAGTGAAGTGGTTGGCGGCTTTGTAAATATTTAAGGTTAAATTAGTTTTTGCGTTCATGTTGTAAAATATACGTTAACGGTTTTGTAAAGTGTCAAATTCACAAGTATTGGGTAAGGTGGAACGCAGTGCCACCATACCCAAGACTTGTATACTAACTGTTGTTGGATATAACTTCATAACATATGGTTCGTTCGACTCAGAACGTTGCAGTGAAGGCTTACTTTACATCGTTCAGAAACCGAAGGACTTCAATACAAAGAGATATAAGATAGGAAGAACATATAATATAACTCAAAGATATGACAGTACAGTCAATAGAGTTAAGGTTGTGTTCGTTAACGATATGAGAGCTGCAGAAACAGAACTACTTGAAAAGTTTGAGAAAATGTATGGTGCTCCCATAAAAGGTAAAGAAACGTTTGAAGTAGATGAGATAGGTAAAGCTATAAAATTATTTGACGAAGTTGCTGAAAAATACATGTAAAGCGTTTATTTTTACGCTTGACTTCAGATGGCTCAGGTAGCTCTATAAGGTAAATTGTCTTGTCAAATCCTTCTGGTATTCCGAGTCCTTCCATCCGACATTCCAAGTCCTTCCTTCCAACAAGAAAAAAATTTCCCGACAACTGGAAAAAAATTTCCTGACAACTGGAAAAAAATTTCCCGACAACTGGAAAAAAATTTCCTGTTGTTCGTCCGTAAACCATTCAAATTTTCGAAAATTGAGAACTTTTTGGTCGAACTTCAGAAAAAGTTTTTCCTTCCGACAGAAAAAGTTTTTCCTTCCGACATTCCGAGTTTTTCCTTCCGACATTCCGAGTCCTTCCTTCCGACATTCCGAGTCCTTCCTTCCAACAGGAAAAGTCCTTCCTTCCGACAGGACACAAACGGATGGCTGACGTTCCTCTTCCTGAATGTCTTCCAAAGCCAGAAGAACCGACAGCCCCAGCACCACAACAGACTAAGACTAAACACTTACATTTTTCAAGCTTGACTTTTTACAATTTGAATTTTGTTGCTGAATTCAGTAAAAATAATGTTTAGGGTAGAAGGTTAGATCTAACCTCTTTTCTACCCTCTTTTCTACCCTCTTGAATTTTCATGAATTTCCTTAAGATAGAAAAAATAAAGTTAGTTTTATTTTTTTTTATTTTTTTATTTTGTATGTAAGGACAGATATGTCAACATCAGAGAACACAACAACAGTTATAGTCCATGAAGCTATAAGTGAAGAATATGAGTGGGTTCAGTTTAACAAACAACTCCGTCTCATTCGTTCAGTCAAAGACGATATGTACCAAATGCAAAGTATTTTGACAGCATGTTTTGCTCCAGATACCAAACATACAGACGATTGGTTCAAAAACCAAAGCACACAAGAACTTTTGAGCGAAGCACAGCGAGACATACTTTTTTCTGAAAACAGTGAAGAACAGCGAGCCCGACTTCCATCGGGGTCGCCAAAACTCTATGAAAATCGTAAAAATTTGCCAAATGGTTTGAGAGGTTGGTATGTACATAGACTTCTTGTAAATGCAGTTGCAATGTGGGCTTCACCTCGCTATGCTTGTTATATTTTCATGATGTTAGATGAACTATAATTTTTAGGGCATGTGTCAAACCGTTGAGTTTTCACAAAATTTAAAAAATAACGTTTACCATGTGAAACGTTTATAAAATAACTGGGGTAGAAAAGAGGGTAGAAAGGAGGTTAGATCTAACCTTCTACCCTAAATTATATTTTTATTGAATTCAGCACAAAAATCATGAGTTTCCTTAAGACAGAAAAAATAAAGTTAGTTTTATTTTTATTTATTTTTTTATTTTGTATGTAAAGACAGATATGTCAACAACAGAGAACACAACAACAGTTATAGTCCATGAAGCTATAAATGAAGAATATGAGTACATACAGTATAACAAACAGTTACGTCTCATTCGTTCGGTCAAAGACGATATGTACCAAATGCAAAGTATTTTGAATGCTCTTCGTTCTACAAAGCAAGCACGTCATTGGTTTGAAAACCAACAGACAAAAGAACTTTTAGAAGAATTTCCTCATATGTTTGCGACCGGTAGAAAACAGCCGGTCGAGATTCCGTACGAAAATCGTGAAAAATTGCCAAACGGTTTGAGAGGATATTATGTACATAGACTTCTTGTAAATGCTGTTGCAATGTGGGCTTCACCTCGCTATGCTTGTTATATTTTCATGATGTTAGATGAAATTCATAGACAAGAACGTGAAGAGCTAGAGAACAAGCTTGAAGCAAAAGACAAAAACATACAGAAAAGAATACCACGTTCGGTACCAAAAGGAAAGGAAAAGAACTATAAGTATATGATTTATACTGAAGAGATGGAAAATGAAGAAGACAGAGATATGGTTATGTTGCATTTAGTCAGAAGAAACAACAAAAGCTTTTACGACCTTGCTAAGATTTACAAATCTGACAGAAATTGGTTCTATCGTGAAAACTTACCGATTTCAATGACACCGAATGAAGATGTGAAACAAATAGTTCAAGATACTTTACCTCAAACACACTATGATATTAAAGGTTGTACAATACTTACCTTCAAAGAAGACTTACCGCTACTGAAAGAAAAAATAACAGAGTATTTTGACAACTTCAAACAAGCAGAGTAAATGAACTCTTTATTTTTACGCTTGACTTTTTACAATTTGAACTTTGTTTGCGTAGATATGAATTCTGAAAGAAGTATGAGGGTCTTGTATGACTTTGTACTTCTCCCATAGTTCATGTCTGTCAAACTTACCTGCCATGGACTCTTTCATAAGTTCCATGAAATCGTCTTCGGACAATCCGGGGAAAAGTATAATGTCAGTAAGTATTCTTTTAACATCCTTACTTAAACTCTTTGCTGTCTGTACACAAATGACAACTGAGATGTTAAAGTGTCTGAGCTTCTTAAGAATTCGACACATATCTTGTTCTCTATTCTTTAACAAAGGATGAGATGCAAAGTCATCTAAGATAAGAAGACATCTATGAGGGTAAGTCTTCCAATCGTAAGATTGCAATTTCTTCGAAATGTATTCTATCTCTTTCTGTTTGTTTCTGAAGTGTTTCTTCTCTAATATTCTCTGCATTTCCTCATTTGGGTCTTTAAACTTAGAATTTATATACTCATTTATAGCATTATACTTCAAAACTCTTCTTTGGTACTTCTTTATCCAATCTAACAACTCAGAGTCTTTTATACATACTAACTTAGACTTCTTTATAATATCTTTGAACGAATTTACGGTTTGGTCAAATTGACCAGAAGTACTACAAATAACAACTAACTCATAGAATGGGTTCTTCTCATCTAGTTCTTGTTGTTGTGCAGCCATTTTAAGATAAGTGAAAGTCTTACCCGACCCAGGCGGTGCAATTAGACCTGTTATACCATTCTGAGCAAATAAGAACTTGTCATGTATGGGTTTTATCTGAGCATTTTCTAACTTCCTCTTGTTCTTGTTTAAAACATTCTCAAATTTCTTGTCAATGTCAGCAAACTTTTTTTCTAACATATTTTTAGAAAAATTAAAATTTTTATCTTTTAGAAAATGTCTAGCGATTTCGCTATCTATATTCGAGACAAGCTTTTCGACAGCAAAACATCTGTCGACCATAAAATCTTACATAGTGTAAACAAGAAAGGTGAATTTGTTCTAAAGTTCTGTTTCTGGGAATATGACAAGAACCATAAAACATTAGGCAGAGCAGTCTTTAAGTTTGTCAATGACAGACTTGTTGACAGAGATGACGCCTCTTGGAGAGATGAAGTCCAACAAAAATTCTTAGAATGCAAAGAAGACACATGCGCTGTTCTTGAAGATGAAATAGAAAACAGAATAGAAGAGCTATTAAAGGACAAAGAACTTTTACAAAAATATGGTTCTGAGAAATTTGACATAACTCCACCAGAAAAGAAGAAGAAAGGAAAGAAAGAGAAAAAAGTAGAAGAGAAGAAAGAACCTGAACCAGTTCCAGAGAAGGGGAGATATGACATGTAAAAATAAAATTTTATTTTTAGAACATTTCTGGGTCAATGTCAATGTTCTCTTCCTCTTTAGGAGCAAACACTGGCTTAGACTCTAAAATCTTTTTACCCAATTTACCTTGAACTTCAACTATCTTAGACTCATAATATTCATAGTCGTCTGCTTTCTTTGGTTCATAAGGTATAACAAGTTTGTATGCTTTACCTTCTTCGAGTTTTGAGAACCTTCTGTCAAAACTTTCTTTGACTGCTAACAAACCTTCTATGTCTAAGTCTTCAAATTTCGCACCATTTTTAGTCACAATAGCAAACTTAACTGGTTCGATGTTCCAAACTTTGTCAAATGAAGACTTTTCAAAATGGTAGAAGTAAACATTCAAATATGCGAATGGAGCTAACTTATCTTTGACTTCTGTCATGTACTTATTTACTGAGATGAATTTTGCCATCTTTTCTATCGGATAAAAAAATATTTTTTTTTAAAAACGTTTTAAAATGGTATGCCATATAGCTTCTTGAATTTGTTAAGAAGTATTTGAACGCATTTTCCATCTGTATCTCTAGTGTTTACATAAGCATAGCCTTCCTTAGTAAAATATACTTGTAATTTCCTATAGTTTACGCCGGTATAAAAGTAGAAAGAGTCTTGTTCTTCGCTATAGTAGTAAAACTCCAACGTATGCTTGCCATAGTCTGTAATTTCAATTGTTTCATCTTCTAGTTCGTCGACAAATTCGAATACAATATCTCTAAATTTGCTTTTGTTCTTATTGTTTTCAGAACGAGTAACCCAACGTAAATTTTCAAGTCTATTGTCGTTTCTTATATGGTTTATATGGTCTACAAAAGGTAGATTGTTAGGGTTCGGTATAAAATGAGTTGCAATGACAACATGTTTAAAATAGTGTTTTCCACCAATCCTCATCCTAGCATATCCGTTATTTCCCTCCCATCCGCTTAAAACTCTTTTTGTCTTTTTGTTTCTGACTTCAAATGACTCACAACAGTGAATTTCATATTTCTCATCTAACAAACAAGTTTCCCAACGGTCTTTTCCAACAAACTCAGCGTACATTTCAAATAAAATAAAAAAATATTTTTTTTAAATTTACTCAGAAAAAATTTTCTTTGTATATACACCATTCTGTACGTCTAAAAGACTTTTGACATTTGCCAAGAATGTACGTTTAGACGCTGCCATATAACCATATTCTTGACAATATTGTTTATACGAATCGTACAATGACCTTTCATCTAATGACACAAAGTCAGTTTCATCTATGAACAGTTCATATACACTCTTGTTTGCTTCTAACAATGTTTGTCTCTCTTCGGTATGTGGAATTTGTCTTGGATTGAACTTAGAAATATCTAATGTCATGAAATATGAGAACAAGTGGTTGTAAAAGTCAGATGTCAAAGTTTCTGCTAAGTCGTCAAAATATTCTGTATCTTGCATATGAGAATCTGACGTTCTGACAACTACATATCTTCTGTCAGAACTTTCTAACTTCATCGGAACAGCATTGTTTGAAACCATAATGAAATTTACAACATTTTCACAAACTCTTTGGTCTTTATATTTTCTTTCAACAACTCCAACTTTGTCTGTTATAAGACTCTTCAAAGCATCTGAGTTTAAAACTTTTGTTGTATCTATACTTTGAAGTTCGTTACATACTATAAGTTTCATATTCTCTATTGAAGAGTTAAACTTGCCACAGATATTTTCTAAGTTTGTCATATTCGGGTTCGAATAGCCCTCTAACAGTTTGCATAAGATATCTGTAAAGAATGTGTTCTTACCTGTTCCTTGTTTTCCAATTATAATGAGAGCAGTTTCATTTTTAGCACTTGGATGTTGTAAGATGTTTGCAAACCAACATAAGATATACTCATAGACTCTTTCGTTTCCATTGCATATAATTTCTTTGACATGGTCTAACCAAGCTTCTATAATATTTTCTTTCCATTCTACTTGTTCGTATTTATATCCAGTGAAGATAGAATAGAAGTTTGGAGAAGGTGTATAGAACTTTATACCTCGAACTGAAAAATCTTCTAACTTTGACAATAAGATATCCCAAGCATCTAACATCTTCATGCCAACTTGTACGACTTTTATTTTCTTAAGTTTCTGTCTACATTCTTGTTCTGAAACTATTGTTGCTCTTGGTTTGTTAAAGACAACATCCCATTCTTTCATAACATAACATTCTGGGGCAGAGTCGACATAAATGACTAAACGTTTCAAATTCTCGACTGCTTTGTTATAGTCTCGAAATGGACACATATTTCTGAAGGCTTGGAAGTCATAAAAATCTGAAACATCTATTCTGTACATTTTTATAAAAATAAAAAAAATATTTTTTTTATTCTTGAGCTATTTGTTGCATTTGTTGCATTTGTTGCATTTGTTGCATTTGTTGTTCTTGAGCTATTTGTTGTTGAAGTTGTTCTTGTAATACAATACTTTCACCAGTTGCATCTTCCAATTCGAAACTTTCTGCCGTCATTGACAAATACATAGGACATAAAAGTTTTACAGGAACAAAGTTTGCGTCAACTAAGGTTAAGTTTATGTTTGCTAAAGTGTTTGAGTTTACTAAAGCTGAAAACTCTGCATTCGAATGAACAATAGGCAAACCAGCAGAGAAAGTGTTGTTTATACGCATAAGTATCTTTTGGTCATAGTAGTTTCTGTCGACATTCGAATAGCACTTTGAACCTAAGTTTGAAACAATATATAAAATAGGTGTGCTTAATGTCAATGGAATAGACATTCCTTGTATGACACCTTTTCCTGTTATAGGAAACTGTTGGTAGTAAAAACCAGATATAAGTTTTGTATTATAGCTCATATTGTTTATAGTAAACTCAGTCGGACATCCAAACATAATGAAACCTGCTCTAGTTGCAGCACATGTTACATCCGTCCTTAAAGTATTAAATAAGTCAACAAAACCTGTTGGTGGTATATCTGAGTAAGTATCTTCAAAGGAGTATTTTTTACCATTCACAACAATAAAATCTTCTGGTGTCAAAAGAGCAAAACAGGCTTTAGTCGTCATTGTGTTTAAAGTTAGTTTACAATATCGTCCTTGAGGACTTTGTAAGTTTGTTGTTATAGAATTATATGACTCAGGGTTTTTAGTCGTAATAGTATAAACCATTGTGTCTTCTGCCATTTACTTAGCAAATAAATTTTAATGAAATGTTGTGGTCGTCAAATATTTTTATGACGTCTGGGAAACTATATTTTAAGTTCAACGTTTCACCTCCTTTCATAACGTATATCTTGTCAATGACATTATATGCAACACCACAGCAAGCAATGTCGGGTTCTATTTCTTTGATGTTTATATCGTCTGCCTCTGTCAAAAGTTTCAATAGTTCTTTCAAAACTTCATGAGGTGCGATGACATATGAGTTCACTTTTACAGGGTTGTGTTCGACCAAGTTTAACATTATACCTAAAGCCTGACAAATCTTCTCCTGAGTTTTAAGTTTGTCTTTAAGTTGTTGGTAGTCGTTTCGAATATCTGCAACAGAACTTAAGTCTCTGCTAACTTCAGGGTATGTTGGTTGTTCTTTTACAGGAACTATTGTTATACCATCTTCGTCCTCGTATGGTTTCCCCACTTCAACATCTCTTTCTTTGACATTGACAACAACACTTTGACTGTTTGTTTGAGTTGGTGAATTTAACTTCACATCTGCCACCGCCATTAAACCTTTTGAAACACTTACGCTTCTATTTTTCGGAAATGACATTTTACTTAGAATAAAAAGATGGACGTATTCGGATATCTTATTGAATTGAAGCAGAACAAAGTTTACACACACAAACAATACAAATACATTGACAGAATAGTTCTTTACACAAACAATGGAAAATGTTATAGAATAGCAGTCTTTGCTGAACCAAAATATTTTCATAAAGCAGAGAGAGTTGGTATAACTGAAATGGTGAAAGTTCTTGAAGCAGACAAAAATATAACAACAAAACTTACAGATATTTCTAAAGGTAAGTTTATAATACAATTTTATGTCAAAACTGGCGTACTGTCAATATTTGACGGAGAGAAGTCAGTTCAAGAACAACTTACTGACCTGCTGCCAAAAATCTGCTCGATGGAAGCTGTCGTTATGCCAATCTGAGGAGCCCCAGCAGGTTTCATCGAACGAATCTTCAAAAGAGCATCTTCCGTGAAAAGTGCTATTGGTTTTGTAAACTTCTTTGCTTTTAGTTCATCTGGACCGTCTCTGTCACCAGTATATTGTATTTGAACTGTACCAACAGTTGAAATACCACCCATAAAGTCTTCTGAGTCAGCAAATGGAATGCCAAGCCAAAAGTTTGAACGGTCTCCATTTGTATATTGAGTTTTTTGACCTCCTGTATGAGTCCATACTTTCACATATGGTGGATATAAACTCAATAACATATTGGTTCGTTCGACTTCAGAACGTTGCCGTGAAGGCTTACTTTACATCGTTCAGGACAACCGAAGTGACTGTAATACAAAGAGATGATAAGATAGGAAGAACATATAATAATAGACTCAAAGATATGCACAGTACACGTCAATAGAGTTAAGGCTTGTGTTCGTTAACCGATATGAGAGCGCCAGGAAACAGAATCTAACTTGAAGACAGTTTGAGAAAATGTATGGTGCTCCCATAAAGGTAAAGAAACGTTTTGAAGTAAGAATTGAGATAGGTTAGAAAGCTATTAAAATGTATTTGACTGAAGTCTGATTGCTGAAAATACATGTATAAGCGTTATTTTTACGCTTGGAACTTCAAAAAAAGTAAAAAATAAAAAAATTTATTGGGGGCTGCAGGGAGCTCTAATAAGGTAACATTGTTCCTGTCAACAATCTCTGGTGAATTGCACGAGTCCTTTCCATCCGACATTCCAAGTCCCTTCCCTTCAACAAGAAAAAAAATTTCCGCGACAACTGGGAAAAAAATTTCCTGACAATGGAAAAAATTTCCCGACAGACTGGAAAAAAAATTTCCTGTTTGTTCGTCCGTAAACCATCTCAAATAGTTTCGAACTGAAGACTTTTTAGGTCGAATTAGAAAAGTTTTCCTTCCGACAGAATAAGTTTTCCTTCGCGACATTCCGATTTTTTTCCTTGCGCGTTACATTGTTTCTCGTGAGTCGCTTCCTGTCTCGACATTATTTTCCGAGTTCCCTTTCCTGTGCGCAACAGGAAATAGTCCTGTCTTCCGAGGCAGGATAAGTAGGAGTGGGCTGACGTTTTCCTCGTTCTGATATTATGTCTGGGTGCGGGCGAGGAGCCGAGAATTGAACCGACAGCCCAGCACCGGAGAATTATTGACTAAGACTAAACACTTTACTATTTTGTTGCAATGAGCTTTTTAATTTGTTATGTTTGTGCTGTGAATTTCAGTTAATAAATGATTATAGTTGGTTGTGTGAGGATTAGTTGAGTTATCTATATTCTTCGTCTTTTCTAAACTCTGCTTTTCTACCGGGGGGTTGATTCTCGCTTTGTAATTTGTTTCAGTGATATTTCTCTTAAGGATATTGTAAGATATAGATAAATTAGTTATTTTTATTTTTTTTTTATTTTTTGTAATTTGTGTGTGATGTAAGTGACAGATATGTTCTAATTTGGCATCAGTAGAGAAGATAGAGCATTTATAGTTTGGTTGCCATGAAGAGCTATATGAGTGAATGAATACTTGAGTGGGTTCAGTTAAATCAAACAACTTCGTCTTTATATGTCGTTGCAGTGAAAGAGGAGTATGTATCCAAATGCAAAGTATTTTTGAACTAGCATTGTGTGGGTGTTTGCTCTCAATATGCCGGTAAACAGGTTGGGATCAGGGATCGGGATTGTTTTATGATAAACAACGCAACTACAAGGGAACTTTTGAGCGAAGCACAGCGAGACATACTTTTTTCTGAAAACAGTGAAGATAAAAGCGAGCCCCGACTTCCCATCGGGTCCCAAACACTGTATGAAACTCGTAAAAAATTTGCCAAAGCATGGGTTTTTAGAGGTTGGTATGTACAATAGACTTCTTGTAAATGCAGTTGCAAATGTGGCTTCACCTTTCGCTATAGCTTGTTATTTTCATGATGCTTAGATGAAACTTTATATATTTTTCTTTAAGGGCATGGTGTAAACCGTTGAGTTTTTCACGAAAATTTAAAAATAACGTTTACCCATGTGAAAGTTTAATATAAAAATAAACTTGGGGTGCCAAAAGAGGGTAGAAAGGAGGTAGATTCTACTCATTCTACTCAAATATATATTTTTATTGAATTAGCACAAAATTTCATTGAGTTTCCTAAGACAGAAAATAAAGTTAGTTTTATTTTTATTTATTTTTTTTATTTGTAATGTAAAGGACAGATATGTCAACAACAGAGAACAACAAACTAGTTATCGTCATGAAGCCTATAAATGAAGAATATGAGTACATACAGTATAACAAACATGTACGTCTCATTCGTTCGGTCAAAGACGATATGTACCAATGCAAAGTATATTTGAATGCTCTTCGTCTAGCAAAGCAAGCACGTAATTCTGGTTTGAAAACCAACAGACAAAAGAACTTTTAGAAGAATTTCCTCAAATATGTTTCGACCGTAGAAAAGGCCGGCGAGATTCCGTACGAAAATCGTGAAAAATTGCCAAGGTTTGAGAGGATATTATGTTATAGACTTCTGTAAATGCTGTTGCAATGTGGGCTTCACCTCGCTATGCTTGTTATATTTTCATGATGTTAGATGAAATTCATAGACAAAGAACGTGAAGAGCTAGAGAACAAGCTTGAATCAAAAAGACAAAAAATACAGAAAGAATACCACGTTCGGTAAAAAAGGAAAGGAAAAGATATAAGTTAGATGATTTATACTGAAGAGAATGGAGAAATGAAGAAGTACGAGATTGGTTATGTTTGCATTTAGTCAGAAGAAACAACAAAAGCTTTTACGACCTTGCTAAGATTAACAAATGTACAGAAATTGGTTCTATCGTAAAAACTTACCGATTTCAATGACACCGAATGAAGATGTGAAACAAATAGTTCAAGATACTGTTACTTCAAACACACTATGATATTAAAGGTTGTACAATACTTACCTTCAAGAGAAGACTTACACTTGCTATGAAAGAAAAAATAACAAGAGTATTTGAAACTTCAAAAAGCAGAGTAAATGAACTCTTTATTTTTTAACGCTGACTTTTTTACAATTTGAAGCTTTGTTTGCGTAGATATGAATTCTGTAAAGAAGTATGAGGGTCTTGTATGTACTTTGTACTTCTCCCATAGTTCATAGTCTGTCAAACTTACTGCCAT